GTATGGAACCGCCTTCGTGGGGATGTGGAGATCCCGAATGACCTCCAACAGGTTTCGATAGTAATGAGGCCTCAGCTGAAACGCGTTTTTACGTCGCACCAGGTGCGCGTGCAACCGTGTTTTTATAGCGTAAGAGCTGTGAAGAGTTGAAGCTGAGAAGAATTGAAATTGAGAAAAGCTGAGGCTGAGAGGAGCGGAGAAGAGCTGAGAAGCCAAGTACCTTCTGAGGACGGTCTTAGGAAACAAGAGTTTCTGAGGATAGTCTTGAGTTGAAGGACTGTTCTGAGCACAGTCTCTGGATGCGTCCTGTGCGTCGGGCAATCCAACTGTTGACCATGTATGTATATATGTATTTATGTATATATATATATTGTTATATATGGTCGGTTAGATATCCTGTTAGATAACCGGAAAATCCGGATTAAATCGCCCTGGCTGAATTCCCATTGGGGTTTGTCTAAAAATAGTGTATCTAAGGGAAATACTGATAGACCATGGGATTTGTACGGCCATGTTCCATGAGAATTTTATGTTGTTATATATGCCCATCCATGAATTAAAGTATATTTCCAATTAAATCCTCATTGCACCCCCATGATTCATATATATATATATACATAATTATTATATATGTATATATTTAATTTTATATATATATATATCCGTTAATGTGTTAAACACAATAACGCCAGAAATAGGCTGTAAATAGCTATCCCCAATACAGGTAAATCATTGGATTTACTTGTCACCAAAAAGATAAACAAAAACCACTGGCTATACGCAGCGATTCTGACTCTAGAGTTGTAGGGTTTACCGTTTTAGGATGTTTTAGGGTTTGGGGATTTTAGGGTGTGTTTCTACAAAACGCGAGCCCAACACAGGGACTTAACATATGGAACCCAAAGGACCACGGGCAAACGTAAGGTCTGCACCGCAGCCCGGCTGTGAAATCGCCGATTTGTCACGTCCAAGAGGCATCATAAATCTCAGTGGCACGTCCACAGCCAGGCTGGGTGCTAGCTGTTCTTGGAGTCCCACCAAGCCGCACTTTGGCCCTGCCTCGTAAATAACTACCTGCCGTCCAAGGGCTTAATGTTACTTGTGTATGATATATTCTGTTCTGGTCCGGTGTTTGTTAGTTTGATCCCCTTTTTGCGGAAAAAAATATGTCCCTCAAGGGGAAACTCATCTGAAGAAACAAGGAATGATCTGCACATGGTAGATGTTCCGTGATGTTAGTCCACCCTGACAATCACCTCAAATTGAATAGTTAAAGGATGGCAAACAGCAGCATGATGACCCCAGCATGGTTGAAAAATATCATCAACCACTGGGAAAAGGAGATCCATCAACTGCATCATATCAACTGTTGATCCTTAATTTCAAAAACTACCGTAACCCCTTCGAAATTTATTTTCAATTTACCCCATCAGAACTCCCCAATTTTTCAATCACAATATCGGATCATCACCAATGTCAGAAAATTTGTATCTACAATTCATTCATCGTCTACCATCATCATTCCCATATATCCCCATCATCAATTCACCATCATCACCCAGTATTAACCATTATATTACCCATTATATCAACCAAAATATATTAACCATGTTGTATTAAACATTCTATTTTAACCATTAACAAGTAAACATTATATATTAGCCATTATATATTAATCATTGTATATTAACCATTATACATTAATCATTGTACATTAAACCATTAAATATTAATCATTGTATATTAACACGATATATCTACCATTAAATATTAACCATGATATTTAACCATTGTATATTACCAATTATATATTAACCATTGTACATTAACCAGTATATATTAACCAATGTATATCAACCAGTGTATATTAACCATTATATATTAACCATTGTGTATTAACCATGAAAAATTAACCAATATATTTTAACCATTGTATATTAACCATTGTATATTAAACATTATTTGTTAACCATATATTGACCATTGTTTTTTAACCATTTTATACCAACCATTATATATTAACAATTATATATTCACCATTGTATATTAACCATTCTATATCAACCATTTTTTATTAACCATTCAATGTTAACCATTATTTACAATCATCTACTATGGTATTGTTGCGCCATCATCGTCCCATCGCACCTCATGGGTCTCCTCCAAAAGATGCGCCGCGATGAGTCCGCTCATCCCAGATCCGATGACCGCAGCGCTGGGCCGATCCGACTTCCTCACCTACGGCGATCCACGGCGCAGCACGGGGCGCATGGGGAAAAAATGGGGCTGGATTTCAAGGAAAAAATGGGAAAACGAGAGGTTTATGAAGTTTATGTAAGGAACACATGTTCCAACTGGTTCTACATGAGGACTTTTCTGTTAATGCTTACATACTTACTTAGTTTCCTTTCAAAAGAAACTTCACTTAGAACTATTTTGTTTTTTTTGGGGGGGGTTGGAACCACAATGACCACCACCATGGGATGTCCGGCCACGTCACCTCAGCGTGGATCAAGACGTAGTCCAAATGCGGTGCCAACAGACCCGTCCCCGGCCATCGCTCGGACGCCAAGACGTGAGGTTCCAGGGACCGCCACGACACAATGGAGAAGCCAGCCTGGTGCCTGCATGGAAACCCTCACAGTTATGTTTGTTGGTTGGTGTTACCTCTACGAGTATATGTAATATATATATAGATATGTATATACAATATATGTATTTATAATATACGTACATATATCCACCATAAGTCCTACTCATTGCAGTTATAAATACCAAGTTACCTATCTAATGGGCCCTTCCTGCAGTTAATAACTGCTCAACAACAAGCGAAATGGAGTTAAAGCCACCAAGAAACCATTTGTATCGTCAATAACTGACACATCAGGTGGTGCGCACTGAACCTACAAGACTTGAGACTTTGGCAAAATAAACCACAGTAGTGTTGATGACCGTGGTTCATATCCTCAGTTGAAGGTGTTGCTGGCCCCAAAAGGACGTGAAAATGATGCTTGATAAGGTATCCCAAGCCATCATTTCTCCATGAAAAGCTGTGTCTGAGTATCCCCATTTTCAGAGACATCCAAATATCATATTGGTGGTTATATTAAGTTTCATTGTGTTATATTTACATCTCAATGCAATTCAATATATATATATATATTATATATATATAAATATACCAGTAGTACCGCACAAGGCGGTGGCGGAAGTTTCACAAATAGGAAACCTATAGGAGAGGTTGGTTGTTGTGAATCACGGATGGCAGAGCGAATCCACTGATGGACCGACAGGTGGTTGGAGCTGTGTGTTTTTTGGAGTGGTTGCAATGGTTGCAAATGGTCACCTTACCACAACTGCTGGATGTAGTGTGGTGCAGTGCAGTTGCAATTGTAGTGGCAGTTGTAGTTGCAGTTGTAGCTGTAGTTGTAATGTAGTGTAATTAGTGTAGTTGCAAGCGCGGTTGCAGTTGTAGCCGTGGTGTGGTGTAATTAGTGCAGTGTAGTGCAGTGTAATGTCGTGTAGTGCAGTGTAGTGTAGTGTGTAGTGTGTAGTGTGTAGTGTGTAGTGTGTAGTGTGTAGTGTGTAGTGTGTAGTGTGTAGTGTGTAGTGTGTAGTGTGTAGTGTAGCGTAGCGTAGCGTAGTGTAGTGTCGTGTGGTGTGGTGTGGTGTGATGTGGTGTGGTGTAGTGTGGTGTAGTGTAGTGTAGTGTAGTGTAGTGTAGTGTGGTGTGGTGTAGTGTAGTGTAGTGTAGTATCACCTAGCCCTTAGAGGGGGGGGGACCTGGGACCTCAAGTAGGCATTTCCAAATGGGGACAACTGCCTTCCTTGCCCACCATTTAACATGGAATATATGGAACCCCCCCCAAAAAAAACCCTTTGAAAGATGATCTTCCTATTGGATCTGGTCCCTTTCTTTGCCATCGGCCACTTTTCCACTCTGCGGCATTCTGCGGCGTTTTGTAGCTTCAGCACCTGGCAGGGCTGGGAAACCCCCAACAAAAAATGGTGGTTGTATTAGAAAATCATCAAGCTAAAAGGGGTTTAAACTATATGATAGGGTTTGGCGAGTGCGAGCGCACGTTAGGGTTTCGCGAGCGCGCGGTATAGGATTATTTCTACGTGCCAACATGTGGCAACAGAAGGGGCTAAGATGTGCAAGTCCTAAGGCGTCACTCTTTGGAGACAGAAAGGGTTACGGTTGCCAACTTTTTAGGGTTTAAATTATATGATAGGGTTTCGCGAGCGTGCGAGCGCGCAGTACAGCTTGAGGGTTTAGGGTTTAGGGTTAGAAAGGGTTAGGATTGCGAAGTTTTTAGGGTTTTAACTATATATATAGGGTTTGGAAAACGCGCGAGCGCGCGTTAGGGTTTCGCGAGCGCGTGAGCGCGCGGTATAGGATTCAATCTACTTTATCTTTTTGATCTTCTTTCTTCTCTTTTCTTCTCTTACTCTTCCCATCTCTGCTTTTCATCTGTCCATATTGTCGGAAGTTTGACTTCTAAACTTCCTTCGATCATATGTATCCCCATATCAATTCCCATATCTATATCAATTGAGGATGCATGTCCCATAGAAATCCCAATGATCAGAGTTTCCAGATTTCTGCCACGTTGCAGCTTGCTCCGATACTCCTGCTCCGTCCAGTGGTTGCTCCACGGGATATCCATGGCACACAGTGCCATCCGCAGCCACACAGGCGCGTCTTTGTTGCGGAGGACGACATCCGTCAGGGTCAGCGTTTCGCGCGCCTTGGAGTCCGATTTCCCGAGTTCCATGGGATTTCGCGATTTCGGCATTTCTATTCTGAGATCTAGATGATCTATATCTGGTTGGTGGTATTCCTACCCCTCTGAAAAATATGACTTCGTCAGTTGGGATGATAACATTCCCAATATATGGGAAAATAAAAAATGCTCCAAACCACCAACCAGATATGATCTATGGATTATATGATCTGGGCTTCCCGATTCCAAAGCATGCCGAAAAGAGCAACGAGCAACAATGACACACACCTGGGTAGACTAAAGGTCCCATGCCACAGATCCAGCTTTGGCTAGGCCACCAAGACAGATAAATGAGTCCCTTCTCGACACTAAACACGCCTAAGAAACCCTGGTTTGCTTTAAAAGGATCTGTTTTCTTGGGATCCTTTTCCGTTCTGAGTGCGTATGCGTGAGTACTGCTGCAACAGGACGAGATGTGGCAGAGGCAGTATGTGGTAAGCCGGCAAGCCCAACCATAAAATAAGCCCATCATTTTACTCTTAAGAGGGAGTATTAGAGACCATAACATCTGGTCTCAGTGGGTTTAAGTGGATAACACCATGGGTTTATGACTGCCGTTGGCCATGGTGTTTTTTTTTTTGAGGCCCGTCGTCGACGACGGGTCAAATTCGATGCCAGGCACCACCTTCTTCGCCTCCTGGAAGAATTTCACCCTTTCGAAATGATATGCACAATCCACGGCCAGAACCTTCGTGAACTCGTTGAAGCGGAAGTGCTGGGCCTTTTTTTAACGGATCGAATGAGCATATGGGATGACCATATGGGATGAAAATGGGAAGGTCACCAGAGAAATGCGAAGATGACATGACCTCCATTGGTGAGCCACTTCGCCACTTCCACATGTGAATCAGTTGGACCTGGACCACTGTTTGAAAGAGATCACTGGCAACAACCAGTTGCTACCAATGTTACTATTCCATGCTGGTGGACCTAAAACGTTTGGTGCTGGTAGTTGTTGCAGTCCCAAGTTCACGCAAGTTCACGCATGCCCAAGTATGACATGTTTTGACTACTGTAGGTCGATCATCAAGAAATGGAATCTCTGAAATGAAACCAAATATTGGTCAGTCAAAACATGGCCTCAAAACCAAGAATTAATAGTAGAGGGGCATTTCACCGAACATCATTCAGAGGTTGATTTGCAGTGAATCCCACAACACAAATGAAGCGTTGGTTAATGCTTGTGAAACCATTGTTTCTGTGTTTCGTGTGTCTAGAAGTACTGTGGATTCCTACATTGTTGGTTGCATCCGCTGGTCTCTTCACCATGGATTATCCTTCGCTTCACTGATGGTCCATGCATCTTAATTCTCTTATTTCTTCCAAAAAGAAACTGTCATTCTTCATGTTCCTTGGCTTTCAGACTTCCAAACTTACAAAAACTCCGAACATCAAAACATCTCAACCATTTCACATCATTCTGAGTTAGTCTTATCCTTTTTTATCCTACTCCCCCACCCCTCCCCCCATTTTTTCAACATATTCTCCGGCTTCCCCCGGTGTCGGGCCGCTCCCGTGGCCATCGTCTCCACCGTGCCCCGCCGTACATCGTCACCCGACGCCGCCGCGTCCAGCCCCGCGACGCGCCGCGGACCGAAGCGCTGGCGGAAGAAGGCGAGCTCCGCGCTGAAGCCGCAGCCTCTGAACGAGATCTCGAACTTGAAGTGAAACAAATAAGTGGTATATCAGGGATAAGTAGTATACAGTGAATATGTGGTATATACTAGAATGTGGATACCAGATCAAATGTGGTAACCATGTAAATCAAGTCAATCAAATAAGGCTACAAACTGCTTCGATGAAAAACCCCTTTTATGCCATTTACAAACACCTGCTGGGGTGAGGTGGTTGAGGTTTGGGAGTTCCAATACTTTCTCAGAAGGTGGGGAGTCTACGAGTTGGGATGGAAGGTAGATTCTAAAAGGTCTATGTCATCAAAAAGGTTGATACATAAATGAGATGATTGTTGGAGTTAAGATACATATACGTATACTATATATATATATATATGTATATAGTGCATATACTTCATACTGGGATGCACAATGCCTTAAAATACTGGTTGCACTTGCACTGGGTGGGTCCCCAAGGGTTGCTACGCCCTAGTTGTTGAAGACTGGTGAGACATCGGAGTCAATGAAACCTCTACCCCAACCTATCCCAACAAATCTATCCAAATCTCATGAGTCTTGAAAGCGGAAAGCGCATGAAAACGTTTTTGGCTTCATAGCTCAACTGAATCAAATTGTTATCTTATGTTATTCCAAATGATTCTATTCCAAAAAATAATGGCTCACCATCACCCAACCAAGGGGAATAGCAGGCACTTAAATGTCTTTGGCTCCCCGCCTACGCAAAGGACCGCATCGTTGACGTTCAACGTCGCCTCGCTTCCCACTAACTCTGCCAGGTCTTTGCAGGCTTCGTCGTAGGAAGCGGCGGCTTTCCAGTAGCCTAAATTTGTCGCTCCTGCGGCACCTCGCAATGCCATTTTTAAAGGTGGGTCGGTGGCTGATGTTCCGAAGCAAAAATATGACTCATATATCTATATATATATATATATCTAATCTTGATGCGCATTGATGCAGTTGCACTACGCCAGTTTTGGTGGAGTATAATTCCCCGACATGAGTGGTAGGTGTTACGATTGTTATGGTATTACCTTCCCAAGTGTTACCTCAAGATCCCTTATCTTTTTGCCAGTTAAAAGCTACTTACGCCACTGGAAACAACCACTGAAACATCAGCTTCAAGTGGCTTCAAGATGGTTTTCCCACTGAAGATGCTCGTGACTGCTAGTGTTTTACGTTCTTTGTTCATGGCTGGGGACCGTACCCTGCCAAATGGGATACTGTAATGTTCAGTCAGATCTCAACCGATTCCTCCATGACAAAATGACTGAAAATAGACTTGTGATGCTGTTGTAACCATTCACCAATCTATTGGGTTTGTCGGAAAATAGGTTACCCGTTTTCTTTTCAAGCCTGTTCCCGTAGACACTTCCATCAAATGGTGTCAATCGCCAGTTTCTGAAAAACATATATATTATATTTTTGGGTGGACCATCATTCATATCCATTAATAAACATATCCCCCTTTTGTATCCCCACAAAATGGCTGGTCTTATAACCCCATTTTTTAAGATTAGATCATGTTACCTGAGAAAAGCATTGTAATCCAAGATGAGCGCTGATTAAATTGCCCTTGTTCGTCTTATATCCCATTGTATCACCATAATATCCAGTATCCTCATAATATCTTCAGTAGTATGGTTGGTTTTAATTACACCCCTACTTACAGGCTTCTCGAACTGGTGGACCCATTTCACCATTGCTTTCCCCGAAAGTTGAGAAAGTTTGGATGATTTCGGGGTCCACTTTGAGAAATCATACCCTCTGGTAATTTAACAATTTGCTATTGAAAACGGCCCATAGAAATAGTGGATGTTCCATGATTTTCCCATTAAAAATGGGTGGATTTTCCATAGTTATGATGTGGCTGTTTAAAATTTATAGTGGATTTCCCATTAAAAAAGTGGATTTTCCATAGTTATAGATTTCCCATTAAAATCGGGGTTATGATGAGGGTATCTTTTGGACTAACCCCGATCTCCACGGAATGGTCTGGTCCAGTGACCTGCTCGGCCCGCAAGGAAGCGCTGCAGAGAGGTGACCAGCCAGGAGCGAAGGCGGTGATCATGGAAACCTCAAGATTGATGGGGATTTTATATGGTTTTTATAGGGATTTAACATTGTTTAACCACCAAAAAATCTTGGCATGGACTTAAGATACACAAGATATAATGGCTCATGGAAGATTAATGGAAGGTGAATTGCATATTGATGGGATATGAGTGGGATGTACCCTCCGATCATCCCCGGCTGGAAAATCCCCCAAAAATGGAGGTTTCTAGCTGGGAAATTCCTCTAGAAATAGTATATCAATGAACAACTTATGAGATATTGATGGGATATGAATGGGATGTTAATGGGATATACCATCAGTAATCAAACATGGCAACTGGAAATCCCTCAAAGCGGATGGTTTTTTTTGGCTGGAAAATCATCTATTGCAACATCAAAAATGTGACGTTTTATGTTGCTTAGATCCACTTTTCTTGCCGATCAAAATTCCCATGGTTCAGAAAAACACAGAATGCTGCTTATACCTGCTTGTCTCTTGGATGGCAATCACTTTTTTTGGTGTCTTTAAAGTATGTTTTTTTTGTGAGTTCAAGCCTGTTTCCGCCTGAGCATGGTTCAAAAAGTTTGGTGCCAAGGAACACGCAAAATCAGTCGTTTTGGCATTTGCCCTCAAAAAAAAAAACATTGATACGAAAACCCACCATGTGTACATCATTTGTCCTAGGGAAACTATGGATTTCCCCAAAATCTAAGTTGGACAACTTGAGGTAAGCATCCCTTCATGGGACTCCAGAATAATTTTGAAACATACTAGTTTGTCTTTAGTAGGCCACACCAAATAACAATTGTCCATTCTCATTATATATTCATATATTAGCGATGTGCAACCTCTAAACATTGGTCGTACATCCATATGATATGTGTATATATATATATACGAATCCCCATTGTTTAAAACCTCATGTCCCCGATCAAATTGCTATTTTGGTAATAGACCCCTCCATTTTCTGGACAAATGTTAATTTGTATATATCAATGTCTAGGATATCTCCATTTCTGTGCAGACCATGTTATATTGATACATTCTATTTTACAATGGTTTTACCAAAAGAAATATGACATCCCAATTTATGGCCACAAACTGGTTTGTTGAAACCCTATTCATTATCGTTTTCCCTGAATTTGTTATGTTGCAATCCCCATCATTCTTGATTAGTCCACCCAAACCTGTCTTGTTGGTAGACACATATTCGACATTAGTAAGCCCCTGAATTCCATATTTTACCCTCTGATAATATGTCACAGTCTGCTGAGAAAAATATCGACCCATGGCTGGGCTACAGCCCCCTGGCTGCTTCCATAGCGGAGCCTCCACCGGAACCCGGTTACGGTTTTTGTGGGTAGCAATCCCCCAACTTTTTTATGGTGTCTAATGGTGATACCACCAAGCAAAATTGGGATGTAGTTGAGAAGTCAGCCATCCAATTGGGATGTAGTTGGGATAAGTCATTGCCAGCCAGGCTGGGATTCAGCCATTGGGATTAACAAGTGGCACCCATATTATGTCCCCAAATAAAAATGGTGAAAAATCCTTATGTTTCTTGGTGCGACTCCCGTTCATTTCAATATCCATCTAACTAATCTAACTCTTGCTATAACTGAAGATGGACTACAAGTATTATAGTTGGATCATTATTGATTAGTATTCCAACTACAGTAGTATAAGCATTGTATACCAACTATGATAAAACTGAAGTCACTGTATGGATCATTTTGGATCAATAACAGTGCCGCTATTCATTATAGGCCTCAGTATCATTCATCCCCATTTTAGGATATTTGCACTAGTACGCTATGATGGAAATTATAATGATGGATGGATTATTGGAAAAAATGCAAACAAACACTAGTACATGTTCATCAACAATTGCATAACGATGAACATTACCCTCCGGTAAACTAACATAGCTATGAACAATGGCCATCTATAGTTGATATACCCATTAAAAATGGTGATGTTCCATAGTTTTTTGTATGTTTACCAGAGGGTAGTCAATGATGAATATCCTACAATAGTGGCTATGAACTGGTGAAAGATGATTGAGATCCCCCACCAAATCTCCCAGAAATCGTGATGAATAAATAAATGGGTAAAAAATGTTGATGGATAGACTCACTATCTATTCATTTTATGATACATTATATGGATGATGATGGTGGATCATCATATGGTATACTATGAGATTGGTATAAATCATAGTATACCATATGATGAAAAACCGTTGATAACTATTCTAACATTATACTCATGAATTCATGAATATTGTCACATTCCACTAAATGACCAGTAGTCATCATCATCAATGGTGGATACTGATGATTTTTCAATTTATGAGTAGCACCCTGTTACAGTACTACTATTCTATTCTAATTATAGTTCTACTATAATTGATCATGATTCTACTGTTCATATATTGCTACAGCCAATAATATCCAATACTAGTAGAACTATCATTTATCCAATAGTAGAACTAATCATATAGAAGTATATAGAAGTATAATACTATATATATTGAAAAAAATACATAATACTACATAATGCTATATAATATTACTCAATATTATTGTACTATTACTGGATCATATATTCATATCGATATCTCCAAATGCCCAAACCATCCACCGAGGTACCACAGAAGAGCCCCAGCACCGCCCCCGGCGATGCCAGAAACGTCAGCAGCGCGCCCAGCGCAGCGCCCAGCGCAGCAGCCGCGTCCGGCGCAGCGCCCAGGCGAATGTAGATGAAGCGCAGGGTCAGGAGGGAACCTGGAGATGAAACTTGGAGGACTGGTGAGTGGATCATATCAACCAGCTTAACCATGGTTAATAATGGTTCATAAATGGTTAATAAATGGCTCATAATTAAAGCCTAGTGATCGCAAGTCCCCTCGATCGGGATCCCATAAATTGGGGGAAGCTCACAGGGGCACTAACCAGTTAGCTAAGTTAGCACTAACAGTAACATAATAAGCCAATAACTTTGGGTTTCTGATAGATATATCGAAGTAGTTAATGGATGTTAATGGTGGTTATAACCCCAAACTTATAGCTGGGCTGGCACCACCTTGTGGAAATGCTATGAAAATGACTGAAGTGGTGTGTTTTTCTTCGAGGAAAAAACATGGAAAGAATTGCTTTTTGTCCGAAAAAAAACCTGGAATATAAAGATATAATGAAACTATGAAAAACAATAATGGAATCTGGTTCTGAATTGATGGAAATTCCAGGTTTTGGTTCCTGTGAACATGTCTGAATTGTAAATGCTGCCTTGAACCAATTCTAGGAAACTGGAAAGATTGGACCTGGGAAGATTGGACCTGGGTTACCATGAAAATTGTGATTTAGCCAGCAATCATTAGGGGAAAAATGGGAATATAATCGATAACACCATAAAACATAAATCTATCTATCCAACTATCTAGACATAATATATGCATATCTTTGCCATCTCACGTTGTTACCATCATATTACCATCATAGTGCACCCTCTATCACTATACTCACCGGTGGTATCGAGTAGGTTTTTTCAAGACTGATCATATGCCTTGCTTACACCAAGACCTATACACATTTTCCCTTAAGGATAGATTGTGTTCCATTAAAATACGGCCATGTGTATACATTATATAATAAAGATTAATGTAGCATGTGTTCCATTGCACCTGCACCAAGTTTGGCATGCGTCTTTCCTTGATCGAAATATAACTTTCCCATCCCCAAGTAATCTGGCAGTGTGTCAAAACCTTGTACCCCGGGTGAACATCAAAATACCTGGTAAATGGATGTTCATCCCACTAAAAATGGTATTAATAGGTATTGATCCATACCCATCTATCTATATAATTTGCTGGTGAATCTCGGGAGCTCCCAGAGTTTTCACGACTTCCCAGGTGCTCGCAGCGACATCCACCGTGATGGAAATCTGACAATCCGTGGATGGCCAATGTCTGGGTCGTGTGGAAAATCGATGTGTCAGAAAACTCAGTGCAGCCAGCACCAAATAGACCACGCCGCGAGGGATCTTTCGCCCCAGCCTTGGGGAAAAAAATGGGCGGCCAAACGGCAATGAATCCCAACTCCTTGGTGCCTAGCTGTGGGTACACAATGCATCTAGTTATATCGTGTTGTGATCGTGTTATATCGATTCAACACACCACAAAGATGGCTATCTAAGGGCTCCCCCTGAGGTGTTCTGCACCACCCGGGCGGTCACTCTTGCGTGTCTTGCACTTGAACAACTCATGCTGGTTGGCGGTTTCAACATCCCTGAACAACAGTGGTCATTTGGGATCATGATCCGAAATACAAGGAAATGCAATCAGATTTAAAACATTTTAAAACCCTTTAACCATCTATTAACCAATGCATTGGGCATGTCCGAAAAAGGTGGTCAGTGTTGGTTTCCACATACGAAAAATAGACACGCCAAGCAGCTGCAGGCACTTGGGAAGAATCAGGCAAGCATGCAATAACCAGAGCCACCAGCCTGAGAGAACCAGGTAGCAAGGGTCAAAGGATGATGTTTCATCATGTTTCCATGTGTTCCCCCCAAGCAAAAATAGCGATTTAGAATGAATCAACATGAATTCTTGTGTGTAAATGGTGCCGGGTAAACCTTAATCCACTGCCGGGAAGCCAGGAAAGCCCTGGCTAGTTGTGGGATGCGGACCATTAGCGTCCGAACATTGGGCTGAAGTTCCTACCTCCAACCGTCCGGTTCTCAACAGCTGAGGAACTCATTTCCCGATAGTTTTGGCTCATTGGCAACATCCATACGCATCCAAAGGCCAGCAAACAGGCCAGCAGCAGCGAGAGATGCACCTGACGACTCTCCGTATTTTTTTTTAGCTGGCACTGAAAAACCATCCATCTATAGAATCTATAGACGATTATCCGATATGTTCCATGATTTTCCCATTATATAATAGTTGGGTTGTTCCATTGTATGAAATTATCAGATGGAATCCAGCTTAAGAAACAGGAAGCAGCTTCTAACCTCCAGAAACATCCCAGGAATATCAGTGGTTGGTAGTGGAACATCTGAGCCATTGATCAACAGGAGGGGGTATGTCAATTTAATGTTGTTTTGAACTTATTTTGACCTATCTTTTTCCAGCTGTTTTAAAGTTGCTATCCAGCTCCTTGGAATCCCAGCCCCACGACCTCCTCGACAGGTTTGCGTTCCACGTCTATCAGGCAAAAGCTGCCGGACATGGCCCCGAAGAGCCCAAAAAGCTGGTAGCCTGGGTCTAAGGATGGTGAAGGTATGTAAAGGTTATTCAGGTATCTACCTCATACCATACCAGGATATACCGGGTATAAAGATGTATAAAGTACCATCTATGATATCTTTACATAATTTTACATGTATTTAATTCAAGCTGTATTTAGATGTATTTAGCTACATTTGGGTGATTTGGAAGGTAAACAGTAAACTATTTAGCTACATTGGGATTGATTTCGGTAGGATAGACGTAGATAGAACTCAACCAGACATGGATGGTCGGGTACAGTAGCATCCTGGGTTGCCCTGCTGTCAATCCCCAGCGAAAGGTGTGGTGATGGAATATCTGGCAAGGATTGGCAAGGGATATGTCAAGGTGTTCTTCTGATGTGTCATGGCAAATGCCGTAAATGTCCATGTTTTTTTAACCAGATATCTATATATCTGGTGAATTATTAAACTAATTAGTTCCGACTACAAACTCATCCACGCTTTAGAAATCAAACATGGCGATAGAAGATAAAAACCATTTCTGCATCCTTTTGCGACTTATTATTCAAAGTTGTGATATCAATATTCAGACATGCCGTAAATTCACGTACAGGGCCCAAAAAAACTGAAACATTGCCCATTCGGCCCATTCGGTAGCTTGTAAAACTTCATCCACCATTTTTTACAGGTGAAACCTTCTCAATCTTCATGCACGTTGATGTTTACACTGAAAACTCAGAAACACACTGCGTATCTCTTAGCTCCCCATGTCAAAACCCAAATTGAATCGACCACTCCTTTAGATCAATTTAAACATATTAACAGCCTGAAAAAAGAAACTGAAAAACCATGATCAGATAACTCAGATATCATGTTCCAATATGTTCATATATGTTCCACATCCTTTCCCCATTCATATCACATATCATATCCTTTCATATCCCCATCTGCTGCTTCATCAACTCACCGGGTTCGCCGGGTCGCAGATGGGCGCCTCCAGGGTCCACACCGTCGCGACGATGGCCCAGCACAGCAGCTGCTGGGTGTAGCCCCAGTTGCCGTTGGCGCCACCCCAGATGACATCGGCATAGGCCACGTCGAAGAGGTTTAGACCTACTGCAATGGGAGAAAAACCGGAGAATTTCGCATGTTACAAGTTAAGGGGGGGTTCTACCGACAGGAATCAAGGTTTGATTCATGGAAATGAGGGGTTTACTATAGCTTTACTTACAGAAATTGGCGTCTTAACCAATAGATAAGTGCGGATAATTCAGAAATGGAGAGCTTAAGTCACAAAAATGCTGGTTTGAACCAAGAGAAATGCGTATGAGGAGCCCTAGGAGCGGGATATTAGTGGCAAAATTTCGATGGTGCGGAATTATATTTCTACGTGGGGAAACTCGCCATGGTTCGAGTACAAATATTCCACCCTTGTCAGATCACTGCATGGCTATGAAACCCGATGTTTGTGCCCTGGTGTTGACATCTTGACATCAATATAGCGAGCTCAAGATGTCCATCCCCACCTTCTTGATACCACGAAGTCTGCGGGTAGGTGATCGTAAACCGCAAGATGTAGAACCAGGTGATGGCAATCAGAAGCCACGATGCGGCCCGCCGCATGGGAGATCTCTGCATGTAGTAGGAAGCAACCATTGAAACGCCTAAGACCACGAAGTATAAAGCCAGTCCAGCGTAGTTCACTGGAGACATGGACACCATGATTTCGAGATGCGATGGGTCGAATTTTCTCCCCTTGTACGGTTTTTTCAGCCGCAATGGGCTACGGTCATTTTTTGCATCACTGTCCCGGACTTGGATGATGGGAAGGGGGTAAAATCACCATGGTTTCCACATGTTTCGTTCATTGAAAAACCGTAGATATTCTCTGGCAAACGACTCCATTGAAACAGTGAATTGCTTTTCTGGTCCTTTCCCCCGAACATAGCAGCCGGGCATAAACATGTTGTGTCCACTTTTTCATCATCAACAATTTGGGTCTGGCTCAAAAAATGAGGTGCTAATGGAACCACAAATTTCTTTGGTGGTTGCCAGTAGTAAACCAGTCAAGTTCACAAATGTTCAGAATGTTGATCATCTTTAGTGCTAAGCCATCGAAATTTGGAGGTCATAAAATGAGCCAATCCCGTGCCCAATCGGCGCAACGCAATAGACTCGAGAGATGGGCATGGGCGTATGTACAATGCGGCAGATGGCCAGTTGTAGCTCTTGCTGCGCATCCAAAAAATCAAACAACCACAATTTGTGGCAAGGTTCAAGGTTCTCTTCGTTTCCGCGGTGAAATCATCATAAATCATCCAAAGAACTCTCAACCTCTTCAAATCAAAGTGCCACATCGATGACAGGTTCTTCAAAAGCTTAACATGGAACTCAACACAAATTTATATCCAACAGGAAAATCATAGCAAAAACAACCTATTGAGATATATCCTGGGTGGCATCAACACCCCAGCGTTGACTACTGCCCATAGACTTGGCTGGAGGATGACATGTCAACAGAAACGCCTTCCTCTGTGTCTGACTTTCCTAGTTTCTGTATATATACCGGAAGTGTTCGTGTGTCGATGTTCAATAATCCGCCGACCCTGCCTTAGCCAAGGCAGGGGCGGCGCCTGGGACCACCGCAGGTGTGGAACTTTTTTTCGTTCCCAATGCTTTGCACTTTCCACGAGCCACCCAGGCCATAGCACCCTCTGTTCACCGCCCAGGAGCCACTCAGGCCACAGCAATTTCTGTGCACTTCCCACGAGCCACTCATGCCACAGCAATCTCTGTTTCTACGGCGTTCCAAAACGCAACAGGCCGCGGCAGACCTTTCCTGCAGCTCCAACAAGTCCCTGAGGCCCTGGCAGTGTCCTTTTAAGGAGGTTCAAGGCTGCCGTTTGCCAGCCCGCAAAACTCCCCAAACCCTCCCCTGCAGCTCCCAGGCGCCACTCAGGCCGCGGCAGACCTTTCCTGCAGCTCCAACAAGTCCCTGAGGCCCTGGCAGTGTCCTTTTATGGACGTTCAAGGCTGCCGTTTGCCAGCCCTCAAAACTCCCCAAACCCTTCCCTGCAGCTCCCCAGGCGCCACTCAGGCCGCGGCAGACCTTTCCTGCAGCTCCAACAAGTCCCTGAGGCCGTGGCAGTGTCCTTTTAAGGAGGTTCAAGGCTGCCGTTTGCCAGCCCTCAAAACTCCCCAAACCCTTCCCTGCAGCTCCCAGGCGCCACTCAGGCCGCAGCAGACCTTTCCTGCAGCTCCAACAAGTCCCTGAGGCCGTGGCAGCGTCTTTTTATGGACGTTCAAGGCTGCCGTTTGCCAGCCCTCAAAACTCCCCAAACCCTTCCCTGCAGCTCCCAGGCGCCACTCAGGCCGCGGCAGACCTTTCCTGCAGCTCCAACACGTCCCTGAGGCCGTGGCAGTGTCCTTTTAAGGAGGTTCAAGGCTGCCGTTTGCCAGCCTTCAAAACTCTCAAACCCTCCCCTGCAGCTCCCGGCGCCACTCAGAGTCCGCGGCACAGACCTTCCTGCACTCCAACAGTCCCTGAGGCCGTGGCAGTGTTCCTTTTAAGGAGGTTCAATGGTGCCTTTTGCCAGCCTTCAAACTCCCCAAAACCCTCCCCTGCAGGCTCCCAGGCGCCACTCAGGCCGCGGCAGACCTTTCCTGCAGCTCCAACAAGTCCCTGAGGCCCTGCAGTGTCCTTTTAAGGACGTTCAAGGCTGCCGTTTGCCAGCCCGCAAAACTCGCCAAACCCTCCCCTGCAGCTCCCAGGCGCCACTCAGGCCGCGGCAGACCTTTCCTGCAGCTCCAACAAGTCCCTGAAGCCCTGTCAAGGCTGCCGTTTGCCAGCCCGCAAGACTCGCCAAACCCTCCCCTGCAGCTCCCAGGCGCCACTCAGGCCGCGGCAAACCTTTCCTGCAGCTCCAACAAGTCCCTGAGGCCGTGGCAGTGTCTTTTGGACTCAGGCTGCCGTTTGCCAGCCCCGCAAAACCCCCAAAACCCTCCCCTGGCAGCCCCGAGGCGCCACTCAGTCGCCGCGTCCGACTCCTGCAGCTCCAAAATTCCCCTGGGCCAGTGGCAGCCGTGGTCTTTTGACCGTTTCAAGCTGCCGTTTTGCCAGCCCTCAAAACCCCCCAAAAAACCTCCCCTGCAGCTCCCAGGCGCCCTCAGGCCGCGGCAAGAACCTTTCCCTGCAGCTCTCCAACAAAGTCCCTGAGGCCCTGGCAGTGTCCTTTTAAGGACGTTCAAGGCTGCCGTTTGCCAGCCCGCAAAACTCGCCAAACCCTCCCCTGCAGCTCCCAGGCGCCACTCAGGCCGCGGCAGACCTTTCCTGCAGCTCCAACAAGTCCCTGAGGCCGTGGCAGTGTCCTTTTAAGGAGGTTCAAGGGTGCCGTTTGCCAGCCTTCAAAACTCCCCAAACCCTCCCCTGCAGCTCCCAGGCGCCACTCAGGCCGCGGCAGACCTTTCCTGCAGCTCCAACAAGTCCCTGAAGCCCTGGCAGTGTCCTTTTAAGGACGTTCAAGGCTGCCGTTTGCCAGCCCGCAAAACTCGCCAAACCCTCCCCTGCAGCTCCCAGGCGCCACTCAGGCCGCGGCAGACCTTTCCTGCAGCTCCAACAAGTCCCTGAGGCCCTGGCAGTGTCCTTTTAAGGACGTTCAAGGCTGCCGTTTGCCAGCCCGCAAAACTCGCCAAACCCTCCCCTGCAGCTCCCAGGCGCCACTCAGGCCGCGGCAGACCTTTCCTGCAGCTCCAACAAGTCCCTGAGGCCGTGGCAGCGTCTTTTTCTGGACGTTCAAGGCTGCCGTTTGCCAGCCCGCAAAACTCTGCAGCTCCCAGGCGCCACTCAGGCCGCGGCAGACCTTTCCTGCAGCTCCAACAAGTCCCTGAGGCCGTGGCAGCGTCTTTTTATGGACGTTCAAGGCTGCCGTTTGCCAGCCCTCAAAACCCCCAAACCCTCCCCTGCAGCTCCCAGGCGCCACTCAGGCCGCGGCAGACCTTTCCTGCAGCTCCAACAAGTCCCTGAGGCCGTGGCAGTGTCCTTTTAAGGACGTTCAAGGCTGCCGTTTGCCAGCCCGCAAAACTCGCCAAACCCTCCCCTGCAGCTCCCAGGCGCCACTCAGGCCGCGGCAGACCTTTCCTGCAGCTCCAACAAGTCCCTGAGGCCGTGGCAGCGTCCTTTTATGGACGTTCAAGGCTGCCGTTTGCCAGCCCTCAAAACTCCCCAAACCCTCCCCTGCAGCTCCCAGGCGCCACTCAGGCCGCGGCAGACCTTTCCTGCAGCTCCAACAAGTCCCTGAGGCCGTGGCAGTGTCCTTTTAAGGAGGTTCAAGGCTGCCGTTTGCCAGCCCTCAAAACTCCCCAAACCCTCCCCTGCAGCTCCCAGGCGCCACTCAGGCCGCGGCAGACCTTTCCTGCAGCTCCAACAAGTCCCTGAGGCCGTGGCTGGTTTGCCAGCCTTCAAAACTCAAAACTCCCCAAACCCTCCCCTGCAGCTCCCAGGCGCCACTCAGGCCGCGGCAGACCTTTCCTGCAGCTCCAACAAGTTCCTGAGGCCGTGGCAGTGTCCTTTTACGGAGGTCCCAGGCTGCCGTTTGCCAGCCTTCAAAACTCGCCAAAACTCGACAAACCCTCCCCTGCAGCTCCCAGGCGCCACTTAGGCCGCGGCAGACCTTTCCTGCAGCTCCAACAAGTCCCTGAGGCCCTGGCAGTGTCCTTTTAAGGAGGCTCTTATTTCTTTTTTGTTTTCGTTGTCTTTTTCTCGGGAACGTGCCACTGCTTGTTGTGACATGGTTTTCCCGATGGCATGTCATGCTTGACAGCAATGCGGCCACATGACAGCGATGACCAAACAACAGTAGAGCAGACCGGGCAACTGTGCGCATGACGCCGTGTCTGCTTGCTGACTTCACCGTCCTTGACGTAAAATTAATTGTTGCACACAGATCGATGGTCGATTCGCCCTGTCTTCACGTTGCTATTGATCTAAGCGCAAATGATCTCTCTCTCTCTCTCTACCGGACCACCCCCAATAGGGGGGTCGGCGGCACCAGGGCGCTAGCCCATTCTATTATATCAGGTGTTCACATGATATAATTATCTCTTGCGTTCACATGTCGTATCAATACTTTGTGCTAAGTCACACTTTCTCTCGTTCACCGAACTACAACTTCCACTCTGCCGACATCGCCCGGTCCAGCCGCAATGATGTGGCCTATGTTTTGCAGACTAATGTTTGGCCCTAATTTACTGTTGATCATTCATCCATTGTGCCAAAACAAACGATAAAATCGATAAAGAAAGTCTGAGCTGCTGAGGCTTCCAAAATTTCAGAACCCAATTCATCCATCAGCAATCCTTCCACTTGGCGGCGCGTTTTTCGATGAAGGCCTGAACTGGAGGTAGGATGACAATGGAATGCTGGTCAAAAGCATTCAAACCACTGGTGTTCAGAGCAAAATAGTCCAACATATCGATTGTATTTGGATTGTCATTGTGTATCTTCATGATCCCAATTTGGTCGTGGTATTGACCCCTCCCCATAGCGCTCTATTGTTCAAGAGATGTGCGCAGTTGATGGTCCAAAAGCCCCCAAGAAGCGAACAGATAGCGACCAGCATACCCAGACACATACTGGTTGGTGGCTTCAACCCCTCTGAAAAATATTAGTCAATTGGGATGATTATTCCCAATATATGGAAAAATAAAAAATGTTCCAAACCACCAACCAGCATAGATTCTATTGATTCTCATTGATCCATTGGTTTCGTCTTGAAAACGCAACAAGGACTGTCCATAGTGTTTACATGTGTTTACTGCCCCCGAAAAATCATCTAGTGGTCAAAAATCCCGTCAAAGCCTAAGAACTTGCCTATTTTTCAGTGATTGACGATATATAGCTGTAATCCAAAAACTGAATGTGGAAAACCCGATGCCATGAACCTACCATTTGGGGTTGGTTTCTCTCGAATCATTCAGCAAAATGAAAGCATCGTTGAGCTGAACGACAGGAGCCTGAAATATGTTGGGTGACAAACCACTTAAAATATGTATGTTCATTATATCAGTATACATCTGTTATATATAACATTATAAAATATTATAAAACCCAAATATGTCTGTAACATTGAAAAGCAGGATGTGATCACTTATTGGTTATCTTGGTTATCTCTTTATCTCATTCAACTTCCGGGTGCCCAACTGTTCCATCGATGGGTTTGCTACATTGCTGATGAGGAAGTTGGAAAACATGGAGATTACCATTGCATTGATAATTGGTGTCTTGCATGAACTATTGACAATGTCTTACGCATGAGTTGTGATCTAGAAATAGAATTCCAAGATTGGTCTAAAATTATAAATTGCATACCCTGGACCCTGGACCCACATCTTTTGGGTTTTTATTCTATGAATCAATGAAACCATCCAAATTTTGGACTGTTGTTTAATTTTGATGAAAATCAAAACTATGGATCAGCCGAATCACCAACCCTGCCAGCAACCATGGTCCGTGTTACAGTAGGGATTCCCACAATGGATCATGATAATGCCCCTATTATTCGGGCCATATAACATAGCAATTACATAGGATAACATGATGCGGATTATCATCATTGTGGGAGTCTTGGGTGTACCATCCCATGGTGTAACTAAAGTATCATCATGATATTATATATTATGGAATGATAATAGTAATAATAATGATAATAATACTGATAATAATAATATAATAATAATGATAATATATGGTTTATCATTATCAATCGCCATTAGTTGTTATATGTTGTTATACCATCCCATGCACCGAACAAATCATCCACCTGGACCATGACCCGATGTGGCTCGCCTGGAAGCCTTCCCTTCGATCCTCCAAGCCCCAGGTGGCATGAAAGAGATGTCGCTCAAACCTGCGTGGGCCGACACGGGCGCCACGGCGGTAACGCCGTTGGATGCCGTTGGGGCTCCGTAGTAAAAAGGATGTTGCAAAGCTATGTGACGTGACTATGTGCAAGTATTTTTTGGAGTTTGTTTGGCAAAAATTACAGTACAGTAATGATAGGGAATCATTAATGTTTATCTTTTCGGGAAACCGTGCAGGGACTTTTGATGTTACGCTTGACATAAAATAGTATGACCCCCCCCGCGAGACTAGCACAATTTATCCCGGGATCTCAAGAAACCTCTGGAAATCTAATATGAAATGGGTGAGAAAACCACAAGTTTCAATATCCTCATCTGACAATCTTTCATTATGGTATCAGTTGAGATCTCGTTGAAATCGGGGTCCAAATCGCCAGCTGTGCGCCACAGAACAAGTTCAGCGAAAATCTGGTGCTGACAGGTATTTAAAGGGACGAACATTTGGACCAAACATTTAGGCTCATTTCCAAACATGGATTTAAACGGCTAAACTCTGCCATGGGATGAAAAGAACCGATGACCGCCGGAGCTGCTTTTCAACTGCGGTGGCACGCCATCTCGAGATCGCTTTGCACGCACTGCAGGTGCCACAAGTGTAGCATGGTCGTAACGTCGCAACAATGTTCATCTGGCTTCCAGAAATCGACAATGATATTCATATTATCATTGATGATGATGATGATGATGATTGTTGATTGTTGATTGGTGGCGGTGGTGGTGGTGGCGGTGGAGCGTGACAGCAAAATGGTGATGATCATGAAAATTGATGACAGTCTTGTATTGTTCGACCATGGCCACACACGCTGTGGGTTCACCCTCTGCGTGCCCGACCCCCATCGGCAGCATGACGTGAAACGGGGATCTTTTTCTGCTACCTTAGCCGGCGAACATTCCAGCAGTTTATCTCTGAAAAATCCATGAAAATCCACTGCTTCATGGCTTCATGTATCCCCGCATTGCCAGTAGGGGATCATGTTCCCCATCTGGTACCATCTCCACCTTGCTTGGTCCCAGTAGAGTCCCCTCATGGTAGCTGGTAGCTGGATTGTCCATGGGTGACCAGCTATGGCCAATCTTAGATACCCTACACACCAAAAAAGTTCTTTAGCTGCTTAGCATGTATCATCATGTATCCCTTTATGGCCAAAGATCATTTAAACAAAAGAAGTTGAGCCTCCCAACATCTCTCAACCCAAAATTGATCAAAAAAATAAAACACAAAAAATCATGGTTTATTGAAAAAGTTAACCATGGTTTACCCCCCTCAACTCTTCCGCCAAGCTCATGGCCCCCATGGCCCCCATGGCCGCTTTCGGGGCACCGGAGCGGTTTCAGCCCCAAGCGTTTGCGAATCTCGTTCGACTCCTCCACCGTCAGACCATCCTGCGCTCGTGGCTTTTGGGAGCGGTGATGGGATGTGGAAATCCGAAATGGAAATCACACGTTGCTGATGTGAGTTTTCAATCATCCAGTCTAACTTTGATCTGAGAAATCCGAAAATACAAAGTTCCACTGGAAAAACACGACTGGAAATTGACTGAAAATCTGATTTTGATTTGTATCCTACGGATAAAGCCTCAACAAATGCATGAAGAACCACCCTCTCGTACAAAATAATAGCAACTTTGACGACGACTTGGGATATGATCATTGCAGGCATCGACTTTTCAAGGGATCTGATCTCACTTTCGCTCGAGTCACTAAAAAGCGCACAAAGTTTGCCGCGGAGGATTCCTACCCATCAAACTTCCAAGCCGCGCCTTGTCGTTCTTTGAATGGCCTGCAGCTCTCTCTTCATCTGCCTTATTGGCCTCAGCAGTTGCTAGCGCATCCGCCAAAAACCTAAGAGGTCTTCGGAAGCGCTTACATTCCAATACTATGAAGTTTGGATATTACTTGGTTGTTCATACCAGGAATCGTAAGTGGGGTATAACTCCAGTTATAGGTACGGCTAGTACACTTAGATTTTTTGCTGTAACCGTTGTAACTCACTTGCTAATTACTAGGTGGGGTGAACCACTAGGTAGTGGGTGATGTGGGTGTATCCAAACCAAAGGAACAGCCCAACCATTGGCTTCCCTGCCCAACTACACGGCCAACAACTCACTGTTGCTTGATCTGCTGAGTGCCAGGCATACTTTGGCTTCTTTTTCTTCTCGTCCTTTTCCTTTTTATCCTTCTTCTCTTTCTTTTCCCTTCTCTCTTCTCGGTCCCGATGGTCATCCCGATCTTTCCTCTTCTTCTCATCGTCTCTTCTTTCTCTTCTCTCCTTCCGGTCATCATCATCGCGTCCATCTCGTCTGTCTCTTCTTTCCCTCTCATCTCTTCTATCTCTTCGATCGTCTCGCCGATCATCCCTCCTCTCCTCTCTTCGCTTCTCTTCGACCTCACCCTTCTCGCCTTCACCATCCTTGGATTTGCCGGTCTAGATCTGAAAAAAACTCCAAGCGCTTTCGACGGTGAATCATGAATAGATGGATTGATTGGACAGGATTGATCGCATAGGACGGGTAGGATAGATATGTCAATCGCTTGATGTGACTAGATTCGACTATAAATGTAAAAAACTGGGCTAAGTGTATCAAAACATGGTAAACATTCAGAAACATCCGTAACTTCCGTGGCAAATAAACACTTTTGTATAAACCCATGCGATGCCAAGCTGCTTCGGCTTCCTTCGTCATCGAAGCCTCTGCCTTCTCTGCCGCAGGAGCCTCCTCCTTCGCTTGCTCCTCAAGAGGACGCCGTCCGCCGGACGGGCGAGTCTTATTGGTGGTTAACCCGAGTTAATCCCCAGGAAAATAAGTATAGACTATGATGGAACTGTATAGTTATATATAAAGTATCATATAATATGATATAAAATGATAAAATATAAAATAATAAAATATTATATAATATAACATAATATGAAATAATATAATATAATATGATGCAATATGATATACGATAATATAATATAATATGATATAATATGATATAATATAATATGATATAATATAATATGATACAATATGATATAATACAATATAATATAATATGATATGATATCATATGATATGATATAATCTAATATGATATGATATCATATGATATGATATAATATAATATAATATGATATACAAAAATATAATCTAATATGATATAATTTAATATAATATCATATATTATATTATAATATGATATAATATAACATAATATGATATAATATAATATAATATGATGCAATATGATATACGATAATATAATATAATATGATATAATATGATATAATATGATATAATATAATATAATATGATGCAATATGATATAATACAATATAATGATATAATATGATATAATATAATATGATATAATATAATATGATACAATATGATATAATACAATATAATATGATATAATATAATATGATATAATATAATATAATATGATATAATATAATATATAATTGTATGTATATACGTATATATATATATATATATATCGTGATATACAGTGATAGAACCTATCTATAGCATCATGAGCCCAACTACAAGTGGACTAAATCAGGATTTCGCAGGTATAGAAGTTACTCAGGATGACCCATCTAAGTAGGATCAAGTAGGTCTTGAGCCAAATCTGTTGAATTATGTTGAATTTAAACTTAGGTCTGGAGCCAAATCATCACACAATCACCCCAAGATTCCTTTCTTTTTAAACCTCAGTGGAATCATGTCCCATAATTTTCCTAGAATTTCCCCATCATTTCCCATCATTGTAGGGAATTTACCATGCCATGGCACCAGCAGTCCAGCAGCCCACAACCAGCGGCCTTCAAAGATCGTTCCAGCTCCTCCAGATCTTCGAGGTCATCCTCCAGAACCTGGTCGTCGAGATAGGTCCACGACTGGATGGATGGTACCCCCATGGTGATTATCCAGTCATCATTCCCCATGATAAAAATCATCATTAGATGATGGATGAAAATTCCATGGAATCCATGATAATCCATGACGACTGGATATTTTTTGCGAATTATGACGGTTTGATGATGGTGGTGAAGGTCTCCAGGACCATGATGGTACCTGATGGATGGGTACCCCCATTAGATTGACTGGATGATGGAATCCATGACGACTGGATAATTTGAATGATTTGAATCAGATCGAAATTTCCGGATAGAAACACCTTCTTGGGCTGAAACTGATGAATAAACTGTTCCGTCAACGTTCGTGGACCTTGTCACCAATCAGCATCAGTGTCACTGCAATTGGCCAAGCCGAAGCCATTTTGGATACCCAAAGGGTAATCAAACATGGCAACTGGAAGTCCCCTATCAATGGATAACCGAAGGAAGTTTAGAAGTCAAACTTCCGACAATATGGACAGATGAAAAGCAGAGTAGGGGAGAGGCAGAGAGAAGAGGAAGATTAGAAGAGAGAAGATGAGAAGAGAAAGAGTCAGAAGAAAGAAGATACAGATGCGCGAAAAGGTAGGAAAGTCGCGACACACTGTGTTTTTCTAATGATTTGTGGCTCAGGAGGGTCGAAAAGTAGGCTCGCTAAAGCGGCGGGTGCGGAGCCAGCTGGTCACAGGAGCGATGAAAAATTGCACGCCGTTGTGGCGCGAAGCAAATTTCCAAGTCAAAAGGTACAAAACACCTCAGCGTCGGACGACTTTTGGAAGTTGCGATGTCGAAAAAGTGCACGCCGTTGTGGCGCGAAGCACATTTCCAAGTCAAAATGTACAAAACACCTCAGCGTCGGACGACTTTTGGAAGTTGCGATGTCGAAAAAGTGCACGCCGTTGTGGCGCGAAGCACATTTCCAAGTCAAAATGTACAAAACACCTCAGCTTCGGACCACTTTTGGAAGTTGAGATGTCGAAAAAGTGCACGCCGTTGTGGCGCGAAGCACATTTCCAAGTCAAAAGTGTTAAAAACTGGCGGTCTCGGACCACTTTTGGAAGTTGAGATGTCGAAAAAGTGTCGAAAAGTGCACGCCGTTGTGGCGCGAAGCACATTTCGAAGTCAAAAGTGTAAAAAACTGAGGGTTTGAGCCTTTTTTGACGTGAAGATGTCGAAAAAGTAGACACTGATTAACTTAACTAACTTGACTAACTTAACTAACTTCACTAACTTAACTACCCTAACTTCGACGACAACAGCAACAGCAACAGCAACAACAACAACAACAACAACAACACCAACCACAACCACAACAACAACAACACCAACCACAACAACTACAACAACTACAACTACAACAACTACACGACAACTACAACTAGAACTACAACTACAACAACTACTACAACAACAACAGCAACAACTACTACTACTACAGCAACAACAACAACTACAACTACAACAACTACAACAACTACTACAACAACAACTACTACTACTACACTACACAACAACTACTACTACTACTACAGCAACAACAACAACAACAACAACAACTACAACAACTACTACAACAACAACAACTACTACTACTACTACACTACACAACAACTACAACCACACAACAACTACAGCTACAACTACAACAACTACTACAACTACAACAACTACAACTACAAAACAACTACATCTACAACTATATGACTGCAACTACACTACACTAATTACATTACACCACAACTACAACTCCACTACGCTACAACTACAACTACAGTTGCAGTACATCACACTACATCCAGCAACTCCAACCACCTTTCGGTCAATCAGTGGATTCGCTCTGCCATCCGTGATTCACAACAACCAACGTCTCCTATAGGTTTCCTATTCTGAAACTTCCGCCACCGCCTTGTGCGGTACTACTGGTAAAGGGAGGCGTTTAGTAAATGAACAACATCTTTAAAATTGGGGGGGTCCATTGCCATGGCTGCCATGTTTCAGTACCGGAGGGTAGTTCTCATCATTCCAATGATTCAATGACAGTTAGATTGTTGATGCCAGACATAACTTCAGAAAAGCTCAGTGCCTTTGGAATATGTTGCTGCTTCTTTGGGCTTTTAATATTCATGATTGTCATTTGGAAGAAAGAAAGTTGATTGAGCACAGTCAAGTAATGTACTATCAAGAAATTTAGCTTGATCAAGTAGTTTAGTAAGAGAATGTACTATCAAGTAATTTAGCGGCAGAATCACAAATAATTGAAATGCTTAGCTTAAGCCACAAAGATTAGCAAACACCTTGTATTTTATTTCTATCATTTTTGGTATAATAATTCATAACAATGTTATTTAAGCACATATTATAAGTAAGTGCAAGGGTGGACGGCTGGGAGCTCCGTACACTTTGATAGACATCCAGCTGCCCCGTCTGCTCCAGGATTTCTCTCTTGGGCATCTGCGGCATTGTGACCTGAAGCGCACGGGGAAGGAACATCTACTGGAAACATCAGGAAACCCCTTGTGTTTTGAATGGTTTGGTGGTGAAAACTATGGGTTTTCTTGTTTCCGAAGTTTTTGTTCCTTGAATCTGGTTTTCCATGCTTTCTGAGTGGTCCCTTCGGACACTTCATGGTAATTCCGTCCCATCAAACACGGAATCTACGGCTGGTCGTGTCCCGAGGGTCACGAAATGTCACTTGTCCCTGGATTTACAAACGATGCTGTTCTGCAGCTCCAATACCTCTGGGTTTCCCACGTCACAAATGGTCTCTTCTCTCATGAGCCAATCGATAAACTCGTCCATGCGAATCATGGACCTGGCGGGATGAGACAGCGACATAAACTCGTCGTGCAGCATTTCATCCAAGTCTCATGGTCCAAGGATCAGGGGGCTCAATTACCCATATTTACATGTATATATATATATATATACACCAATATAATTATATAATTATACCATATTATACAATCCTATATATGATTGAAACTTCCTACACCTGGAAACTCTCAGCGACTCTCAGCCGCCCACATCTTGCCCTGCATGTTGCGGTACCGCAGCTTGCGGTAGTCCGCGAAGAGTGGCTCCAGGGTCTGGTAGACCGTCAGATACCTCGGGAAAACTGGTTGGAACATCATCGTGTGAGATGAGAATCTACCATTGTTTACTAATGGAAACTTGTATTTAATGAGCAAAATATTATTGGATAGATGAATATAGATGATAGAAGCAACAAACAAGGGTATTGTTTAATATGTTATATTGTTTATATGGTTTTTATATGGATTTTGTATGTTTTTTTACATGGATTTTATAGGGATCTTATATGGAATCACTGGTGAGTTGTAACCCCAGAAAATCCATGGGATAATCTTCTAAGTCAGAGGGTGATCCTCCAGCATTTGATGCTGAGGTCAGGAGAATCTTGGATCTTTATATAAAAAAAAGTTGTACCATTATACCGTATCCCTTTTAAATGGCCATGTGAATTATGATCATAAAGAATATATTTAGGTCCCGGTAGTTTGTTACATAGCCATGAAACACAATCCATTTCTAGATGATTTGCCAAACATTGTGATTTTCTATTGCTATGGCTCCATTCTTCAGGCCGCAAACGATGAACAATTCACAGAGGTCATGGAGTAAAAAAACAACTTATATATAAATGAAATATTATCATATCATCATGACTATGGACTATATCTAATGATATGTGTATATATATACATATAATCATATGTTATATCATAATCATATATCATGATTGATAAAATATACTAACTTCCCGGAATGTCTGCATCACCATCGGAACCGCGCCTGGCAGTGATCCGGAGATACGCGCAGCCTAGGGCCCTGAGATATTTCAGTTCAGGCTGCTTGATGTATTCTAGAACCACATCCTGGAGACAGGATGAGAAAATTGACCCCAAATCTCCATGAATCACACATATAAACCAGGGATTGTTCCAAAGAATCCTATGGGTATAGTGATCCCCAAAAAGATAGAAATTCGTAACATTCCACTGAAATCGTGATAGATGACTTTTCTATCTTTATCGGGGTCACGATAATGCATGTTAACGGGAACACGTTGATTCCAGTGTGGAAAATATCTACAAGAAACGTCATTTAGTCTTTACAATGAAAAATACGGCTTTAGGTATCCTCATTGTTAAACAAATTAACAAACCCAAATATCATCTAACGTTGGGTATCCCGGTCATTCCCATTATCCCCGTAAAATGGTTGCTTTTATAGTGCCCCAATCTATGGAATATGCCGATCCATGAAAAAAATGCCCAAAAGATCATGGAGCTTCTCAGAAAATCATCATATCTCCATTCTACTATACTACAACATCTATATAATACATGTATATATATATATACACAGTATATTAATACACATATTCCCCTTGAGATCCCATTAAAAAAAAAAAAACATATGAAACAAGCATCATGAGTCATGACCCATTGCTCTCCTCATCCGGCTGAATCTGCAGCAACTTCAGGAAGAGGCAGAGAAATCGCGAGGGGCGTCGGCGGCCGCCATAGGTGCCGGCCACGTAATCCAACTTGGCCGCCTGCCAGGGAAAAACAACAACAACAACAACAACAACAACAACCAAGGAAAATAGGGATTTCACGGGACTTCAACTTCTTAGAAATGGAGATTTTAGGGGACTTCGACGGTGATTTCAGCAGATGTTTCCATCTGTTTGTCGGTTTACAACCATGAACTAGTTCGATATAACTACCATAGACCCTAGCTATTGCAGCATATTAGAGCTATGTCTACCAACTTGGCTCACTACAGGGCACCAATTTGTCATGGACCTGAAACTACAAATGAAGCCAGAGTTGTTCATGTTGTTTGTACCCTTATAGCAAACCCAAGCATTTATAGTGGCAACTTAAACTTGTCTAAATTTTTTGGGGTGGTTTACTGTAATGTGTGCTCTTTTTTTTCGTCCTATCCAATGGATCACATCGGCTTGTGCCCGTGACGCCCGTGACCTCGTCGATGAGAGATTCGGTGGTCAAACCGAAGCAATACTCCTTCCAATAGGCGTCCTGAGAGCGGTCAGGCAGCTCGGCTGGATTTCACTATGATGTCTTCACAACCGAAACTCGAAAATAAAGGGTTGGTGACTGATATACCATGGAACAAATTAACAAACTATTACAAACTATCATTTATTGATTGGTTGGGAAAGATTGGGTGGGGCGGGGCATACGATCATCTATCGATTGATTGTTTAATGCAGGTGTCCCTCTCGTTTTCTATCAAACAACAAACAAGTGGGAAGGGAATACAATCATGAATAATCATCAAATACTGCAGATTTGGCGGTTCAAATTTGATAGACTGATAGACTATCTTTCCAAATTGGGTCCCCCATGGTCCCCCTAAAAACAGGAAACATGGAAAAGTGAATCACATTGTGCCTCTTCACTGATATTTCCCATCAACATATCAACATAATTCAACATATAGGAAGAGGATAGCCTTGTCAAGAACGAACTGGTGAACAGAACCATGGCGCCCAGCAAATTACTATAGTATATACAGTATATATATATATATATAATTATAATACCCCAAGTTGGAGGCTCACTTGTTATTTTTTGGGGATTCTTGTTGCCAAGTATTTTTTTCTGGGAATCTCCTGGAAGCTCAACAAAAACCAAATCCTGGTGCCCCGTGGTGCCCCAACTACTTTACGATATAATGATATATGAATATATATGATGGATCCACCATTCACATCCATTCACATCCATTAATTAACATCCATTCACATCCATTAACATCCATGAACCATAGTAACCACTGGGGCACCATAGTAACCACTGGGATGGCCCTTGGTCCCCAATGATGTCCCTTGATGTCGGCCGAGCTGCGTTGTAGATCTTCACCCGGACGATGCGATCCACCAGGAACTGCGGGTTCGCCCCGTGAACGGTGTCCGCATCCGGGTCCGTGCGGTTCGCCATGGCTCCGGTCCGAGGTCAACAGCTGCGGGGCCAGGGAGGTCCTATAGGGACTGAAGGTTTCAGCGATGCGTCGTAGGTGGATTCTACCCTCTGGTTATGTCAAAATAGCTATTGAAAATGGCCATTTATAGTGGATTTTCCCATGAAAAATGGTGATTGTCCATAGTTATGTTAGTTTACCAGAGGGTAACCCTCGAAAAAAGTGGGATGTCTAGCGACAAATCGCCCAGTGACTAGCGACAAATCGTCTACGAAGCCACTTTTTGGTGACCTTACCTGATGGGGAATCGAAAACTCAACGATAGTCCAATCCATTTCCGTCAGGTCTTGAAAGTTCTTTAATGCTATAAACTGGCCATAGAAAGGATGGATTTCGAAGGCTTCACAGTTTTTCCAGATCTAAAATAGGACCCCAGCGGCCCCTGCAATCGACATTTTTACGACACCAAGCCGGTAAAGCGACCCTGCAGCCGGCTCGGTGATGGTGAACTGGAAATGTGGGCTGCCCTAACTTGTTCCGGAGGGGGGTTGCTACCTACAGTAGACCTGCCACTCCCAGAAAACGGTACTTGGAGGGTGCCAGATTTCATGGATACACCAAAACTTCATGATTTGATCGATGTTGAGGTGAAGAAGTATCCCTTGCACCCCCATCAGGTGCATTTCAACAGCAATCTGGCCACTTCACAACCTCAAAATGAATGCAGAATAATGCAGTAAGATTTCTCACTTAAGATTTGTCACTTCACACCCAAAAAATGAAAGAAACATGATTATTTCGCACTCTATTGATAAAATTGCAAGAAACATCTTAAACATGGGGCAAGAGCTTCATTTGGAACATCATCATTTTTGTTCACCATCAACCCAGCTAAGCCAACATTTCACATATCTCTATTTAAATCATTGAAATCAATTGAAATGCAGATTTTTGCTAGTTTTTCCCACGTGTTTCCGATGATTTTCCCTGCCTCGACCAAGTCCATCAGCAGCCTTTGGCGCTCGTTGTCGCGGAGCACGGGGCCCAGGAAGGTCTCCAGCTGTTCCAGCGCCTGTCCGAGTGTTCCAGTGATGTATACAAAGCTTGTTGATAACTATAGGTGAATTATGATTCACTATGGTTTATACTTAGGTCAGTGATGTTAGGTGAACTATGATATACTATGATTCACTTTGGTTTAATAGATTTATAGATGTTTATAAGATTTTATAAGCCAGTGCTTCACTGGGGATTCTGATAAATATGTTTGGGTGATGACTATTTGGAACAATCCCTAATTGGTAAATGTTGGATTCACGGTTTGGGATCTGTATAACCGCCAAACATGAGAATATTCAAGGTGGTATGACGAAATTAAGAATGGTCATATTGTCAATTACCCTCCGGCAGGTTGACACAGCTATGGAATATAAAAATGTTTAGTAGATAAATCATCGAACATCATCGAACAATGGGCCATAGTTTCAGTAGCTAATTGATAGAAAACAGGGGCATAGGTGGTTCTATATCCCATTACATCGCCACCAATATCCCATTAAATTACCATGTTTAGAGGTAATATTAGTAATATGCCATAGATATCCCAAAAATATCAGAGGTATATTCCCATTCACCTCGCACGATCGACTCATCCATGATTCATCCATGATTCATGCAGTGTTGGTGAAGAACCTCCAGGATTCACCAGTCACCAAACACATGATTCATACCCTCTGGTAATTTAACATAGCTATGGAAAATCACCATTTTTAATGGGAAAATCCACTATAAATGGCCATTTTCAATAGCTATGTTAGTTTACCAGAGGGTATGCCATAAACATCCCATGGAAAATTCCAGAAATCTCCATGAAACTCGTTTTGGGGGAGGCGAAAAGGGCGGCGCTGTGCGCGTCGCGGGCGGCGCAAGCCCGCACCTGCTGCCACTGACCACCTTTACCACCCTCGATGGCCAATCTCAAAACTTCATGGACCTCAATGGAGACTTCACAGCTTTTGACTGTCGAAAAAAATCTACAGACAGAGGGTTGGATGATCCAATTTCATTACTGGGTTCATAGCAGATATAATGGTTCCCACAAGTTCGGAAAATTCTATGTAAAAAGTCTAAAATGAGGATATGTAACCGCTGAGGATTTGGGAATTAAACCAAGAAGAATTTGGGAAAATGGTGATATAATGCGGATATAAATGGGGATATATAATTAGGATATAATTATTAATGGAAACAAGGGGAATATCATTTGGGGATATATATATATAATTTGATGATGCAACAAATGGAATATGTGTCCGAAAAAGGGTATCACTATCCAACATGGCTGGTGCCAAACCCTGCCAGGCCCTATATGTGGAAATTAATGATACAATGGGATGTAATGGGATACAATTCATGGATATAGATATCGGATAATAACCAACAAATACCAACAATATGATATAGCCACGGGGTACTCATAATTCTAACGGATCAAAGCCACAAAAAAAATCTGAGATTTTGAGATTTTGAGAAAAACCCGTTGATTTTGACTGATACTGGTACTTGGGAGTTTCACCGAGTACATGGAATGTTCATGCCAAGTCCCGAAGCAGCTGAACCAACCACATCCGCCAAAATAGTCATCCTGTCATTTGTCTATTGGATGTTTATTAGATTATATTAGATTATCCACTATATAGTTATATATTAGTCATATTGCTAGCAATTACGACATAAAAAGTGAATCATCCATCATTAGTTACGGATTAGATATCTATAAACATGAGAAACATTCGCTCCCGCCTTGGAAGGCTGTGCCACTTGCGCGATCAACTCCTGCCAGGCACAGTGCGGTGAAGTTAGATGGGTTAAAATATGTTTAAATGGCTGAGAAATCCCCAGCAAATATGATACAATGAATATTGATCCATGGAAAATTGACATGATGGAATCTGCAGGATTTAAGTTGGTTTCTTTGAAAAAAATGCACCGAAAACTTAAGTTGGGAAATGTTCTGTGGATTTTTTTGGTCTCAAGAACCGTGATCCTAGGGAGGAATACATTAATCACTACTAATAACTATTAACCATCATTAACCATCATTAACCATCATTAACCATCATTAACCATCATTAACCATCATTAACCAATGGATACTGTCCCAAAAAAGGACATGTCAGAAGGGATGTGAGCTGATATGCCTCTCCTCTACACATCTCTGAAAGAGCGTCCGGCGCACGCCGAAGAGGGGCCTAGGCGCACGCCGAAGAGGGGCCGAAGAGCGACATTCTGGGTATGTTCTCCAAGGAATCTTTGAGAACATCACAAATTGAACTTGAACTGTGCTTGCCCCTTCAAACAAACAAGTGAATTTACAAAAACTGGAAAATCAGGGTTTCAGTTACAGCAGGACACAATGATTAAACAAATCAGTGACACAGCAGGATCCCGGATGCATACTTTGTCCTACGGTGCACACGTAACGGGATGATCTGCCAGCCACCTTACCCTTGGGTAATGACTAACGTAGCCATGGAAAATTGGAAAATCACCATTTCTGGCCAATCATGAATAAATGGGCCATGGCTTCCATAGTTTAAGTCTAAGTTTAAGTGTTAGATTACCAGAGGGCATAGGTGGTTATATCCCATTACATCCCCATCAATACACCATTAATTCCAGGTTTTCCCGCTACTGGGCTTCCAGAAGTTGCCCAAGTATTTGCGGACATGATCCCCTTACAGGGCCCCAGTTACGAGTTGCTTTATACAGAACCCCATAAACTACAGACATATCAACCCCATATCTAAAATCCCTAAAATCAGCAGTTATCGGAGTCATAAAGCAATTTACAGTAGCTTACAACTTGGAGTAGCACTTTCACTTGGATCGGCCGCTTCGCCCCGCTTCGCCCAGTGGCTTATCCCAAGTGATCTGGCCCTTTGCCAAATCGCCATCGAACCAAGTGGGCGGTGGATACCAGAAGTTGAAGCTCACAACCTTCGGCCATGAAGTTGGGGGGATGGGAAAATATGGGAAAATGGTGAACGGCCGAGGATTAATTTAGAGGTAGCCAAAAAAAAATTGCGAAAGTGACTGCTTGGTCCTGGAGAAGTGGCCCACTAAGATATCCCATTGAGAAGTGGACAGCAATAATTAGTCATTAACCAATGCCAAATCTCCCCATCATTGATTGGCTATGATATGTCAGTAACCTTTTGTTTGTTCCAACCCGCAATTTTGCGGCTTAATGCAACGGGTGGATATTTATATCTAGATACATGCATATATAATCATATATACAAAGAGACACAATTATATTGTACCCACGCCAAACAAAAAATGTCTCTACTTTGTGTAAATGTTTGAACCCACAATTATATTAGAACAATTATATCAGAACAGGTTCAATTTCGAAACCCCCATGATCTCGTTGGAAAAGCCATGGTTTCCTGTGGATTGAAACCGGCGGCCGCCTCTCCGCGTGGTGATGGCAACATCTCCACGTGGTGCCACCAACCGGGAGGGATGTGCCTGAGCCGTTTTGCCAGGCCTGGGAACAAACATCGCTGGGAAATCTGGGAAATTCCCTGATTTTCTGAGAAAAAGATGGGAAGCACACGAATATATGCTTATGCCAATATATGTATTATATAATACATATACATATATACATGTACATCTACATATACATACTGTATATAGATATATACATATACATACAGTATACATATATGTAATAATATGTATATGTACGTATATTCTGTATAATAATATGTATATGTATGTATATGTATGTATGCATTTGTTTCTCTAGGATGATCAATGGAATACAATAACTCATCTAAACCGCAACACTGTTTGTTTGTTTACGGACAACCACCACCAGCTGGCAGCGTCATCACCGTCTCTGTCTCTAGGCTTCCCCACAAGAGATCTCCGGGTCCCAAGATGGCTTCAATCCCCTGGCCATTCAACTCCGCAAAGCGTGGGAAGCTTCGCAGGTCCTGGAGGCGACTTGGCATTTCTAGAAACGGCAAAAAGGTGGCCAGGGGTTCTCGTGGATGTAGCCGTGGTGCCACATAAGTTGGGATAATGTATGATGTTATATGGCTCCTATAACTATGTTGAACTTTATCCAATTAGAACTGGAAGTGCGTCCAAGCAGCCATCAAAATCTAAAGGAGTTGAGGAAACGTACTAAAGGTACCCTCCAAGTTTTCTTTTTGGCATGTTCAGGGACATCGATGGCAAGCCGCATTTGCATGTTCCGAAACTTGTGCCGCTGTTCAAAGGGATCCATGTGTTCAACAATGGTTAGGGTCCAAACATCCCCAACTTTCAGGACAATCTCTGGATTGCAAGATGTTTGGCAACCGTGGCACTTTGAAAATACAAATGTGGATAAGTCTAGTGCGCACCACAGGCTGTGCAACATCTTTTGATTAAACAAAACATTAGAATCATTAGAAATTAGAAATCGAGAAAAATATCAATCAAAATTGAAAACAACTCTTCCAAACCATTCCAGCCCAACTTCAAAATCTGAGTGTTTCTTCCGATCCACGTCTTGATCGTCCATCCCACGAAGCCCCAGTCCGGCTCTTCGAAGTTGACGCGGCTCTGCCGGTCCTGGAAAGTTGTGGAAATGTCGGTCTTTGGCCCAGAACTGATGGGAAATCCCCAGAAATGAACATTTTCACGGGAAAATCATGTGGCAAAATCATCGAAGTATTGGGAAATTTTCCAGCAAACCATGTTTGACTATCAGAGGGTAGATGGTAGGAGGGTCAGTTTGAAACAGTTTTTTTGGTAACTCCACAACAAGTGTATACAAATACTAGTGTACATATACTCAGGTACTTTGGGTCATTCAAGAGAACGCGATGTCTGCAGGGCGATATAAACGAAGCGGGTTACTTCAGAAGACAGATTTTGGGACATTGTTGTGATAAATATGTCCTTAAACCAATTGAGAGACTTTGTTGAGGTATGCGCGACCCTTTGATGCTGGACCACCTTATGGTTTCAAGACTATTATCGCGCGAGAAACCCATCATGCCCATCCCACTGTCATAAGTGGCTGGCAACAAATAGATCAAAAACAGTCAGCCCTGTAGCCTCCTATGTGTAAAACCGGCCCTAGCCACGCTGGAAACCACCCATCCTGCGGGTGATGTACGGGCCAGGGATACAAGCAGCCAAAGTGCCTGGATTTCATCTCCAGCATGGCTTGGTGATGATCGGCGCTTTCAAGGCCCTGGTTTTTTTAAGCAAAAGTCGCTCACAATAATAACAAGAACAATAATAATAACAATAATAACAATGATAGTCAGTGGTGATAGTCAGTAATAATCACCATCATCGTCGTCAAAAACAATCATCATCGTTTTCATCATCATCATCATCATCAAATACCATCATCATCATCATCATCATCATCAAATACCATCATCATCATCATCATCATCATCATCATCATCATCATCATCGTCATCATCATCGTCATCGTCATCATCATCGTCGTCATCATCATCGTCATCATCATCATCGTCATCATCATCATCATCATCATCATCATCATCACCATGGCACACCTGCTGGATGAAAAAGAAAAACAAAATGCCAAAGCACTGACAACACCAGGTTTTTCCATTTGACGTAAATGTCTGGTTCAACCCAAATGCGGGTCCCCCAAATCATCCAAAATTCATAATTGGATGGCAAAAACCAATGGTTTAGTAATTTTTGTATCCCATATTTCACGAAACCTCCATACTCCACATATGTTTCTTGATGAAATCCTCCACTTTTTGGCCCCTCAACTCATCACTCAGCCACGCCTGGGATGGAACAGAAGAACGCGCCTCGACGGTCTCGTGAGAGGGTATACATGGATAACCGCAGTAGATCAATGTGGATCAAATGATTTCATATGTGATAAACCATGATAAACCATGATAAACCATGATAAACCATGATAAACCATGATAAACCATGATAAACCCCATTTCATAAACAATCCCCCAAATCACCATTTTGATGGTATGGTATAGGTTTATTATGGGCTTGCCCACATCAATTTGATATATGTGCCTGCAACAAACATGTCGCGCAGCGGATTTTCTGGCTGCCGATCTCGCAAATTTGGCGCAGTCAGCCAGGTCGCACATGCGAATGTTCTGTGGGCATGGATACAAATACGTGGCAGAAATCATTGCAAAACAATGCAAACAATAGATGCGTACCAACTATGTGCATCTAAAAATGCATATTATATCTACAGGCATGCTAACATACATAGTGCAAATATGTGCAAATCATATTTACTCACCGTTTCTGCATCTCAAACCCGACCAACCACTTTGGGCACTTCTCAGTCTTCATCCTCATAGCTAGAGCTTTCCGCATCAGCTCGGGCCTAAACTGTCACTTGTCAAGCTTGGTGGGCACCAATAGACTCACCAAAATTGCTTAGGGGCTTGACTGAAAATGGGAGATATCTATTTTCAGTGGCCAGTTTTAAAAAAGACACACAGCTCTTCCGAAATCAACGAACCAAATTTTTTGGGGAACCCACCATTCGATACTTACAGTAGTTGTCTGAAGCCCCATGTTTGGGTGATTCAATATGATTCAACCATATCGCCAACACCCCTTTCAAGAGTTCGCCGGTCACAACCTCCAAGTTCTCCGAAAATTCCAGCAACATCAACTTCCACCAAGTCTTGATTCAAAAAGTAACATCAACTAACATCAACCACAACTTTCACCGTTTCAGGCCATTAAGATCCATTAAGGCACCTTGGCCTTCGCTTTGGCCTTGACCTTCGCCTTGCCCTTGCCCTTGCCCTTCGCTGCGCCGGCAGCCACCGCGCCGCCGGCCGCGGCGCTGGCCGCGGCGCCGGCGCCACCGCGGTGCCGGCCGCGGCCGTGGCCGCCGCCTTGGGATCCTTGTCAGAGGCAATCATGGAATATGTAGCTGGATAACTGGGAAATATGGGAGAACTGGATAATACTGGTTAATATGTAACTAATTGGAAATAATTGGATAATCTTGGATATTCAATAAGTGGGACAATATGGGATAATAACCCAAGGGACTGGGATTTTGAGCACTGAATTCTACGATTTCTGTACTGGTTTGCTGGGAGCAGAAACCAGTTACAACACAAATGTTATTCAACATCCCATTTTATAGGGAAAATGATGAGTAACTCATGGATTTAAGGATCCTCCCTGCAGTCCTCCTCCTCGAACCAGGCGGTCGGATCACAAAGTTTTGACCACTGGAAGGAGCCCGGAGGGCAGTACTCCTGGCGTCCGGCCAAACCTTTCGACACTCAGGGATCACTAAGCAGAAACTGTCAACTGGTCCTAAAATCGGAGCAGGGCGTGTAAGAAAAACATGCAAAAACATGAAAAAAAACGGTTCAACTGAGATAATCTTCTGGAACTAAAGATAGGGGGGAAAAAACGGATACTTGAAAGCACCAACTATCATCTATATATTGTGCTGTCCATCTTGCCATCACTCATCCCAAATTCAAAGGCGTGAGCATAAAACCTGCGTTTGTTTTGTCAAGAATAGTCAAGAATGAATACTGTGGTTTCACAATAGAATGTGATTTTATCCGATCTTTTCTGGTGTCATATAGATCATTTGTCCATCAATGTTGTTTTGCACCTGCTTCGTATCCCAGCTTTGTTCCTTAGAACATATTGAATTGGTTGATATCCCCAGGCTGGCTGGTGAATCTGCACATTTTGTTGGCGAATGACTCAATCCCCAAATCTTAATTTTGACTGTGTTGAATCCCTATTTCGATAGTTGGTGAAGTGCACATATCACCTCTGTCTCAATGTGACTACCAATGTGTGGTGCTTACTTTGGTCCTTTGACCTAGCTATGGAAAACTACCATTCTGAAAATCGAACTAAATGGGCCATGGTTTCCATAGCTATATTGAACTACCAAAGGCCAAGACAATGATCCATTACTCGTCTATTATTCATCCATGATGCATCCATTGTTCACAATTATCAATGGATGAATATGATTATCCACCTGTCCCATTCTTCATCCAATGATCATCCGTTGATAACCATTATAATGATTATGATAATAATGATCATGGGAATAAGAATTCATTGAATGAGGAATAATCGAATGTGATTCATCATTCACCATTCACCATTATTAATATTTAATAATTATATTTAATCATCATTCCATGAGTTAATTTATCCATTGTTCGTCATTTATAAGATTCATTCACCATTCACCACTATTAATGACAGTTAGTATGATTAATGATGACTAACCATAGTTTTTTGAATCACTGGCCATATTCTGTATTCTATTGTGGATGAACCATAATAATGGATGATCAACCAGCATTATATAATATGGGCTCGATTACCCAAAAACAAACACTCTACCAAGTCAAAATTGGGTACTTCAAATGTCTAGATGACTATACTGGGCCACTAATCGCGGCTTACTACTGGATATTTACTATGGGCTAATCATTGCCGATGATTATCACCAATGAAAAAATAGTCCATCATATGCTATATCATTGCCATTACTGGTGATAATCCATCATGTAGATATAACCTCCAAAAACCCTAGATATTGGACCTATAAACCAACTTAGACTAACCATTGGTGATCAAACCATGCATCCCAATGCCGATGCCCCGATGCCCTTCGGCACCTGCACGGATCTCCGCAAGAGCGTGGCGACGCCGCCGACCACCAGGCCGCCCCCAAAGTAGGTCACGATCCTGGCGTGTCGACGTATGGATACATAAAATGGAGAAGAGATAGATACCCTCTGGTTATTTAACATAGCTATGGAAAATGGCCCATTTCTGGATAATTTACCATTAGTACCCCACAAGGCGGCGGCGGAAGTTTCAGAAATAGGAACCTATAGGAGGGGTTGGCTGTTGCGAATCACAGATGGCAGAGCGAATCCACTGATGGACCGAAAGGTGGTTGGAGATGTGTTTTTTGCAGTGGTTGCAATGGTTGCAGTCGTCACCTCACCACAACTGCTGGATGTGGTGTGGTGTAGTGGAGTTGTAGTTGTAGTTGTACTAGAGTGTCGTGTAGTGGAGTTGTAGTTGTAAGTTGTAGTTGTAATGAAGTGTAATTAGTGTAGTGTAGTTGCAGCTGTAGTTGTGGTGTGGTGTAATTAGTGTAGTGTATTGTAGTGTACTGTACTGTTGTGTACTGTAGTGTGGTATAGTGTAGTGTAGTCGAGTGTATTGTAGTGTAAAGTAGTGCGGTTGTAGTTGTAGTGTAGTGTAGTGTAGTGTAATTAGTGTAGTGTAGTGTAGCGCAACGCAGTGGTAGTTGTAACTGTAGTTGCAGTTGTAGTTGCATGTAATGTAATTAGTGTAGCGTAACGTTGTGTAATGTAGTGCAGTTGTACTTGCATTTGTATTTGTAGTTATTGTGGCGTACTGCAGTTTAATTCGTGTAATGTAGTGTAGTTGTAATTGTAGTTGTAGCTGTGGTAGTAGTAGGGTAGCAGTAGAAGTAGTAGTAGAAGTAGTAGTAGAAGTACAGGTAGAAGTAGAAGTAGTAGTAGTAGTAGCAGCAGCAGCAGTAGCAGTAGCAGTAGCAGCAGTAGTAGAAAGTGTTGTTGTTGTTGTTGTAGTTGTAGTGTAATTAGTGTAGCGTAGCGTACTTAGATGTAATTAGCGTAGTGTAGTATAATTAGTTTTGTGTAATGTAGCGTAGTATATTGCCATTTGTAGTTGCAGTTGTAGTAGTAGTGTAGTGGTAGTGGTAGTGGTCCTGGTCGTGGTAGTGGTATTGGTAGTTGTAGTTTTATCTATCCATCCATCCTTCCATCCATCTATCTATCTATCTGCAAGCTTGACAACAAAGCTATTCTGCGAGACTTCCTCAGTTTTTGAACTTGACAACATCAAAAACGAATCAGTTCTGCCAGGCTTCCTCACTTTTCCAAGTTGGCAACATCAAAAACGAAGCAATTCTGCAAGACTTCCTTCAAAAATGGAAAGTTGAGTGCAGAGCTGACGGCCTCGTACCAATGCCTTTTGCGATTTTTCCGGTCTATGTCTCTAAAGTATTGTGCCTGCCACGGAAAATTGATGCCAGGTCATACGAAGTGCTGCACCTGTCACGCAAAATTTTCTTAGCAAACCTACAGATCTGATGCTCCAAAATGCAGCCCCTCTCAGGAATCAGTGCCCTGACCTCCTAACATCTCTGATGAACATGTCTCTTGTACTGCGCCTGCCAGGCGAAATGCATCTTTGCAGATTCTCTGCAAATGCCCCACGCCTGCCATCGTTTTTGGAAATGCTGCAACACCCTCACGTTTGGCTCACTTTTGGCAAGGTGCAGAATCCCTTGCGCCGGCCACGAAAAACCCACATCTAAATCTTCAAAAGTGGTCCGAGCATGTCGTGCTCCTTACATTTTGACTTGGAAGTGTGCTTCGTGCCACAACGGCGTGCACTTTTTTCGACATCTCAACTTCCAAAAGTGCTCCGAAGCTGGTGTGTTTGGTACATTTTGACTTGGAAACGCGCTTCGCGCCACGACGGCGTGTAATTTTTCATCTCTCATCTGGCCAGGTGGCTCCGCACCCGCGGCTTTAGCGAGCCTACTTTTCGACCCTCCGGAGCCACAAATCGTTGGAAAAACACAGTGTTTCGCGACTTTGCTACCTTTTCGCGCACCTGCATCTTCTTTCTTCTGAGACTTTCTCTTCTCTGATCTTCTTTCTTCTTCTCTTCTCTTCTCTGACTCTTCCCACCTCTGCTTTTTCATCTGTCCATATTGTCGGAAGTTTGACGTCTAAACTTCCTTCGATGATGATTTACCTATAAAAATGGTGATTTCCCATAGCTACGTTAAATAACCAGAGGGTATATCAATAGAAAATTGTGTGATAAAAATAGTCGTAGATAATCGAATGGATAATAGATAATGGATAGTCAATGTGAATAATGGATAATGATAGACTGTAACAGGTATATCAGTCATGACTATTCTATGCGTAATTTTATTTCAATCAAAGATAATAGATGGATATAGATGGAGAATACACTGATTCTCAAATATAATGTATTATTATACTTATATTTGATATGAAATGGATAATTATTGAAAAATCATGTCATATCATATCATATCAATATTTACATAAGTAGGTATAGTTGTAAGATGTTGTAAGTTGCTTTATGTTCACTCATCCAGCTCCACCATTATAACTCCTAGTTGGCCTAGTACTTTACAACTTACCGATCGTTTGGGGGTTCAACCCTTGTAGCTTTGGATGATTTTGCCGCCAATTTGGGATCTGGTTGAACATGTTTGAGAGATAAACCAAGTAGGGCAGGCCTGGGGACGAGTTTGAGGGATGTTTTGGCACAGACATGTCCTCTGCGAATGATCCCTTCAAGATCCAGATGCTGCCCACGTTGGATGAGAAAAATTGTGCAGGGGGCAACCCGCAATCAGGTTCCAACGAGTTTGTATGGATGAACCACTGGTTTTTCGGGTAATGTGTGATGTGTTGAATGGATAACCCAATCCAAAGACTCTGAGACTGTCCCTCGAGTCTTAGTTTGTCATGAAGATCCGAAAAACTCATCGAAGCAACAGAGATCAGGATGCAACCAATATATTCAATATATTGGGGTCAAAGCACCAAAAGTTGGCACGAGTTGGCAGCCACAAAAAAGGGATTGCCAGCTGTAAAATGAAAAGACCCAGCAGTCTGAACCCGATCGCTGAGGAACCCACCGCGTGAATTTCTCAACTTTCATCTTCCACGCCTATCATCTTTTTCAGGACCCCCATGGACCAACAGGCATTTGTCAAATCTGGGGTTGACACGATGATAGAAAACTCACCTGCGGTTACCCTACATGAACCAATGGAAGCGAAACAATGCCCCAGGCCGGAAGATTTTCCATGTCGTTGCCAGGGCACCATACCCTGAAAACCTGGAGTACACCAACTGGCACTTCCAGAACCATCCAGAACCTAGATACCTCATGGGAAACTTTCAAAAAATGGATGGTCATCGTTGTATGACACAAATCATTGTCCGCACATCTACATCTCAAGTCTAAGTATACAAGTCTAAATTACATGACATGAAATTCTCAGAGGTTCATCTTTCACTCTCAGTATGACATCCAAAATTCCCCTCGGTTTCGCAACCAGCACTCCACCCAGCCTTGTTGACGGCATCGGTGGTGTGCACGCCCGAACTCTCAGGAGGTTCCAACATGGCTTTCGTAGTGTCTTCTCCTGGGAGGCTGAGCCATCGGCCAGGGATGTGTCCCATTTGATCCCAAATTCCAGTCTCAATATAAAATACAGTACCCTCTGGTAAACTAACATAACTATGGAAAATCACCATTTTTAATGGGAAAATCCACTATAAATGGCCATTTTCCATAGCTATGTTAAATTACCAGAGGGTAATATAAACCACGGAAGGGTGGGACTCCCCCAAACTTGGCCCCCCCTCAAAAGACATGGCCACAACCTGCCCGGGCGCATTCCGTGCCTGGGTAGTGGTAGCAAATCTTCGGTCCAGGAGGAGCTTCGGGCTGGCAACGGTGGACAGTCTGGGGGACCCTGCGGCCTAATTTGTTTCCGGGTGGGAGAAGCCCAAACAAAACCGGCATCCACCGGAAAATCATCGACAAATGGAAGGTGTTCCATTGCCTGGATTACCGGGTAGAGAATTTGAGTAGTTCCCAGTTCGTAGGCACAGAATTTGGGGATTCTCATGGAATTTTCCAGTTTGAGAAGCCTCAAACTGCAGCATCTGGGTGAACTCCATAAATCCATATCTGGCCTTCTTTCTGCATTTGAAGGAGGTCGCTAGTGATCCTGGCAAGTCTGCTGCATTTCCTAAGTCAAGGGGTTCCTTAAAGGCTCCAACTTTCCTAAGGTTCTTAAGGCAACGGTTTCCAACCTTGAAACATCAGTGCTATGGGTAAAAAATGGTAAAAACCCTCCATTTCTCCATTTCAATCTGCGGCAACTGCTCGTCGGAGATAGTTGCTCTATGGGTAAAAACCCTGGTACCCTGGTAAACCCCCGAAACAGCTGGTAAATGGATGTTCATCACCCCAAATATTGGGCTTATATAGGCTTTAACCCATACCCATTCGGGTGACCACTTCCTTCACGAACATCGCTGAAACTAAAAGCTAGGGTTTAGACATTCCGTTCGATCCCGAAAAAAACAATGGGGCTGGTACATTCACCAACAAATTTGTTCCAAATCATATACACCAGCGTAAGGTAAGCCCAAGAATGAATCATACCCAATGCCCATGCACAGAGTCTTGTACACTGCTCACGTAAACCTCCCGCACATTATGGAACTTGTATACATATAGATATATATGCCACATCATACCACATTAGTCCACATTACGGGTAATGGTGCAACATCAAGTAACATGACCATATCACAAAAGTATCCAATCATGATGGATGATCAATTCCCATCATCATCATGGTAGTTGGTTGCTATAGTGAGGTCTGCAAGTAAGGTCATCAGTCTAAATAAAGAATACCCAGAAGCATCCTATCAACCACCATTCCGATGGGCGGCTTGTGGGTCAAACATGGTGTCTACCACTTTTATCATTCTTTTATCCACTATGTGACTATATAGGCGCGAGATTGTAACATCCCATCCTCCCATCCACTGCCCCATAACCCCACCTCCCAGAAACTCCGCCCCGTGGCTCAACTTCTGCGTAGAACCCAGCGCATGCCATTCGACGTCGGCGCCATGCCACCCGTCGTGGTTTAAGCGCTGGCCATCAGTGAGGCACACGCCAAGGCGAACCATGGGAGCCCGGTCAGGCGAACGCTATACCAATGGGGAATCTATGTTCCACATAGGCCACATAGGTATTGGTGATTTGATACTGTTACAATCTGTTGCAACTCTTTGTGTATGGAATTGGGTCGATTTCCAAGTGAGCAACTTCCCAAATCTGTGAATTGGTTCCAATTGTTGGCTGAAGCCTCGTTTGGGGAGCGAAGATCACCGTCCTGCTGTAATTACAAGAAATCCCGGCAGATTCGATGTTGCAGACAGTCTTGAAATATGATCAAATAACATATATATATATATATAACATACATACAAAAGCATGAGTTTGGAATCATTGGCGTGTCGATAAGTGCGGAGCCGTGAGGAAACAGCAACTTTGGCTGTTGTACTTCTTTTCCGCTTGAGCAGCTTTCAGCGGCAAGTACTGTTGGTTGTTGCCATGGCAAGACAGGTGTTTAGACATCACCTTCACACAAGAACAAGACTATATGGGTTTGTCTGAAAATAGGGTATATTCCCAATTATAGCCATTTACTAGGGATAATGATCATTAACCATTGGGTGTAGGGGTACACTATTTTCAGACAAACCCATATAAGCACAGCAAGAAGGACAGAGGGACATTGACAAGGAAGTTGTAAACTGCAACTCGAACAACTCACACACCACGTGATTAATGTCAACCCCAGATTAATAAACACTGACTGTCCTGACTGTTGATTGAGGGGTTACCCCCATTTTTAAGTGATAAAAACTATTAACCATTGAAATTGCTAACTCCCCCCCCCAAAGCGCGCATCTCCGCGGCGAAAACGCTAAGCAGCCAACTTGTAGCCCGTCACTTGAAGGAACACGTTGTCCTCGGCGAGTAGCAGGCCCCCAAATCATCCAAGTCATTAGAACATGGCTTGGTATTGAAACCACGACTTGGGGATCCCCCATGACTTGAGAAACTACCTATTGGTTGTCCTTTTTATGATTAACATTGATTAACTACCTATTGGTTGTTTGGAGGGAGCCCTCTAGTCATCAAGCAGTGGAAAAAGGACAGCTATGGATGATTTGATGATTGGAAATGATGTTTGGAGGCTCCATCTCTGAAGTCTTGGGTCTTGGGGGTTGAAACCCGCTGGCTTCAATCCGGTCATGGGTTTCTTTCAAGATACCGTGAAAGGAAAAAACAACATATATTTCATAGATTCCAAACGATAAATAATTGACCTCAAGAATATTGATTAATTGATGTCAGGTGCCAAATCGTCATACACCCCAGAATCTCAATAAATGTGAACAAAACAATCACCTCTCTGATCCAAAAAATGTGATAGGCGCCTGCGGATCATAGTGACAAGGAGAGAAGCCTTCCGAGCCTCAGACACATCATGGCCGATTCATAGTCTATGGCAGGATATTCACTATTCCTAGCCATCAATATGGCTGCAAATAGATAGAATTAGATTCCATTGGACTGGACTGGACTGGACTAGATTAGCTTAGGATAGATCAAAATTAGATAGATAGATTATAGATTTGAGAAGATACTCAAGTACGGGATAAGATAGATAAGATCAATAAAAACAACATTGGATAGAAAAGATAAGATTGGATTAGATTAGATCAATTTAGATCAGAGCAGGTTGGATTATGTTATAGTAGATAATCCCTTCCCCATAATATTAAACACCAAGAAAAACATTATGGATTTAGGGGATTTACCCGTATTTGGGACCATGCAGGGGCTGGTTAAAGATTGAGGGGGATGTGGATTAGTTATTTAGTTAGTTTAATTTAGTCCAGTTTAGTTTAGAGCAGTTTAGTTTAGAGCAGTTTACTTTAGTTGAGTTTAGTTTAGTTTTGTTCAAGTTTGAGTTTGGTTTAGTTTAGTTGTTTACTTAGCTAGTTAGGTAGTCGGTTAGTGGGATGGTTGGTTGGTCATTTTGTTTGTTAGTTGAGTTTGTCTTACTAGTTTTGCTAGTTTAGTTACGTAGTTTTACTCATTTAGTTAGTTGCCCCCGAGTCTTCAACACCCCTTAAATACAAACCCGATACAAACCCGCTACAAATCACTGCGACCCCGCACCACAGAAAAGCTGACACATCTGCGGCTCTCGCTGCCTCAGAAATCTGATGAGCCAGAAACTGAGGGACCTGATTGAAAACGGTGATTTTACCATCAAAAAGTGGGGATCTCACCTGCAATCATTGTTTTCGAATGGGAATATCATGGACATAGGTATGGGATATATATACTATATATACTATAATCAACATCACTCAACATGTTGATATTTCATGGGGGTTGAATGGGATTGAACAAACCATCTTTTCGGGAGGCAAACCATCTCCAAGAACTTTGAACCAATGAAACCCACATTTTTTTTTGTCCAAGATATAATGCATTGATATACAAATAAGTTATACCTTATAAATCGCTATGTTTCCTGGGTAAACCTGCTAAACCCCATGAATTCCACCGAAAAAAAATGAAAAATGGTTATGGTAAACATTGATCTATGTTTTGAACCATTCTAAAATCCCCATTGAAAAACCATGACATCACCATCAATTCCATCCAGAAACTCACCCAAAAAAACCGCTCTTTGAGCCTCCACACCCCATGGCTTTCTTCAGCCAATCCCAGCGGAAGGCGTCAATATCACGAGCCACCTGGCCAGCTTAGTATGTGGCTATTATGGATACCCTCTGGTAAACATACAAAAAACTATGGAAAATCACCATGTTTAATGGGAAAATCCACTATTAATGGCCATTTTCAATAGCTATGTTAAATTACCAGAGGGTAGTATGTGGCTATTGTGGATATTATGTAAGAATCATCGACATTCAATGGTGATTCATTGACTGTTTGACTATTTGAACTATTTGACTATTCGACTATTCAACGAGTTCTATCATTTTGCCTGGTCTTTCTGCTTGGGGAAAGACAGATATCAAATCACGGGGGGACCCCGAAACGCATTTTGCTACAGGCTCTTTGCGACTCCAGAACCAGAAAAAACACAGTCCGTTGCAATTGGCTTGTTCAAAAAAACTCCCAATCCCCAAACTCCGATTTTGCTGAGTTACCCATAATCCCATCCAATTGTCCCATCAGCGCCCCGAAACGCTGCCCTTCCCCGAAACGCGTTGGGCCCTTTTTGCTCCACCGGTCGCAAGGGAAGGTCGTCTTTGCGTCCCTCTAGAGACCTCGGGGATGAACGTTTCGATGAAAAAATATGAAATAAATGGGTGCTTTGATAAAATGATAATATATGTATATATATATAATGAATATAACATATATATATAATATATATATATAATTATATTATGTATTCTATTGAATATGTGCCGGGCACCCCAAGTGATCCATCCAAAATCGACTTTGGCCTGGAGGATGATAGACAAAGTTCGAAATCTGGAAATACGGAAAACATATGGAAACATCATGAAACACTATACGATCCTGGAAATATTGTTCTATCGTTTTCTAGGGTGCTATAAAAGACAGGAAAAGTTGGTGATTCTCCATGTTACCCTCTGGTAATTTAACATAGCTATTGAAAATCACCATTTTTAATGGGAAAACTCACTATAAATAGCAATTTTCAATAGCTATGTTAGTTTACCAGAGGGTAGATTACTGGAGAGAAGACATCCGCATCTTTCGCCCAGTTCGAATCAATTCGAGGCACGACATCCATCGGCCATTGTACTCCGGCCAGTCGTGCAGCATGAAGTTGTGCGTGCCAAACTTCTCCTGTCAGTTTGATGTTGCTAAACGCTAGGTGAGACATGTTGATACTACCCTCTGGTAAACTAACATAGCTATGGAAAATCACCATTTTTAATGGGTAAATCCACTATAAATGGCAGTTTTCAATAGCTACGTTAAATTACCAGAGGGTAAATGATACTAATACTAAGGTTGCAAAGGAAATAAACTCTCAAGATGAAACCGACCGCACCTGGAAAATAAAGTACAGTATAGTACAGTACTCATTGACCGATTATGGCATCTGCGTACATAGATTAGAGGGGTTAAGGTATAAAAGGTGCAAAGCCCGACATGACGACCTTAGCTCAATCCATTTCCGGCTTCAGACCCCCCTTTGGGAAACTCCATTCTAAATCGGCTACCCTCCGGTGATCAAACGTGGCAATGGAAAAGAGCCGATTTATAAATGATGTTCACATTAAAACCTCCATTTATAGGAGATATTCCATTGCCACGTTTGATTACCAGAGGCTACCCTGAGAATGGGATGCTGTGGTCTTCGCCAAAATTTGGTCCCCATTTCAGACCGCGATGGCAAATCGGTTCGGCTAACATGCATTAAATTGGCAATTTGATATGACTTAAATGTTGACCTAAATGGCCATAATACATCTAAATACCATCAAATTTCATGGCCATAATATGCCATAATAGCCATTTATATGCCTAAATACCATCTAAATACCATGAAATTTGATGAACTTCATGCAATTTGGGTGAACAAATTGGTCTTGCACCATGGACCCCATGGACCCCATGGACCAGTTGCGTGGCGCCTTCAGCGCGCGGAAGAGGATGCTTTGATCCGCATGGCCTCTGTCGACCAGAAGAGCCTCAGAATTCATGGCTATTCGTAGATTCTTAGCAGAGCATAGCTTAAAACAAGAACATATTATATATATATATACGCATGTGTTTTTCAGATATCATCATTTTCGCCAAACAAATGCCATTTGGGGGAGTTTATATATATAATTATATATATATAATTATGTATGTAAAAATGTGAATATATATATATACATACCATGTTCAACCATTTTCAGACATACCCCTACGTAAATAGTTACCTGCCAACATGCAAAAAAACGGCCTGTCGTTTTCCCACAGAAATGGCTCGTTCAACACGTAGAAAATAACCGCAGCTGACAGCCATCGATTCAGGGCAAAGAGTTTGTGCACAGAGCCCCAGCCATTGAAGTATCGGGCTGAGGAGAAAGAGTGTGTGTGTGTATATATATACGTAATTCTGTGTACATGTATGTGTATGGATATATATATATATAGGGAAAGAATTTACATACCTACTGTCAACCATCATTCATAAAATTTGGTGACGTTGTTGTGCGGTCTCTACAATTTACCCATATGGCAGCACCTGCGTGGGAAAGGGATGAACATCCATGGAACTTGATGCCAAGAAGGTGATAAAAAAAATATCTGAGCATCTGTCATTGAATCTCTCATTTCATGTATTCCTAAGTAGTAGTATTTCATATGAGTCATATGGGTAGAGACCACACAACAACGTCACCAAATTTTATGAATGATGCCTGATAGGTGCATATATATATGTATATATATATAGGACATCTGGGCCCTTTTTATTGCAATTTACCCATAAAATATCTCAGTTTCCAAGCTGAAATGGAGTCATGGGTGACACCAAGTGAGGTCGACCATGGCTGTGGCCCCCGAAAAATTTAGAGTTAAGTTAGTTTATGCCCAAAAAAAACCGATGGTTTCTGGTAAATGGGTGTTTTCATGGGTTTAATAATAACTATAGTTTTCATGAGTGTTACATTCCACATATAACGATAGTTAATGGGTGTTATCGGGTTTATAAAGCAACCACCAAAAGTGGGTGGCCTTGAAATCGCTCCCTCCGCTCCGACAAGATCAGTGACCACCACCTCGCGGTGATTGCCCACAGCTGCGTAGTACAGAGGGCTTCGGCCATGTCCTGAGTTTCCCGGAGCCACCACCGTTCAAAATTCAAGCTACCCTCTGGTAAACTAACATAACTATGGAAAATCACCAGTTTTAATGGGAAAATCCACTATAAATGGCCATTTTCAATAGCTATGTTAAATTACCAGAGGGTACATGTGTACAAATGCCAAGTTCATATGGTTTTTGAATAATAGATGTACAGTATATGTATGCATCCCATACATAATCAATACATATAAATATATAATTGCACCTATGTGTGATGATTCACCTAATATTTGTGAGTTTCCATCAGTTGGTAACACAGTGAGGTGACTTGGATTAAATTTACCCAGATCTATCTATATATATATGGGTAAATTATAATATTTCACTAACCTGAATTAAGTTCATTTGGGGATGATTTCCCTTCTTAACCAGATATATATACCGTTAAATCCCAGTGATTTATCTCCGAGCCACGATCCAAAGGATCCACCGAAGCCGATGCATCCATCAACAAACTCACGGCCTGAAGCTGAAGGCGCTCGCTGAAGGCGCTCGTCGCTCGCGGTTTTGTTAGTCGCTCGCTGTTGGAGACAACAAAAGATATACAACAAATATCTATATCTATATATATATATACATATACATTGTATACAGTATTTGTATATAATATCATGTTAGTAACGTATATGTTAGTCTGGTATGGATACATAATAATATTCACAATTATATACAGTGCGTATGTAATTATATATATGTGTAAACTAGATATGTAAATGTTACCCAAGTAAACTAAGATTGTATGGAAATGTAAGCTAGATATGTAAATGTTACCCAAGTAAACTATATATATGTGTAAGCCAGATATGTAAATGATATGAGGTATGGAAAAACCATGAAAATCATTGTAGATCATTTCGAAGAAAAACAAATGGATTTCCGTAGCTATGTTGGTTTACTGGAGGGTAGCAACATAGAAAATGGATGTGCGTCAAGGAAAGTAAGTCTCCCGTGCCAACAAGCATGGAGATCTTAAGCAACAAAAACCTGATCTCACCAACAAATAAGTTCAATAAGTTAAATATAGAAGTGTATTTCAACAACCAAAAAAGGAGTGGACTCACAACCGTGTGACGCTGATGAACAAACATTAACAATAGCAGGTGAAAACCAAATGGCTGCGCCCTGGTTTGGGTTCTGAAAATGATACGAATCGCTCTGAAACCATGAAAAATCCCAAATCCACGGGTTCATCAGGACTTTCCCATGTATTTTCTCCATGAAAATGCTCATCATCGGGTCCAAGTCATGGTCACGCTGGGTCTGGAAAAATCCACCTCCAAATGACCACTTGCTGCTGCCAAATGCAAAGGGGTCCTCCACAAAGCTGCGGCTGAAATCTGAACTGGTCCGACCACTCCACATTTCAAGTGACTATAGGTTAATCATGTATAATTGATATAATACGATATAGTACTACTATAGGTGTATAATACTATATAATATGCTATATAATATAATATAATATATAATATAGTATAATATAATATATTATATAATAATGATATAAGTGATAGTCGCCATCCCTCCGGATAGTCAAATGTAGGACTCCTTTCGTCTGGGTCCAGTGCATCAACCTTGGCGTCTCGGAAAAAAAAACTCCGAGTCCGAACTGGACCCTGGTGGACATCCAAATAGCTGAAGATTTATAAATGTCACCACAAAAAAACTGGTAAAATCATAGGTTTAAACCCAAACAAAACAGAAAATAGGCTATAACATAGGTTTGAAATTGTGTTAAACCATCTCAAGCCCTCCCCCGATCCCATCAACTTCGGCACTTCCGCAGAGTCGATTAGAGCTTCCAGGCGCCAATAGGAACACGCACCCAAACGCCTCAATGCGGCGTGGGGGGAAAAACCCAGTTCCAACGATAGTTGTCATGTAGGCATTCTGAACAGCATACGGAAACAAGGATTTCTGGTTGGGGATTTCAGAGGGAAATTCACGAATTCATGTTGTTTGAGTTAAAACTTCGTGTTTGTTTGTTTTTTTACGGTCTTCTTCCAATTCGTGGAAATGTGGCTGAGTGGCACTTGTCATATGACAGTCAAGTGAGATCATTCCACAAGGGATGCAAGCGAACAGCCGACTGGTTGGTGGTATACCTACCCCTCTGAAAAATATGAAAGTCGCTTGGGATGATGACATTTCCAATATATGGAAAAATAAAAAAAAAAAGTTCCAAACCACCAACCAGATGATAATATACATACTATAATATATATATAATCTCTAGAATAATGTAGATATATAATTTGCGACCTGGTTGATTATTGCGACCATGGGTTCCGGAGCTGAACAGCTACCCCTTGGAACCATAAAATTTCGGCTTGTGAATCAGCCTGGAGATCTTCAAATGTTGTCATCTTAGGTACGAGTACCCTCGACTAATAGAATCTAATAGATGTGGAATTATATATTAATAATAATTATAATTATATTGTATTATAATACATATATATATAATATAGAGAAATCTTCCAAATGTGTGATCACTTCAACATGATCTTCCTATGAAGTGGTCTGACATCACAAATATGTGACCTCCAAATGGTTTGAAGCCCCGTTCACCACCGGATTCGATCCATTTTTCCAGGCCTGGTCTCTGGATCCACCTCTGCGAGGCCCGGTCTTGTGGGAGGGTTACCCCATGTTACCCCTATTTTCACTCAACAACTGGGAAAAGGATGCATTGGGGAAAAAAGAATAGAAAAACAACAGGAAAATCATGATTTTTCATTGTAGCGTTACCTCTCTGAAGTTGAATTTTGTGGGAAAAGGACATCTTTGCAATCGATCATGCACTTAGAAATATATAACAAATATCATGACAAGAAAATTCCATACATATGGATATTATTTCCCTTTGTATCCACCTTTCCTCCAGTTTTGGACACCCAAGTCCCGATCCTTCCGTTGTTTCTCTGTATGAAGTTAAGGTTAACCAATGTGATTCTGTTGGTGTAATTTGTGGGGCAAATCCCATGTTTTCTGCCAGTTTCCTGCATAAATGTCCGTTTGTTCAATACAATCAAACCAAATTCGTCCATCTTTGCTCATGTTTGCAATATTGTAATGATAATGATAATGATAATGATAATGATGATAACTCCCAATTCTTCCATCTTTAGTCATGTTTGTAATGTCAATTCTTGATTTCAGCCCTGCTTTTCAAAATACAATCTACAATTATTAGTGGACTATAAATATATATAATTATATATATATATCCCCATTTTCCCAAAAAGAAATATGTGATATGTATATGTATATATATATTGTGTATATTATATCCCCATATGAAATCTCCACTTTTCACAATTTTTCCAGGGTCCCTGGGTCCATTCTCCACTGAGCCCCCGGCCCCTCCCAGCGCCCAGTGTAGCGCGCTGCGACCGCCCTTGCGCAGCTTCGCAAGCAGCGCCGGGTCGGGAGAAGCGGCGCCTGGCAATGGATGAAGTTGGATGATGTTTGTATAGCCTGTATAGCCTCTAAACATACAAAAAACTTATGGAAAATCACTAAATCACCATCTTTTTCATGGGGTAAATCAACTATTTCTATGGTCATTTTCAATAGCTATGGGCTATGTTAGTTTACCGGAGGGTAGTTGGATGTATAGTTAGGATATGTCTATGAGTCAAAACCCTGGCACCCTGGGTGTATTTCTCTAAATATGGCAATACTAGGTTTTGATCCGTCCCCATATAGTTGGATGCAGTTGGATATAACTGGATGTAATGTATGGTGACTAATATTAATACTAATTATATGGAGGTGTTCTATGTCATAGGGGTACCTCAAATCCAGAATTAGACCATGACTTAGTATTCAAACCCATGCTGACTTTGGGGATACCCCATGGATATAACTGGACATAGTTCGCACACCGCGGATATGGTTGGAAACTTGGTTTGATGATTTTATCTGTAGTACAGTAATCCATCATAATCCCCATTGATTTGGAGAGGACCTAAAGGGAGGTCCCCTTCTGGAAACTGTTTTTAGATGTTTTTTCCGATTCAGGTGCCAGAAAACTGGAGGAATGTGGTTCACCACATAGCGCGCCTCCATCCTCCGCGAGCCCACAGAGTCCACACTCGCCACAGCGTTGCGCTTGCGCCGTCGCCGGGGCTGCGGCCCCTTCGGTGGCCAACTTGGCACCGAGGAGACGTCGGAGCTCGAGGTTCTTGGGCTCTTTGGCCAAGACATCCTGAGGAAATGAAGCAGCTGAAGCACCAAGAAACGGCTGGAACATATGGGGGAACTCAGGGGATCCCCAAAATTGTGAGTCACCATGGGTCACCTCAACCATCCTCAACCCTGATACTTTCTATGAAAATAGATATGAATATATATGAATATGATATACTTTTTCAGCTTCAATGGTTTTTTATGTTTTTTTTACACCCAACCACCTCCGCGCCTTCAGATCTTTCCGTGCTTCCTCTGATCGATCGAGAGCCCACAGCGCTAGGCCTCGTCGGTACTTGGATTTCACATTCTGCGGTTCCAGTCGCAGGCTTTCTTCGGCATGCTCCAGGGCAGCTGTGAAGTCTGCTTGATGATGTGAGGTGAGACTCAGATTTCGATGGAGCACCGCTTCAACCATGTGCAAGGCACTTTGAAATCGGTCGAAGCAGTACTTGTCCTGAAGCCAAAGAAAACAAGAGGTCCAGCTTCAAAAATGGTGGAGGACCCATGATAAAAAAATGGTGGAGGACCCATGATAATTGACACAGGATGTGGGGTGGAAACCAGCCAGCAACGTTCCTTTCAAGTCAGCTGACCACAAACCCTCTTAATTTTGCATGATTCGTTTCAACTGATCGCTCTAGATTTATTGTGGTTTCCATGGCAATCCTGGGTTCCTCCCTCAAAGGCACCAGCCCCAACCAATCAGACCTTACGTTTCGGGGTTATGAACTATCACCGACTCTTATTCGACACTTGTCCACAAAATGTTAGAAGGTAACTACCCGCCACTGGAAACCCCCGTTCTATGACAAGATGTGGGGAAGTGTCTGAAACAACCAACAATTGCCCTTCGCATCGTGGCGAACACCGCGGCACTGTATCTTCCAAGGCTTCAAGGTCCACAAAGCGCTCTGCACGCGCGGCGCAGCGAAGCCCTGCGGTGTAGTTCCTCACCGCCTCCTCGACGCTGTGGCCGCCGTGGCCGCCGTGGCCCCACGCCTCGTTTCCCGCCCTCTTGGCGTGCCAGGCGCAACGCAGCAGCCGCCAGGCTTCGTCCACGGTGGACTCAGCGGAAGCGGAGTCCTGGTGGGCTTCCATCTGGGGCTGTTCACCTACCAGGGGGGAGATTCATCAAGACTCAAACCTACCAAAAATATCCAAACATAGGGGTTTGAAGCCTTCAAAGCTATTAAAAACTGGGCAGGTTTCAAGTTTGAACCCTAGGAAAATGGGGGATTTTACCAGTAGCAATTGGGAAACTGTATGCCATAGCCACATCTTTAGGACCCAGCTACAAAAGGTGGGGCAGCCCCACTGAGACGTCCCCCCGAGCCCGAACCTCATCATCCAGCCAGTCTACGATGGATTGATCCATTGCCGGGATGCTTGGCTTTTCGTTTAAATGTGGCTTAGCAGTTACTGCCTGCTGGTGATCCATCCACTTGAAAAAATATGTGTGTTGTTTCTTAACCCTCCACGGGGGTCCTTGCGTTTCGTATATTCATCGCGCGTTTTGGGGGGATTCGCAACTCTCTAACCACCATTTCATGTCTCCCAAAATGAGAGCAAATAGATCCCAAAAAGACCATTGAAAACTGGCTGTTGGATGACTTGAGCTGCACGTTTGAAGCCTGTCGTATACGGGGTGCCTTGTTCAATCCCCGATGTTTAGTTTTGTGACTGGCCGCCATTCTTTCAGCGGACCACAGGGGCTGCCTTGAGCCATGCACTGTAGTAGAGACCCTCTGCGTCCAGTTGGAAAAATGCTAGTGCATTTGACTTTCTGAAATAGGAAAGTCATTTGGGGATCCACTTCTTACACAAATTGCAGATGCATATGGGTTTGTCTGAAAATAGGGTATATTCCCAATTATAGCCATTTAATAGGGATAATGATCATTAACCATTGGGTTTAGGGGTATACTATTTTCAGACACACCCATATTCTCCCAGTTTTCTGGTGATCTGCAGAATCGGTTGAGGATCCACCAATACCAAACCCCCGAGGGGACGCATCACACACCTGGCAGCCGCACTGCTGCCCAAAGCGCCCCACCGGACGTGGTGCTCCACCTTCACGCTCCTGCGACGGTTTAACGAACGGTGGCTGTTTCGGTTGGTTTTTGGCAGGGTGAAACGGCCAAACACATGAAGATGGTAAATGTCTGAAATGACAAGATGATATGTATATATATATTATTATTATTATTAGAAATTTATTATTATTATAGTGGTACTGTGACCATGACAATTGGGATCTTGATGTAGGTCATGGAGGTTAAACCCAACAACAGAGCATACCTCATGTTATTTCTTTTAATGTACAATAATTGGGCTCTATTGCTACAGTGTATAGTGGGGGCATGAACCATCAAATATTCTTAAAGGCTACAAAATCTGAAAAGTATCAACATCTCCAGCTGGTTGTTGTCAACCCAATAGACGGGTGTCAGAAGGATATGACGTGATAGTAATCATCAAAATATCAATGATTTTGTGTATAATATATATATATATATAATTATATATACAATTATATATACAATAAACATATGTAATTGGACCATGTGTACCCGGGACCAAACTAAAAAAATCCAAATCCCTGCCTTTGAAGAAAGCCAAGCGAGATCATCCCATTTGATGCTACCAGCAAGGCTTGACTCAACTAGGATCCTTTCCAAACATTAGGGCACCACATCTACATCGATTCCCTGGCGGTTTCAACAGTTTCAGGGTCGTCCTCTCGGTGTAGCAAGGTGTTCTGCAAGTAGTACATGTCACCCCTTGGCGTGGCCCAGGTGACAGCAACAGCGGACTAGCAAAAGAAGAACCATGGAACAATTGAAAAGAGGAAATGGGGGAAACCCAATAATTAAGCTACCATTTGGCCCAAATGACTTTCCGCTAACCATCATTGGGTCCGTTAACCCATGAAACATTAATCCATTCACCATGTGAGACAAGGGCGAGCCATGGGCTCACGGTGCCAGTGAGGCCAAGATAATTATCAATATAGAAGTTACAGTCAGAAATAATCATCAGTTAACATGTGTGCAATAATGTGCTATACAACTGATTCAATTTATATAAGTCTAACGGACTTCATATTTAACACGCACGAATTCTGTCTGGCAATAGCGCAATATAATGGTTCAATTTAACTGAAGATGTACATGGTGCTTTAACTGATCTCAAACATATAGAAGTCAATCATCCCATTAGAAAACATAGCAACAATTGAAACCACCAAGCAGATCCCCGTCTCGCGCCCCTGGGATCCCCTGGGTGTCCCAAACTTTTTGCCACGTGCTGCTTCCACCTGGCCATGGCAATCTTTGACGTCTCATGTCTCAACTGACCACAGAAATCCACAGAATACGTAGTGAAAACATCAAACTTTCCATGATTCACAGGGATCATTGTCAAACAAATCGCCACGGGGATCTACTTCGACTGCGCCGCCGAGCCACGCCTTGCGCCGGAACTCTGGAAAACGCATCTCCACCCGCCTGTTGTTTGGCACCTGAGCGGTCAATCCAGGTCAATCCAGTGGGCAGATGTTTTTCTTCCTGGGCAGCAAAAAAGAATTGGAGAAAAACACCAACAAAAATGGAGATATGAATTGGGAATGTCCAATTCAAACATCTAAAAACTGCTTACAACTCACCGAAAATCTGTGGGTCGAAGCTAATCTCGTAAACTTTGACTTTCAAACAAGTTTTGGTTTTGTTTTATACTGGGTGAATCCATGAGACCAAGCAGAACCTGAAAAGGTTTGTCTTTGTTTGATGACTGCTTGTGAAACTTCAGAACGCCCAAAGACCAATGATGTTCCAACCAAGTTTCAACATGAAGTGGAGAACTTGGGTCTTTTTACTATGACAAACATGTGAATTGTTTTAAAATAATGAATGTTTAGCCGGTTACCCTCTGGTAAACTATATAACATAACTATGGAAGATTTTTTTAATGCGAGAATGCAACAATAAATGGCAATGTTCAATAGCTATGTAGACATAACCAGAGGGTATCATCATCATTAATCACCATTAATCACCATTAAATCACCATTAAATCACCATTAAATCACCATTTTCCTTGGTAAAAAAATCTCTGTTGGTGAAAGTAACCCGATGTCTCTAACATTCTCCAAGTCCCCATGGGATCTCATGGGTTCCCGACAACCTTGTAGCCGCAGGGGTTCTTGCCCTCTGAAAGGTCCTGAGTTTTGGTCCATTTTTGCACCGACTTTTTGGTCGCCCAAATCCCAAATCATCCAACTTGGAAAAAACCTTTCTGTTTTGGCTCCAGTTATCAGAGTGATCTCGTCATCCCACTGAAAAAGGGTAACAATCAGTTTCCTGGGCCACCCGACATAGTAGCTGAAGCGCCCTTGGTTATTTTCCTGCTGCGAAACGTTGAGGTGTCATTGTCACTAGCAAAAGAATCACCAGCATTGTTTTCGACCGCCCCCACAGAAATAAGTAACGATGTTGGTGATTTCCCAAGTGATATCATTTTCCCCAATTTATAGATGTTCCCATTGACACCTCCATTTTTTGGGGGATTTTCCATTGCTACGTCGGATTGCCGGAGAGTATACAATGTGTGTTTCACTCATTCACAAACGGCGGTGGCTCTCTGGGCAAGTCAGCTGGAAGTTGGAAGTACCAACCATGTTTGATTGAAGATGAACCCTCCTAGTTACTAGATTGTACCAAACATGCCCGGAACAGCGGTTGTGTGATTGGTTTCGAAGGTGTCTAAACCAAAACAAAGAAATAATATCGCAATATATATCGCCATATGAACCGATAAACCGCATATCAGCGTACATACATGTATGTGAAGATGTATGACATTGCGTCGATCAATGCATCCAAGACCAAACTAGTAATTGATGTTATATGCATTTATGTTATATATAGTTACATAACTGTATACCATGTATATGCAGAGATATGCAGCAAATGGAGCTTCGTTCACTGTCGTTCTTCAGGCCCTGACGGGTGAGCACAAAACGAAGAAATTGTCCACATCCGCCAGGTGTCGCCTTAGACCATCGGTTGCCATGAACAGATGAGATGCCTTCCATATGGGGATGGATCAAGTTACCTATGAAATACCATAGGGGATGAGCATCCATAAATCCAAACTATTTTGACGTGAACAAAACATCACAAAACGCTGCGCCGAAAGTTGTGACCCATAGCAGTGTGGGTTGAATTCAGTGTGAAACTGCAGCAGGAAAAACGCAAAACTGCAACCAATCCAAATGGGGATATCTAAATCTAAGTCATTGAAAAATGCTAGGCAAAGTATGTATGGAAAATGGCATAACGGCATAACCAACAAGAATGGTGATTTCCCACAGAAGGACAAGGGATCCGAAAAAAAAAACAATGGATGTGCAATCAAGATATCCAATCCTTCATGAGACCATGGTGAATTAACATTAACCAACGCCAATCTGATGCGAACCCAGTGACCCACTTGGTGTGCCCCAAACTCCGGATGCCCCAAGTCAGCAAAATCAGAGACACCTTGCTTTGGCAAACCTCAAACCTTTGCCCAACCCTCAACGGCAGCAATGTGACCAATCTTTGAGACGAAAAAGTGAAGTGTTGGCTGGGTTTGAAATGCGTGTGTCCCTCTGAATAATCATAATTTTCCGACATGGTCATATATTTTCCTATTATTATCATATATTATTATCCATGGTCATATATTATCATATATTTTCCCTATTCACATGGCAATTTTAAGGGTCAATCCCCCACTTTCAGGACCACAGCCACCAGGCGGCTCCAAATATTCGAAGCTCCAGCGGTCCAGAGCCTGGATAAAATAACCCCGGGCTGCCAAGGGGAAACTCAGGTGATTGACCGCAACTTCCATTGGCCACACTCTTACTTTGAAATTTGTTGCACTTTCTAATGATGGTTGGTTGATGACTGCATAGTAGATGGAATATATATGTATAATATATAATACATAATATGATAATATGTGTGTATAATACATGTAAATATATGTGTATATAATATATATATATGTATATATCTGTATATATATATATATGGATATATGGATATATATATATATATATACAGGTGTGGATATATATATATATATGGATATATATATATATAGAGATAGATATGAATGTGTATATATATATGTGGATATATATATATATAGATCTGAATGTGTATATATATAATGTATATGTATATATAAGTATATGGATATGCATATACATATACATATGCATATACATATACATATACAAATACATATACATATACATAAACATATACATATACATATACTTTACATATACATGTACATTTACATATACATATACGACATATACATATACATATACATATACATTTACATTTACATTTACATTTACATTTACATATACATACATATATATATATGTAACTGCATATATATATATACTATGTATATATACATACTGTCTATATGTATATATATATTTACTATATAGTATATATGCAAACGTGTGATTACATAGGGAATCCATAAATGATGGACCACCAACCACCTCCCACCTTCCTTCAAATCTGCCTCTCCAGCCATGTTGCTGCCGCAAATCACCACAGGAACCGGGGCCCGCCTGAAGTCGCTCTGGAGTTTTTGGCGGCTCCGAAGGACCCAGAAAACCAATCAGCAGTGGTTGTTTCAAGGATTTCAAGTTCTAAGGGATGTGATCGCGCCCATGCACCAACCACTTAAGCAGGAACATCAACAAGAAATACCAGCATCATCATCCCAAGAGCAGATGATGAAAGTATGACGTCACCAAGATGAAAGCATCCCCGTACCTTATAATGCTTATATATATACCTTATATGTATACATATATATATATCTTATATGTATACATATATATATATACATATGTGTATATATATATATATATATTTACATATGTATATATATATAATTATATATATAATTATATATATATCATTATGTGTGTATATATATATATATATCCATCATTATGTATCCCAATACCTTGAAGTCTTCAGGAACTCTTCTCGACTCCTACAGGAAACAGCTCCAGGTTCCCGGCAAAAGGCTTTCAACCTTCGGGGTGTGGCCATAAATGGAGGGGATTCTCAAAGTTTGATCTACGTATTATCTACGTAAAATTGTGATAAATGCTGCGTGATTATACAGGTGGAATGACTAACATTAATCATAAATGGCCATTGAATGGAAAATATGTAAAGTAATAGTTAACAGTTGGATTTAGCATTGATGGACCAACCCACAAATTTATATTTCATTTATATAACTACCCAGGGTATATATATCTTCCCGGGTACATCTATACCAGCTCTACCCGCGGCGTGATGGGCCCGGTTGACCAAACCGTCTACAAAGACGGGTAAGGAGCCAATCAAATCTCCTGGCGTTTCCTGTAGTTTTTCCCTTCTATGGAGCAACCTCCAAAAATATGCCGAAGGAAACCTTGAAATTATGCGAAAAACATCCTTTATATTCCTCTATGACATGCTGGCAAAATGTCTCCACATTTTTCCCATCTATTTGGGGGTTACTTCTGGGAGTCTGGGGACTGGAGGTGGGGTATTGTCAAACCCCTCGGTACATCATCTGAAAATTGTCTGAAAATTTGAGCCGGCTCGCCATGGGATCACTGAAGACCGGTACTTCATGATGTTTAATTTCCCATACAATCTCAGGACCAATTCACATGGAACTTTATTTCTCATGTTTTTTCGTGCAATGCTTGCTTTCCGGAGAGTATATTTATTTTCCACGGCCGTTTTCTCAATTGTTGCTGATTGGTCCGTCGGTTTTGTTGGCTATATGATCCTTTTTTCCTTGCTAAACACACCCTGCAGCAACTTGCAGATCTACAAATAGTGGGTTTTCCATACTCCATATTTATCGATTAATTTACTGAATAGAGGACCCAATAACATTCTATCCTAATCCAGGCAAAGTTCATCCCTTCATATTTAACACCCCTATTTTATGGTCCCAAATTCATCATATGTCATCCCCTATTTTCCACCAAGGTTTCTGAAGGGACTGTGAATAGGGGAAGGGTTAATTGTCATATTGTTCGTTAGTCATGCCCCATTCAGGGCCTTTAAACCCCCGTGTGCTGATAGTTAAACCCAATTAAATAACCATTCAATCACATTAAATATCACCACTAAATCCTATTAAATCAGCAGCAAAATCCATTAAATCATTTTTCAATCATCATTGCATGTCATTAAACCACTATTGCATCCCATTAATCAGCCTGAAACCGCCATTAAATCACCTTTAAATCACCATTAAACCACACTAAAATCACATTAAATCACCGTTAGTTCACAGTGAATCGCTATTAAATCACCATCAAGTCCTATAAAGTCACATTTAAGAAATAAAACACCATTAAAACACAATGAATCACCATTAAATCACCTTTGCACACAATTGAGCAACCATTAAATCACTATTAATTCCATTAAGTCAGCATGAAACCACCATTAAATCACTGGTAAATCCCATTGAATCACCATTGAACCACCATTAAATCCCATTAAACCACCATTAAATCGCAATTTAAAATTTAAAAAACGTTACACCGGCAAGGCACCCCAAACAGTGTGGAGGGAGGAAGTCAATGTAGCAAATACAAGCAACAGTAGCTATGGAACAGTAGCAGATGAGGTTAGACGTGATCCCAACTGCAGCAGCAGGACCTTCTATGTAGATCTATATAGTGCAACTCACAACATCTTCGTACAAGAACTTCCTATGAGCTTCCCAGAAGAACGTTCATAGAAGCACCAACGCAGAGCAACTTCAAGATCTTAGTGCAAGGAGGATTTCAACAGGATTGGATCTCCACAAGATCTTCTCACAAGGACCTGTACCAGATCATGCAAAGACCTGTGACAGCACTTCACTAGGATCTCCACAAGATCTTCGCACAAGGCTCGTTCCTGCGCCGCCCGCCCCCAATACCCTTTGGTATGTCCCGGACGCTGGCTGGCTATAGATCTATCTATCTATCGATCTCTCTATCTACGTAGCTACCTATGTATCTATCTACGTATCTATCTACGTATCAGATCTATCTATCTATCTATCTATCCATCTATCTATCTATCTATCTATCTCTCTCTCTCTCTCTATCTACCTACCTAGCTCGCAAACTATCTATATCTATCTATCTAATCTAATCTAATCTAGTCTAATCTAATCTAATCTATCTATATATCTATCTAATCTATCTATCTAATCTATCCATCTAATCTTATCTAATCTTATCTAACCTTATCTAATCTTATCTAATCTTATCTTGTCTTATCTATCGATCGATCTATCTATCTATACATCTATTGATATCAGGAAACCTATGTCAATACTGTGGCAGCCCCATACTCCTCTAGCCGTGCCGCGTGCCCAGACGGCCGCGTATAAGGCGGCAGCCCTGCCAGGTCTGCTTTGTATTCGAGGTTTGCCGGGGTTTTGCCGTCCGGTAAGACCCTGTACACATAGACACCGGCCATCTGGATGGCCTTGGCCAGCCCCCAAGTACCACGAGACTCGTGGATGACGGATGCATGACGTAGCCAATTGTTTTGCATGCGCACATCCAAGTTGCAAGCGGCACCGTCGTTTCGATACTGCGCCAGCATGGCACCACGGTGGTCAAAAATGCGCGGGCAGCTCTTGCACATCAACTTGCCAGCGACAACTGCTCTTTCCACGGTACATTAAAATCTAGTAAATCACCAAATCACCATATTCCCTTAAATCACCAGCAAATCACCATTAAATTCCAATAAATCACCATTAAATCACCATTAAATTCGCCATTAAATTCCAGTAAATCACCAGTATATCACCCTATTCCAGTAAAACACCAGTAAATCACCATTAAATTTACCATTAAGTTCCAGTAAATCACCGGTAAATCGCAATGTACCAGTAAATCACCATCAAACCACCACAAAATTGAATTGCAGTAAACCACCAGTAAATCACCACGCTCCAACAAATTACCATCAAATCGCCATTTAATTCACCAATAAATTCCAATCAATCACCAGTAAATCACAATCACCATTAGATTCCAGGAAATCACATTCAAATCACCATTAAATCACCATCAAATCACCATCCAATCACCATTAAATCATAATTTAATTCCAGCAAATCACCATTACATCACCATCAATTCACCATTAAATCCCATCATTATATCCCACCATCCAGGCATCAGATACCTCCGGATCGTCCGCAGACACGCGACAACAGCTGCTACCCACCAGGGTTCTGCCGTACCTGCCAGCATCCGTTGATGGATTTCCCACCACTGGATATAGATAGCGGATGAAATCCTTATATCAATCCTAGGATATTCAAAGAAAGCAGGATATACAGCTCACAGAACTGGATGAAATCCGACTTTGTATAGTGGTGAAATAGCTGCTTATATTGTTTTGGTTACGACGTATCAAAAAGATATCTGATGACAAAGGATGAAATGTGATGATTCCATGCTACAAGTAAATCCCGCGCAAGGCGGGTGGCGGAAGTTTCCAGCAAGAAGGAATGTTATAGTATAGGATTGAAAGGCAATTTTTGCCTAAAGGAACTGGAGTGAAACAGCACATCTCCTCAACTCTGTTCTGTGAATTCGTCCTCATCTTGCCTCACCCCTTTTCAACTGTGGCCACCACTTCTCAGCTCTTCGCAGCTCTTCTCAGACCATCTCAGCTCTTCTCAATTATAACAACTCTTTTCAACAGTTCCCAGCTCTTCTCAACTCCCCTCAGCGATTCTCACCTCTGCCCAACTCAACTCTTCTCAACTCGTCTCAACTCTTCTCACCTCTTGCCACCTCTTCTCAACTCTTCCCACCTCTTCTCACCTCCGCTCAACTCATCTCACCTCTTTCTCAGCTCATCTCAACTCTTCTCACCTCTTGTCAACTCTTCTCCACTCTTGCCAACTCTTCTCACCTCTTTTCACAGAGATGCTTTACACAGGGAAACTTTTGCACACAGAAGCTACATACAGAAGCTTTTGCACACAGAAGCTTTTACACACAGAAGCTTTTACACAGAGAAGCGTTTGCACACGGAAGCTTTTACACACAGAAACTTTTTGCACAGAGGAGCTTTACACACAGCTTTTACACACAGCAAGCTTTTACGCAAGAGAAGCTTTCACGCAGAGCATCTGTTACACAGAGAAGCTTTTACACGGACAAGCCTTTACACAGAGAAGCTTTTACGCAGAGAAGCTTTTGAGAAGCCTTTACAAAGAGCAAGCTTTTTGCACAGAGAAGCTTTTAGACACAGCAAGCTTTTACACACAGAAGCTTTTACACAGAGAAGCTTTTACACACAGCAAGCTGTTACAAAGGGAAGCTTTCACACAGAGAATCTGCTACACAGGATGCGCGAAAATGGGAAAAATCTGCTGCCAAAGCACCATTCGCAACCTTCATGCAGCCACTACAATACGATCGACAACTTTTAGCTGCAAAAGACAGTAGTATCACGTGCGCAGACGCGGCAGCGAGAAGCCATAACACTAACACAGCTATTCCACTGCGACCTGCAGGCACTGAGTTGCAAAACACAGTAGAACTACGGGCAGCGGCAACAGAAACTGCCGCTCCAAAACCGGATCTCGACGCCGAAGCGGAAAAACACAATGTTTCGTATAAATCCTAACATTCAAATCGCATCCTTGATGTAGCAGTTCCAATGCGATCTGCCAACAACGACTTGCAAAACACAATCAGAATCGCAACACATGATGCAAAAGCACCTTTCTTCTCTTCTCGTCTCGAATCTACTGTACTCCATTCTACTCTACTCTGCCCTGCTCTCCTCTACTCTGCTCTACTCTGCGCAGCAACATGCCGACTGTACTGGAATATCTTTTCAGCTACTGCTCTACTTCATGTTCATGCCAGCTGGGCTTGAAGATCTTGAGCTACTTCTCTGCTTCAGGTACATGCCAACTAGAAATAATGATTTCTGAGATACTTCTCTATCTAATTCAGGTACATGCCAACGGGGCTTAATGATCTTTGGGCTAGTGAGAATGTGACTTAATGATCTCTTAACGCAAATGCCAACTGGACACAATGATCTTTGGGCTAGTGAGAATGTGAAAGTCCGTAACTTGAAAGGAATGAATATAATACCCCCCCAAGAACTTTAAAATAAACTGATGGAATGGGATGAAAAGCGTCTTTGTTTCAAGTACAGCTGCCTGACTGAAGATCAATGGAGGCTATGGAGGCTATCACCAGGATGGGTAAAGTAATGGCTCCCTAAAATGCAGAAAAATGCCACCCTTTGGAGTCATGGTATACCCCTGAAGAATAAAGAAAAGAATCAAACCAAACCATCCACAACATTATATGAAAAATAGTACATGGCTTCTAAATCTCATCTTTAAGGATCAGATCTTTGGGAGTCCTGGGAGACTTCAGCTTCAAAATCAGCTATATATATATTAAAAAAACAAGCATCATTTGTCAATCAACGAATTTTCTGACTTTGCTTGGGCCCCCGACCGCGGTTGGCAGCTTGCAAAGCTGTCAATCAGAGGACTAGCTCCTGGTTGGCGAAGGAATTCTTGATGTAACTGTGACAAGGGAGTCACTATAGACATGGGTCAAAAATAGGCGTTGTCTGAAAATTATCGGAAGACATGGGAACCCCCATGGTTAAATCACCCATTTCCCTACTAACATGCTATAACTGGATGTATACTCCATTTTCAGACACACCCAGCAAAAGTTTCGGGCTTGAATAGTTGAAAAGCAATTTCTGTAGGACTTGGAAGGTCAAGGAGGAACCCAACTTCCGTGGTACGTCAAGGGTTCGGGTGCAGCAGTATTAAAGCTCAAGATGGAAGCGAAACTGCATAAATTGCGCTAAGAGTAGTCTGAACTGAATGAAGCTTGGAATGTCAAATCTCCAAACTTCCAACAGAACCTGACAAAGCTGTACTCAAACCTAGTACATCTAGTACGAACTTGTGACTTTGAGATCATTGTGACTTTGAGATCATTGCCCCCCTCTTTTGAAGCGTACAGCTGGGCCAGCTGGGTCTACTGCACCCAGCCACCTTCAAGGACCGAAAGGTCCCCTCCTCGCAAAGGCAGATTCGCCGAGACCACGACTCCACCTTTGGAAGCCTGGCCGAGCGGTCGGAGCGGTCCGAAAACCCCCGTGCTGAGTTCAGCGTCAGGCACCTGGCCTGGCTCCAAAACTCCGGCACACTGAACACCTGGCGTCGCTGGCTGCTGAAGGCTTTTCCAGCTAAGGGACCCCGATACAGTCTGCCTTTGCCGCTTCTTGTGCCCGGTAATCTGAAATCCACAGTTTCAATGTAACTTGTCACAGGCCACCTGCAAATTTTGAAGTTTAATGGTGAAGTTTCACGGCCTTGCTCTGTAGACCAGGGCATTTACCCATTCTACCCTGGGTCAACATACCAATCTATATTATATATATTATATTATATATTATATTTATATATATATTATTATATATATATATATTATATTATATATATATATATATTATATTATATTATATATATATTATTTTATATATATATTGTATTATATATATATATATTATTGTATTATATATATATATTATATAATATATATACATATTATATATATCATATATTATATATCATATATTATATATATATACACCCTAAGTAGACTAACATAGATGTGGAAAATCAATCATTTGTAGACTATTTTCCTGAAGCCATGGGTTTTCCAGATCTCTAAACCACCATTTGGGGTTGTCCCAAAATCGGAGTATCCATTCGCATAATTGGGGGGTTCCATAAATGAGGTATCCCGGTATCCCAATATCTGGATGGTGTTTTTTATGGAAAATCCTATTTCAATGGATGATTTGGGGTTACCTCCATTTTATGAGACCTCCAATTGTATCCATTAAATGTGCCATACGTTGGGGTATCGCCCATTTGAAGACAAACATTGACAAACCTATCATATTATACAAATGGATCACTTTCGATTGTCAATACTTTGCTTAGCAGAATATCCCAGTCTCAATTACGGCGTGAATGTGCATCCCGGGCATCGTATGTAAGTGGCTCATCTATAACCCAGATAACTAGGGATATCTGCGGATATAACCCACTAGTATAACTTGGTTGTAAGGCTGTTGTTTTCAACCTTGGAACATGGACCATTTCAGATTTACCGAGGCCTATCAAAAATGGTGAATTTCCCTTTGTTACAAATTACCAGAGGGTCCACTTACCAACTTATATCCCAGTTTGATGAATATACCATAATATACCCATTATATCCCCCGATATCTCCAGAATTTTCTGGATTTTGGTTCCGCAGCCCCACATCTCTGCCTCCTGTCCGTCTGCCGCACCAAATATCCGCAGCGGCCGCCGCTGCGGGGCGCCGTCGCGGAAGAGCACGCGCCGCAAGGCCTGATGACAGGCCATTTGGCTGCAGCTATTGATAGAAATGTTGGAATCAGAATGGGGGGCTTATATCGTTTCATATGTTTCTATATGGTTACAATGGCTATATATATATATACGTATGTTATATCATATAAGTATGTTATATTGTATATAACAACATATTACATATAACAATCTAATATAATATAAATTGTAATATGTAATAATATTTCATTAGATATAATATATAATTGTAATATACTAATATACAGTGTTACATATTATGATATACTATATATAATTATATAGGATATATATATAATATGTAACTGTATATATCTGTATATATATATATATGTGATATTAGTTGGTATTATATATATATATATATACGTGCATACATTCCATATTGCCCTGAAAGTCAAATGACGCATTTTACCCACCAGTTTGTAGTGATTTTCTGGGATACGTGCCTCCCAAATGTCCTCCTGACTCGACTGTGGCGCCAGTTCCACATCGATCTCGCCCTGAAGGACCTCGTCTATACATGAGGATGTGAACCAGAACATCTAAAAAATCATGTTGTTTTGTAGGTTATGAGATGTTAACCAAAGAAAATCGTACTTAACACGTATATTAGATTATATATATATATATATATACATAGATATATATATATATATATCGATATATATATATATACTTATATCGATATATATATATATATATGTAAATATATATATATTATACATATTGTTATGATTATTATCACTATTGTTATTATATGACACTAAACCTCCTAATGCAGAGCTACAGGCGGTCCACATAATGGCTACGAATCACCAAGAGAGGGACATCGCTCCGTGGGTGCACTGGGCAGCTGGCTCCGACATTGGGATACCTGCGTGTCGACTCAGGTATCCCCCCAAAACGCGGAGGGGATTTCTGGCAAAAAATCGGAGGTTTCACAGTTGAATACCATTGAATACCCTCTGGTAATTTAACGTAGCTATTGAAAATGGCCATTAATAGTGGATTTTCCCATTAAAACTGGCAATTTTCCATAGTTATGTTAGTTTACCATTGAATACCTATTTTGATTGGTACTGAAAGAGTGTTTTAGAGGATCTGAGTAGACTGACACTCGACAACCCCCGACCAAGGTACACTCGGACGTACTTCTGGCTGGCTTTGACCTAGGACAGTTCCAAAAGTGTCGTTTGCACTCGTTCAACTGGCATGCCACACTGTATAGTTTTACACTATATCCATGCGTATCTTTACATATCTATCCATATATATATATAAATACCTATATAAATACAAGAACTGTACATAACATAAGAGATATATAACTATGTCACTATATATATATAATTAATAATAATAATAAATGTAGTACTATATATGATGTTTAAGTATTCACTGGGGCTTCGGACCGCCATGGCGCGCAGCAAGGCGGCGCTGGTGTTTTGTGGCCCCGGTGACGGGGCCGGCCGCGCTTTGGGGGAAGCCGAACCTTGGAGGCTCAATGGCTCCCCCAGGAAGGAAACCCTGAGATGGTGAGTTAACCAGAGAAAAATGGGGACTTTAGCAGAAAAACTTGGGATTTCAGGAGGAAACATGGTGAAAAACACCAGGAAAAAGTGGAAATTCACATGGAACAAGTGTGGGTTTGTTAAGAAACAATTGGAAGTTCAGCAAAACATGGGGATTGATAGTTGATATGATGAATGGGATATGACGGGATAGTCATAATACTTATCGGATGTAGTGGAATACTGATTTTATTGACTGTATTTTGAAATATGGTTTGAAGCAATAAACGTTATGTGACTTTGATATTTCACTAGTTCAACTGGTGATTCTTTCATGGACATATCTATAGTTAGATGGGTGTGTAAACCAACTTATGACTGGAAGGCTCAAACCGTTTGGGGACCTTGGGACAGTAATTCCTGAAAAGGTTCAAAAGTTGAATTTGTTTGATCGTATTTCCATATATATATCCTTCGATATCCTTCGAACAATTGTGTGAAAGTCTTTTGGAACTGAATTTCTTTGATTTTCCTGTGTTCTAAACTTGGGTTTACTGTACTCGACATATTTCCTGAATATGGTGCGTTTCTGATTCCTCTTGGTTGATTGGAACTTGGAAGCAGCTGATTTTCCCGATCCTCTGTTTATAGGGGGATTTCTTCACAGCTTGCCATGTTTAATGATCCCAGAGGGTATCAACCAATATTCCATTAATATGCCATTCATATTCCATTATTATTCCATCATACCTTCCCATGATATTCCCTTTTTATCTCCATTCTACCACCATTTCTTAGGCCATCTTCAGCCCATCTTCAGCCCATCTTCAGCCCATCAGCTTGGTAAAGATCCACTGGAGCCTCCACTGCACGTCTCTGCCACCTGAGGGCCCATCAGGGCCCTGGAGATCTCCGGGTATTTTCACATTTCGTGTTGGTTCTATCGTTTTGCATATACATAGATATATATATATATATTATTATATTATATTATTTTATATATTATATTGTTTTATACTATATTATATTATATATATTCCCATGATATCCCCGCGATATTCAAAACACTACAATCCAAATCCTATGCTTCGATATATATATATATATACAATATATATATATGTACAATATATATATACACTGTCCCAAACGATATTCCCACTAAGTCACCCATACAACCAATGATTGCTGGGATCTCATCCCACGCCTGGAAGCAGTCAGGCCTATGCCGTGTCCATCCTGCGACAAAATGGCATGTGAGCAGTAAACAAAATCTCAAAAAACTACCAGAAAATGATCACTGTGCATCATCGCGCGGGCACAAAGGTATCGTGTACTATATTGCAGTGAAGCAGGTGCCCAAACAGAATAGCGCGTTCATCGCATTCATCGCTTGATTGGTGATTTACTCTTCCATCTTTTAGGGGCACCCCTCTACAAGTGGTACTTGACCTTTTGATGGCTTTTTATTATAAATATAAATATACATTCATACTCTATGAAAATGACTATGTTACCTAACTTTATGTATGTTTACCGTAAGTAATTACGTAGAACACCTTGGAATCTTCCCCTTCCCGTTTCCAATCATCTTCCAGCGTGGCCTCCTTTCTGACAGCTGGGACCGCAAAAGTGCACTGCGTGACAACGGCCACAGGCGAAAACGGCGCCAGCAACGCCGCAGTGGAAACCTCCCCGACGGCAGTGGATTCAACATGTGTAGAGGTAGAAGTATGATGCGTATCAAAAAAAAACACTACATGTCAATGTAATATATATATATATACAACAATGTGTAGAAAAAGAGACTCTCTTTGATGAAAATGTTTGAAATTCCATGAAATCCATAAGTTGCAGCAACAACTTTAAAGAAAAAACAGCAATGAACGCACCTGAGTTGAACCCAGGGCTGACCATGTTGCAAGCCGAGCAGCATATCATTGCGGGCGCAGCAGCATGACAAGCTAAGAGCTACAGTTCTGGCCCTTGACCAGTTTTGAGTCAGTTGCTATTTTTCGCCATTTGTGGAATGTATTAACCCCATTTATAACCCAAAAAATAACTGGTATTTCGGGCGAAGATACTGTTTTACAATGTGTTCCATTTATAGAGGCGTCCTGTCATGGCCATCTAGGCCATCCTTGGGGGCTTTTCTGATCATCCCAAAACCGGGGAAGAGTGAAAATCCAAAGAATGGATGATACACATAACTATCAATGGGAAAATCCATGAAAATCCACTATCAATTGTCATTTTCAATAGCTATGTTTGTCATTACCAGAGGGTAGATCTGTGGATCCAAACCAACTCAACAACCACCAGTTGTGGCTCCAAGGTGATACCAGTTGCGCGATGGATCGGTACCAGAAGTTTGGGCCAAAGAGCAAGACGTTTTAGACCAGCACATGCCCGGCCACTGGAAGCGTAGCGACATGATCTGACCCCAGTTTCCAGGGTATACCTTGGCTTTGAATGAATATATATATATATACTATATATATATGTATATACATATATGTATATATATATATGTATATATATATATATATGTATATATATATATATGTATATATATATATGTGTGTGTATACCAGTATACATATACATAATTTACATTATTCTACATATACTGCCATATAATGTGCTCTATGTTTTGGGCTTTACCAATCTGTACCACACCTCCGTGAGTACATCCCGGCGTCGACGTGGGGCGGACCTCAAGCCTTCCGCCAATGTCAACTCCTGCGAGGCGTTGACGCACTCCTGGGCATCAACGAGTTCTTGGTCTATTTCCCGTGGGACAAAAAGGTAAACAAATCTGGAAAAAATGCGTGTGTGTATATATATATATATATATATATTATATATATATGTGATATATATGATATATATGATATATATATATATATGATATATATATATATATATGTGATATATATGATATATATGATATATATATATGATATATATATATATATGATATATATATATATATGATATATATATATATATGATATATATATATATGATATATATATATATATGATATATATATATATATGATATATATATATGATATATATACATATATATGATATATACGAAAGTCATAGCTCTGACATTTTTTTTGCCAGCTTCCATACGTTTGTGGGTGGCATCATGTCGCGATGTTTTTTGGGCCCCAGCAGCTGGGCTTTCCAGGTGCGGAAGATGTGCTCGTCAATTGGGGTTCATATGGATTCATCGTCCCATTTGTTGGATCGAAAATTACAACAGCTCAAACCACCAACCAATCCAACCAGTATTGCACATGGAGTGACTAGATGACTAGATATACAATGAGATGATTTCATATTGATGTAAGATGTGATGAAAACATAGGAAAACCATGTTGCATTCACACAACCTGACACAACATGATGTCCCCGAGTTCATCCACGGCTCAAAGATTAAACTGACCTGGTTGGTGGTTTCAGACACCTGCTGAAAATGATGAGTCAGTTGAGCCATGTTCTAAATGTCTTACATCCTGGCACCAAATAAGGAAATGCTCACGCCATTGCTTACGTCTTGCTTACGCGCGCACAGGTTTTGCTTACGCGCAGATCTTGTCTTACGCGGAGCTTACGCTGGCTTACGCGCACCACAGTTTTGCTTACGCCACACCCTTACAAGGGGCCCCTTGCTTAACATGAACACAAGGGTTTAGAACGTAGCTCAGTTGGGATCATCATCCCAAATAGTCCTGCACATGTACAAACCACACCCAAAGCACCCATCATCCCAACAAAATCCAACAAACATCTCCAACCCAATCCTTGGCCAACTGCACGGCGGGGACTGAAAAACTGGCGATCTTCTCCGCAATTTTGATGGCCTGGCCAGTGACCAAGGTGGTGCCGAGATCCAACCGCGGGGCCACTCGGTGCTTGGTATACCATCTGTCATCATTTGCCAACCTATTGGATCCTATTGTTTTTCTTTTGGGGGTGAACCCCTCTATGAATCAACCAACCCAATGGGAAGAGGACATCGATGGCCCACCGCACCACGCCTCCTCCACCTCTGAACCTGTGGGCACCACACGCGCCACCAAGCCAGCCTTCTCAGCCTGGGGATGCACTTTGCCACCGGAAATTCGCTGTTTCAACGAGCAACAAAAACCACAAAAAATGGTTGTTAAACCGACTGCAGAGATTTTTTTGATTGCGAAAATGGGATCCAAGCAGCAAAACCTGGAATTTTAAGCAGGTCGTGGCTGAGCCAAGAGAAATTGTCATGGGGACATAAACCAAAGAGGCATCGAGGGTAGAGCCATCAAACTTGGAGATATTCATCAACAGAGACAATGGCCAACCCTAGACACGAAACACTCCTTCATAAATTATGCCACAAAATACAGATCATATCAGCAGCAAAGCCCTACCAAGAAGGAAATGTTGCATTCAACCGTGCAGCCTCTGCAGCTCAACCCTGTTGACGTTGGCCAACCAGCAGAGATGGTTCAAAAACAATCAATGTGTCAGTCCAAGATGAGGTTGAAACACAACTTTAAGATATTCTCCCAAAAAAAAAATGTTACCCCACAAGGCCCCGGGTTGTTCTTTTAAATCGTCTGGACTAAGAGGAGATTCAGATCATACTCTGGGGATCCAATCATCTGGGTTTCAGATTGTATTTTCAGGCCCATACCCTAGTTTTCGGATATGATTGGAATCACCAATCATACTGGAATTGAATTTGGACCCTCAGGGAACTATCGTTGTACATGTTGTTGGAAATGTAATCACAGTTATTGATGAATGATGATTCAATTCTGTGTAGTTCATCTACAAATGAGGAGAGGAAATCCCAAGGTTGATTCTAATTGATCTACAAATCTCGATCTGGATTAATGGCAATTAATTGTAATCATTGGATTAATCTATAGCCAATTCTTGCTTTAGGATGGTTTTTTGCACAAATTACTGTAGGATTCAATGGTTGATATCTCTCATCAACCATTCAAAACCAGTAAGTAATCTACAATGCTTAATTCGTAGATTGTCATTGGAGTAATCTACAATTCATCTACAACATATGGCCTATTTGCTGTTTGTCTGAAGTGCAGGCCACCCTAATTTTGGTCAAAAGTTTCAGTAATAATTTCCCTATTGAACGGTCATTGTATTGCGACACCCCACTATCAGACCCACGATATAGTTGGTAATATGGCCATGAAATACCCGCTAAACTACCATCCTTGTTGGTTAATCTTCCCATTGATCTTCTATGATCTGTTGTTTCAGGAGGTTGTCACATATCAAATTGTTGTTTTTTTTATCACATTATATAAATCCCATCTACCATTTACCCATCAAATTGTTGGTACGTTTCCTTGGGATAAACAATATTTACATATCCATTGTGTCTACCATGTTGCTGATTACGTAGAATGGTTAATAGTTCCGATAATGTTCCCGTTATATTCCCATCACTGGATGATTCTAGCTAATATCCATCTACAAGGGAATGCAATGGTAAATCTAAAAAGTACATATAATATGCCCATTGTTTTCTCACTATATCTAAATATTCCACTATATATGATTATAATGTCCCCAAAATGTGTACCATTAATATCCCCATGATATGCCCATCACCATATATTCTCATAAACTTCCCATTCTATCTACCATTACATTCCCCTTACATCTAAAATATTCCCATCACAAAGGTATTCCCATATAAGATTCCCATTATATATCGATTATATCTAATAGAGGGTTCCCATCATATTCCAATTAATCAGATATTCATAATATTTATCATATATAATAATATACCATTCACCATTGGTATACCATTCAAGCTCAGAAAAAGATGTTACCCTTATGAAAAGTGGTGATCCTACCTATCTTCAATGGATTGGTTTAAGGGAAAATCTACAGGAAACCATGGTTTTTACCATCAAATATAGGTCTTTCCTGTAAATTTTCCCATCATCCAATTCTATGATATCTCCCATAAAGTGCCAGTGCCGGTATCCCCACCTCCTCGGCCGTCAGCATCTCACCGGTCAAGATCAGCTCCATGGCCTTGGACTTCCCCACGGCGCGGATCAAGCGCTGCCTGGGACGCCGGGAAGAAAAATGCTGGGGGTGATGATAGATTAATAGATAAACAGATAGGAAGATAGATAGACAAATGGATAGGTAGATAGATAGAAAACTATGTATGCATGCATGCATGCATGCATGCATGCATGCATCATGCATGCATGTATGTATGTATGTATGTAAATACGTACGCACGCACGCACGCACGTACGAAGGTACGCACGTACGTACGTAGGTACGTATGTACGTATGGTATGTGGCATATGATATTTACAAATGGGATGATGTATATGCATATATGGATAATGATAGAAAAGTTATAGAAATGTTGGGAGATGATATAGAAATGATGTCTATATATCTATGGGATAGGTTTTTTTGGGAGATCTTTCATGGGATAGAAGTATGGGATATGTTTTTTTATGCAGAATATGTGTTTGGTAATATGTCCCATAAAACATATGGGGGAGTATGATGGATAACTGCTTTTTTTGACAATGGATAATGGATAATGATAAATTCAGGTCTCTGCACGATGGAAAATGTGGGAAACCCAATGCCATAAACCTACTGTTCGGGGATTGGTTTATAGAACCCATCTTATTAATTTTTGGGGATCGTTTATGTCATTGGGTTTCCCACATTATGATCTATTTTCGGGGGAGGTGCATGTATATATATATATATGTGTGTGTACCATGTAATTTGGATCAAGAAACAACGTTCCCTGGATAATTTGTGGAATACAAATGAAGATAAAAAGCAACTAAAATGGTGATGAAAGGAAGTATATTGGGGGAGAATGTGGTAAACGCAATTCTCCAGGGAGAATGTGTTGCAAGTAGGCCCAATAAACGACTAGTTCATTCAGAGGTGTTCCACTATGAGTGAGTTCACAATCTCTATTATATAAACCAGGCAGCACACTATAATATCCCATCTATCTTTCATGCCGCAAGGGCTCAAGGAGTTTCCTGTGATTTCTTGGGGATACCCAGGGTACAAAAGGCAAGTGCCCATGGAAGCACGGTGACTATCAATGGTGTCATCTGTGTCTGCAGTCCACAACACTTTTGACGATTGCCCTCAGTAGATATGTTCGTGAGGCTCTACCATAACATCATCTTATATACATATTATGTATAATTATATACTTATACACTTATACCTACATGTATACAGTTAATATCTCAAATTTCCATGAGTTTGAGTCTATAGACTTGAAGATCCGAATTTGAAGCCCTTTCAAATCCGTCTAAATATATCTAAATACCTATCTAAAACCATTTATATGATATAAACCACAATGTTTCAGCATTCCTCCTGCATTTTTCCACCATTTTTCGGTGACAGATCTCCGGGCTTCCCCACGTGCCACCAACACCTGGAATGGTTCCAAGCCTGAGAGAAGTTGGGCCAAAGCGGTGGCTAATAAGTGTTGACTAGTGATTACATGTGAAATAAATGGATATATCAGATATAACGGGATTGATACTGGTAACTCATGTGATTAATCTTGGGATATAATTAGATGGATATAGTGGCTAGTGGTTAACGGATTGATATTGGTTCATGGTTTTAAACATAAAGGTTCAGTCAAACCAACCTCAAAGCAGGAGAAAAAAAAACACCGTTTTGTCCAGCTGCTTGATCTCCGGCTGCCCAAATTTGGCCGCCTCAGCCATGGGAAGCTGCGCGAATTTTGCGGATTTTCCAACCAAAATCATCCACAACTAGATATTCACCAGCCACAATTGAACGTTCACCCGGTAAGCACTGTTCTAGTTCTCACATGTGTAGATTCCGTCCATTCCGTGGATTGTCGGTTTGTATTTTTGTCGATTTTCCGAAGGCTTCAAACTTGAAAACTTCACACCGCGCCTCTGAGGCGATAATGATATCGCAAGACATGGCCTTGGAAATTCTGCTGTTCATTGCCGCTCTACTCCCAAAAACATTAGCATGTTTAGATATGTTTAATGAGACAGTTGATAAACCTGGAGTTGAAACACCCGACTATTGCGACAACCCCCAATAGCGAGACCCCAGGGCTTTGAACGTGGAATTTGAACCAGGAAACTGGAACATGTAGACATGGATACTCCGCACTGCCAGTTCTGCAGCAATAATTTTCCCATACAGTACATGCACATGGATAGCAAGATAGCAGCCGCAAACCCGAATGCTATCAGAATCAAAAGTGAGTTCAAGACTACCTTGAGTCTTGCGACTTGTTGAATGCCGTTCTTGTGAGACACTCTCGGCAAACCAATTACTTTAAAACACTCTTATGGGACATTCATTGCCAGGAGAAAACCCCAAGGAAATTCCCTTTTTTTGATCTTCATTAAAAGATAGTTCTCCATCAAGACTGGTAAACCTACAATTTCCCACAGTGATGATGGTGATTTATGGTAAGTAAGTCAAAAACGTTAGTGTCACTGGGTTCGCCACTATGTTGCAATGCTCAAAACATTGAAAGTTGATGTTAACATGTTTTATCTGCCAAACAGTTGATTGCATATGATAAAGTTTGAAAATTTCACCCTTGAGGAGTTTATTTTGTATTTAAATTGTTCACATGTATCGTCGCACTACCATAACTAAAAACTATCCGACCGTATAACTTACCGTCCGGTAGTCAAGCATGGCTACCTGGGAAATCCGCTGTCAATGGACATTTACAATAAGAGCTACTTGGGAAATTCTCCCGCAATCCATGTTGGACTACCAGATCATAATATTTCACAACCCAATCATACGTATGTGTAGTCCCCTTGTAGTATTACCTGGAACCTGGGTGGTGCCATTTTAAAAGGAAACCCCTTATAATGACAACCAGGTTTTTAAAATGACAATTTAAAAGCGCCAGTTTTATAAAATGATAGTTCTAAGCGTTGTAAAATGTGAGCTCCTTTTTTTGAGGGAAAAACTTGTTTATATAGTGCCAGCGTTTTCCGCCCGTAGGTTCGAAGCCTGTGTTGACATTTTATAAACTTATATTTTTGTTTAGGGCCAAAAAGAATAATCATAAATCAAAGGGCCCCCGGTCCCACAACATGTGATTCGTTTTATAAGCGAGCATACCAGAGACACCGGGTCATTTCATAAGAACAAACACATCCAAAAACCGGGTGGCAGGTTGTGACACCGAGCATGGCTGCTACAAAAAGCGACATGCATGCTGAAGATGTTAGACTGACCAGCTGTGTATTCAAACCTGAAGCAGGCAAGCAAGCAGTGTTTTACTCCTCCGGGTGTCTAAGTAGAGTTTGGCAGTTGCTAAATCTGTGCCCAGGGGTGGCAGAACACCACCAGCCTTATCCATGCCAGTGGCTGCGAAAGGGCAATGCTCACCAGAGTACCTACCAAGTGCCTTTCTCAACATTGTGTAAAAGCAAGCATCCTTCAGCAAGTCAGCTGCAGCTGGGTCACTAGCTGCACTTGCCAGGGCACCCCAATCAATGCTGCTGCAATGCACTTTCCCAAGGTTTCTCATGGACTCTGCGTTCCCTTGGGCCCTGATGATGGGCACGCCTTCTGGCAAAGGGGCGTTAGCATTCAGCAAATTTTCTTATGGCTGCACAGGCCTGTTGGGTGGCATCTCTGTCAGTGGTGTAGCAATGCCAGTGTGCAAACAGGTTTGCCAAGCCAAATCTGTGCAACACTCTTTGGTAAGATTTTTTCCAACCTGGCACTTCCTTCTGCAAGCTGGTGTCACGGCAAGTGAAGACACCAGCATCAAAGGCAGCATTGATGCCTTCTTCTGCATGATCAAGAACTGCAGAGGGGTCCAGCTCTAACCCTTTGCTGTAGAGGAACATGCCTTCTAAATTGTCTTGCCTGCAATGCTTGTGTCAAATCTGCGTCTTCCACAAAAAATACAACACAACGGGAAAACCAAACAAACCCAGTTGCAGCCAAGCTGCAGTGCATCCATTACATTGAGCCATGTAGTATCCCTTGGCAGTGTTTGGAGTTCCACCCGAAAGCCACCCATCCTGTGCTGCTCCATATCCCTCATGGTGCTCAGCATTGACTCAATATTGCCTTGCTGCTTGTTGGGCATACCATCCCAATTTAAACAGTTGAAGGATCATCATTTTATAACAATAAAAGATGACAAAGTTATACCGGCAAGGGACCCCAAACAGTGTGTGTGAGGATAGTGCATGATAATGCTGAGAATGATGATAATGAGGAGGAGGAGGAGGATGATAATGTTGCGGACGATGATGTTGAGGATGATGAAGGCGAGGATGATGAGGTGTAGGATGATGATGTCGAGGATTATGAGGTGGAGGATGAGGATGATGTTGAGGAGGATGAGGATGAGCATGATAATGCGGAAGATGAAGTGGAGGATGATAAGGTGGAGGATGTGAGGATGATGAGGTTGAGAAGGAGGAAGATGATGATGTTGAGGACGATGATGGAATGTTGCGGAAGATGAGGTGGACGATGGTGATGTTGCGGAAGATGAGATGGACGAGGATGATGTTGAAGATGATGATGCCGCGCCTGAGACATGCGCCGCGTTTTGTGCAAGCCTGCGCAGTCGAAATGCACATAAGAGCCATTTTATGCAGATATTTACGGGTAAAATGCCGCACCCCAAGACCGCGACACATGCTTTGTGCCAGCCGGAGCAGTCGAAATGCACATGGACATGTTGCAAGGGCCGTTTTAGGCAGAGATTTACAGCGCAGTCGAAATGCACATGGACGTCACAAGAGCAATTGTCTGCAAGAATTTACAGGTAAAACGCCGCAGACCAAGACCGCACCGCAGTCGACATGCACATGGACATGTCACATGAGCAATTTTCTGCCAGAATTCACAGGTAAAATGCCGCGGACCACGCGCCCCACGTTTTGAGCGAGCCTGCACAATCAAAACGCACATGGACATGTCACAAGAGCCATTTTATGCCGAAAATCACATGGAAAAGGCCGCAGACCAATAGCAAGCAAAACTCACGGCGCAGACTTTGCGCGAGCCTGCGCAGTCGAAACGCACATGAACATCTCACAAGCTAGCAATTTTTATACAAAAATTTACAGGGAAAATGCCGGGGCCCAGAGTGAGCACCCTGATCAAGCACCGGCCTTAACTCCTACCTCAAGAACCCCTCAGTGTGGACACACTGTTTGGGGAAATATAGTAATAAGGTGACCCGGGGTTGGGTTTCTTCCGATTAACAAGGATTACGTAGTCATTTCATAATTCTGTAAAAACGATTTGAAAAAGGCACCCTTATGAAATGAAAGTGGAATTTTCACATTATATCCAGATTTTTTCAGCGGGGTCCTATATACCTGAAAAATGGCACCTGGGTTGCTAAATTCTGTAAGGGATATTACGATGGGGGTTGTATTTATATACATATATGATATTCCTATATATAACATCATCGCTGATTTTCACGTCACATACGGCTGGCAGATCAGGAGGAGGCGCCATCGCCCAAAAAAACGATAAGGCCTTCAGATGTGTAACTCTCTCGCCTTTGTGGGATAACATATTTGCACGGTGCCCTTGCTACGTCGAGTCTATTGTTAAGAGAGTGCGCACCAGACCTTCAGAGCTGGAAAGACTAGGCACTGCTTGGGTATCAACCGCTAACCGGCTTGCGCCTGCATGCCCATGTCTTGGAACAAAAGAAAAAATTGATCCTTCAAGTCAAGGATTGCACCGGATACAGCTGCACACTTGTCTGAAATGCCATTGTTGGCAAATACGCTCGTTATATCGAGCCCAGATGCAGGGAGCCATGGGCAGATGATGTTAGATATACATATATATATATACATAGACATATATATATATTTATGTATATATGTATGTGTACGTATATATGTCTGTCTTGTAGAATAGTTAAACATGTGTTCCATATTTATACAGCACACAACCAAACAATTGACAAAATGTACAACTTTGAGCAAGCCTAGAGAATGCGGAAACCAATTCCCAACAACAAACCCATCTATCTGAAAAGAAACCCCAATAGCAACAATATCTCAGCAGCGTATGCCCCCTTGAAAGTATGATCAAATACAAGTATCGAAAGTTGTTGCATACAAAAATTCAACTTTTCCAGGCGCACGGCTCCAAAACAATGAAATCTTACACTGATTAAATGTTGTGGTGATGCCAAAATTGAACTTTTTGCAGGCGCACAGCACCCCGACACGACTTTAACGAGCTGATACGACTTAAACCTAGCGCTAGAAATGATTTTATGTGTCCTATTCAAATAACCATTTTAGCGGTGTAATCTATTTTCAGACGCAATCTTTTTGGTTAATCAAATATACAAATCACCAGTTTGGCTCTGAACTGCTATAAGTTCAGCATTACTAGATACTAAATATATATATATATACATATATACAATATTATACAATCATATATTATAATATATTTACTATAAATGTCCATAACTTACTCTCTGGTAATTTAAGATAACTAGCTACCGCAAATCACCATTTGTAGTAGCTATATAAATTATAATATATATCATTGAACTAAATAGGCCGTGGCTTTCATAGCTATGTTAAATTGCCAAAGGGTAAGATGTCAAGTATTTTGGATACCCTATGATAGTCAAACATGGCTAGCTGGGAAATCCTCCATAAAAAGAGGTAAAAATATCTGGGAAAGTAATCGAACTAAATGGTGGAATTGTGAAAATTGCTATGTTTAGATATGTTTAGTATCAAAAATATCCAATCATGGTTTTAATATGTTTTAATGATAGTTCTAAACACTCACCATATCCAATCCTATAAATCACCATAGCTTACCCTCCGCTAATCAAACATGTCTTGCTGGAAAGTCCACCACGGATCGTTCCATGATTCTCCCAGCTCCAGTGACATCTCCATATTTGATCATCATATAGAAATTGATGTGATTCTCCCACATATTTCCTATGTTTTTCCATGTGTTTTCCATGAATTTCCCATATTTTCCCATGATTTTCACATTAAAACCTCCATGTTTCCACGGGGATTAAAACCAGCCAAGGGACCAACTCGCAGCCGCCGCCCAAGGCAAAGCCACCCACGGCGGCGATGATGGGCTGAACGGTTGCGGCATGAGCTCCGTTGGTCCAAGGAGAAAATCATGTGGTTAGATAAGTTATAGGATTTTGATGGATTTTGATGGATTTTGATGGATTTTGATGGATTTTGATGGATTCTGATGGATTTTGATGGATTTTGATGGATTTTGGAAAAACTGTTTGTAGTGTTTTTTGGAAAAAGGTTCTAAGAATAGGCAATCTCAGGAAATATAAGTACCAATTAAATACGATCACTTAAGCCCCGTGTTTGGAGACACCCATCAGTTAAACTTGAAAACTTCACCATTTTGAGGAGTGTTTTTTAAGCGGGCGAAGGGATTAATTGGATTAGTTGCTTTCTTTATCATACTTTATCCATCTTTATCCCACTTAGAACCAGACATGTTACCTCTGCAAATGGCATCTAATGTTGTTCCATGCAAATGTTCAAGGGGCACAAGATGGGCAGGTGTTCAGTCCAAGGTAGTACCCCGGCAACTGAGAGGAGATTAGCTGTTGCCACGTGAAATCAACTGGGAAAATACGTGATATGTGCCTGCCTACATTTGCATCATGTTTGGGGCACATGTAGGTATATATATATATAGGTAGATATAAAGCACATTGTTCACCAACTTCTGGATATGTTTCGTGTCGAACTTTCCTAGCATCAACTGCTTGCTGAGCTAGCCGCAGCCATGACAAAAGTATCTCGGGATCGTCTTCCAACGGGATGATCCCAGCCTTACGGATCCCGGTGATGGCCGACCAATGCGCCAACCTCGACGCGAGGTTCACCGGAGAGGTGGGAATCATCCGCCGTGAAAATGACATCCATTCTTCATTGCGAAAGGGAAAAAAAAACGACACATTGGTCGCTTTGGCACTATGTTCAATCATTTTTGATTGTGCAACAGGATGCCCCTCTATAGAGAGTGGCCAACATTGACCAACTAGTGAAGAACATCTAAGGTCAAAATGCTATGCCTTGTGGGTAACATCCCCAACATTTTGCCAGAATACTGACCAACATGCATTTTGAGGGGTACCATCTGGTCAACAAACATAGCAAGCTCAAACAACCCATCAGTAGATGATTCTTCACGATTTGCCTTATTCCGTTGTATTCCAAGTCTCTCCAAAATTAGTCAAAATTATAGGCTAGTGAACCCTGTCGCGGTTGAACATCACGGCCGCCACGATCTACAACGACTTCTGATGGGTCAAGACTGGACACACCAAAGTGCTTTGTAAAAATGATGTTGTCCAGTTACAAACTTGGGATATCCCGTCAGTAACTGGGGCAGTTGTTTTGATTGCTGTGCTTTTACCGAGCGGACTGCCCTTCATGAACGACCTAGATGGGTCCAGTTACGTAGCGTTTTGGTGGAATCAAAGCACTAATCCACATCTGTGTTGAGCGGTTTCAATACCCCAGGTCGAACCCAGGTCGAACCCAAAAAACCGGTCGAAAGACATGGGTCATTAAATGTCCCCATTGAACATCACCCAACCATTAGGTATATGGTCTATAATGGCTACTATAAGGTGATGTCCAATATTCCCAAAATGGGACAGTTACCAACCCCCGAAAGATCCAGGTGTTTTTTTTGGGAGCCCAGTGGCATGTTGTCCTTCCGTGTATCGCTGTAGTTGCTCCTCGAGTTCATCTCCTTGGACCCGAAATGCCGATAAAACGGGCCATGGGGAAGGATGGGGTTCACCATGAACCAGTGGATTTTGGGATTATTTCTCTGATTTTTTAGACAAACCCATTTCTGGGATATGTGTTGACTATGCTCTGATGGAGTGAGCTCCCAATTTCTTTGGTTTATGGTTCTCATTGAAACAACGATAGAGAGGATTTGCTGGAGCATGTTCTTGAAATCAGCTAAAAACCTCCGTTGATGCAAAATCAGCGGAAGCTGAGATCGGAGATCGTCATTCTTGATGTTTTTAAACATATTAAATAAAATCATATTCAAAAGGTCAAAACCCACTTTTTCTACTACCCTGTGCTTGGGAAACCACCTTGATGTCAGCGCCAGCGGCAAAAGCTTTGCCCTGCCCGGTGACCACTGCGGCCTCGTTACGAGGCCAGTGATTTTCCAGGAACACTGTGGCTTTAGAAATGATGGGAACACCTGAAAATCCTGCGGTTCATCATCATTTTCCTACTAAAATGACCATTTTTTCATTTTGAGATACAAATATATATATATATAGATGTAGATATAGATTCAGATAGAGATAGAGATAGATAGATAGATAGATAGATAGATACAGATAGATATAGATAGATATAGATAGGTATAGATAGATATAGATATATATATATATACATAGATATAGATAAATATAGATAGATGTAGATAAATATAGATAGATGTAGATAGATATAGATATAGATAGATATAGATAGATAGATATAGATAGATATAGATAGATATAGATAGATATAGATAGATATAGATAGATAGAGATAGATAGATAGATAGATAGAAAGATAGATAGATAGATAGGTAGATAGATAGATAGGTAGATAGATAGATAGATTTAGATAGATATAAATAGATATAAATAGATAGATAGATAGATTTAGATAGATTGATATAAATAGATATAAATAGATATAAATAGATATAAATAGATATAAATAGATAGATAGATAGATAGAAAGATAGATAGATGGATAGGTAGGTAGGAAGATAGATAGATAGATAGATAGATTAGATAGATAGATAGATAGATAGATAGATAGATAGATAGATAGATAGATAGATAGATAGATAGATAGATAGATAGATAGATAGATAGATAGATATACATATATACATATATTATACATATATACATATCTACATATATACATATATGCATATATGCATATATGCATATATGCATATATATATAATGAAATAAATATGCGGATTCAACCAACAATCAAGAAAATAATGTGGCATCCTCTTTGAAGCAATCACATCGCTGCGGGGCATTTACCTCGCTTTCTTGTCTCCAAACCTAAACACCACAAGATGTGTATATATATATATGCCTGGACCTTCCCTGCAGGTGAAACTTGACCAGATAGAAACAATCTTTAGTGAGGTACCCTGTGAGGTAAGGCAGAACAAAATGATCATGGTTAATCTATGTATTCCTGGCGGGTCTGTGACACAAATTTACCTGAAAATCTGAGAGAAGACCACTCGTGGGTTCTTTCGGGAATGGCAAGGTGTTTTTGTGTTGATCAAATCTGGTAATGACAATCACAATATTTAATCACCATACAAATTTCATTAGGGAAACCATATACAAAATGGGTGATCTTCCATTGCCACTTTGAAAATGATGGGAAAACCTCAAAATCCAGGAGTGTGCCACCATTTTTGCCTCTCAAAATACAGAAAAAAGTCACCCATTTCCCATGCGATTTCCCACTCCAATCACCGGTATCCTCACCACTGGCCTTTAGTGCAGCGTCGGCATCGACCTGGTTGAAACCCATGCTTTCAAGCCATCGAAATTCATGGGACATAATGGGACCATTGGTTACGACGGGATAATCATGGGATCATCAATTGGGAATGATATAGTATGGATCATGATGATTGAGGATTCTATGGAAAAATATGGGATAGTATTGGATAATCATGGGATACTGATGTGTTAAAAAACTCCGCAATAGAGGTTTTTGAAATTGGATATACCGTATGACTGGGATTATGTAAAAATGCCCCCAAATGGTTGGTTAATTTATGGGATGGTTTATGGCATTCAGTTTACCACATCACCTCATTTATACTTCGTTGTTCTAAGTTCGTAGCCCATCATTTAATCCTTGCATACATTATGATATACGGCCCATTTTTGGTGCCTCAAACCCCCGTTTCAGGTTAGTCCAAAAGTGTTGGGGGAGTGTCTTGGTCGACAGTTGGGGTCAAATCCAGTCGCAGGGGCCTCTTGCAATCGCTGGAACAGCGCCGACATCAAACCATCTGACAGCGCATTCAGCGCTTTCGGACGGTTCAAGGTCAACCTGTCATCTTGCAATTCTGCACCAGACAGATGACAGCAAGAATCTGCAAGAAAACCATGGGTTGTTACTCCAAGTGTGAGGTTTTCCGGTGAATGTTCTTTTAAGTTGGCCCATGTTGGCCCTTCCCAGAGGTCGTTTATTTCCGGGCCCACCTCTTTGTGTCCAGCTTTGACGGAGTGCTCCAATTGCAAGCGGTCGGCAGTTTCATAGATAATACATATATATATATTATATATATACAGTATTGTATATATATTGCACATATGCACAATACCCGAACTTTGCCTGGGCATTGCACTTGAATATCTTGTGCAGGGCTAACATGGTTCAGAAAAATTGCAAACACAATGTCTATATATCCTGTGATTTTGCCTTTGAAGCTTAGGGTTTTTGGGTTTCAAGATTTTGAAGGCCTAAGGGGCTTAGGGTCTAAAGTTCAAGACATTGCTGGGTCACCCAACACTGCGACCCCCGAATCTTTCCGCTCCATCAAGACAAGCTCCTCCGAGACGGTGCGAAGCTGCAATGCAACAAACCAAATCAAGATATCATGGAATAACTTGGTATACCAAACCATCTTCCAAATCCAGTGAGAATATAAGCTGAAAACAGGGATAAAACTTGATATAAAATGATACAAGATGATGGAAGCAACAAAACTGGTGATTTGCCCAGCAAACCTGATGAAATGTTGTCAGACTCAGGGAAATCCAGCCAGTTTGCGGAGCGACAATACCCAGTTTTGGGACGCCGCTGCAACGCGATAAGGTTAAACACATCTGCAAAATGAAGCAACCTGGTTCTAAAAGAATGCTGGTTCTCCAAATTGTGCACCCAGAAACGAAGGAGCATCCTCAAACAATTCCCGGAAATCGAACTGCAAATGGAATTCCTCCATTGATACCCATTTACAAATTACAGTATGTTCCCGTCCAAGGCATAAAATGTTCTACTGCCATCATCATCATAATAATAGTGATAATATAAAATAATAATATATAATAATAACTGTAATAAAAAAGGAGAAGAAAAAGAAGAAACTTCGGTGGCATCCCCAACAGCCGCAACGTTTTACTTTTACATTTTTTTCTCGGCATCCTTCTCCGGAACCTTCTCCAAAACCTGTTGAACTTGACCTGGCCCTGCACCAAAGACTCCCAAAACCTTCTCCGGGATCTCTGCAACCTTCTCCGGAACCCGTTGAACCTGACTTGGCTTTGCACCAAGGCTTCCTGGAACCTTCTCCGGAACCTTCTCCGGAACCTTCTCCGGAACCCTGTTGAGACGTTCGCCGGAAGCTTCTTCAGAACCCTGTTGAACCTGACCTGGCTCTGCACCAAAGCCTCCCAGGCCTTCTCCGGAACCTTCTCCGGAACCCTGTTGAACCTGACCTGGAACCTTCTCCGGAACCCTGTTGGACCTGACCTGGCTCTGCACCAAAGCCTCCTCCCCGGAAGCTTCTCCAGAACCCTGTTGGTTCTCCGGAACCTTCTTCAGATCCTGACCTGGCTCTGCACCAAAGCCTCCCAGACCTTCTCCGGAACCTTCGGAACCTTCGCCGGAACCTTGTTGAACCTGACCCTATTAGCGTATGCTGTTGGGGAAAAACCTAATTCCATCCAATTGTTGGTTCATGTTGGTTCCATATCCCATCATCATATGCCCTTGCCTTTTTTTATTCCATGTGCATTTTCCCGCGCAATGTTAATCACCACGTCCTCGGACGAGAAGCAACGACGTGCCACAGCCGTGCGAGACCATAGCAACCTGGGGTGGAAGGTCGGTGATACCACAATGGCCCAGCTAGACAAATGCGGGATTACAGTATTTTATCTATTTATAGCCTATGTATAGGGTTTAAAACGGTTTCCCTGGTACGGTCCTGGTACGCAGTATGATGTGGCTCATTGTTTCAGTATTACAACTACCAAGATTGAGGTGTTGCATAGATATCCCAAAAAATGGAACTTGGCGTCTGGTGTCATACTTAGTTGGCCTCATCAGATGCACTTCCAGCAAACCAAACCATATAGTCATATACAGCCACTGGTTCCATGTGCTGATGCTTTACCGCATCTACAGCAGCCATCTGTATCTGTGATATATGTACATAACAATATATGTATATATAATACCACTAGTACCGCACAAGGCGGGTGGCGGAAGTTTCAAGGATAGGGCACCTATAGGAGAGGTGAGCTGTTGTGACTCATGGATGGCAGAGTGAACTGATGGAGCGAAACGTGGCCGAGGCTCTGATTCTCTCTCTCTCTCTCTCTCTATCCACCTATCTACCCGTCTATCTATCTATCTATCTATCTATCTATCTATCTATCTATCCATCTATCTATCCATCTATCTATCTATCCATCCATCAATCTGTCTATCCGTCTATCTATCTGACCATTTGTCTATCTGTTCATTTATCTGTCTATCTGTCTGTCTTTCTATCTGTCTATTTATCTGTCTATCTGTCCATCTGTCCATCTGCCTCTATCTGTCTATCTGTCTGTTTACCCGACTATCTGACTATCTATCTATCTATCTATCTAACTAACTAACTAACTAACTATCTAACTAACTAACTAACTAACTAACCAACCATCCATCTATCTATAGATCTATCGATCGATCGATCGATCCATCCATCCATCCATCCATCCATCCATCCATCCATCCATCTCTGTCGATCTATCTAATCTAATCTAATCCAATCTCATCTAATCTAATCTAATCTGACTCGTGCGTTCTTTCTTTCTTTATTTATGTATTTCTTTCTTTCTTTCTTTTTTTCTTTCTTTCTTTCTTTCTTTCTTTCCTTCTTTCTTTCTTTCTTTCTTTCTTTCTTGCTTTCCTTTTCTTTCTTTCCTTTTCTTTCTTTCCTTTTCTTTCTTTTCTTTCTTTTCTTCCTTTCTTTCTTTCTTTCTTTCGTTCTTTCTTTCTTTCTTTCTTTCCTTCCTTCCTTCCTTCCTTCCTTTTCTTTCTTCCTTTCCTTCTCATCTAATCTATCTAATCTATCTCATCTATCTCGTCTATCTCATCTATCCAATTTAACCTAGCCAATCTATCCTATCTATCTATCCAATCTATCCTGTCAATCTATCTATCTATCCTATCCTGTCCTTTCCTATCCTATCCTATCCTATCCAATCCATCCATCCATCTATCTATCTATCCGATTATCTATCTTACTGTGCATTTATCTCTGGGCTTCCAAAAGTGGTCCCAATATGCAGTGTGTGTGTGTGTGCCATTTTGACTTTGAAACGTACTTCGCGCCACAACAGCCTGCACTTTTTCAACATCTGAACCTCCAAAGGTGGTCCGAACATGTGGTGCTTTCAACATTTTCACTTCGAATTGTGCTTCGCGACACGGCGGTGTGCACTTTTGGAACAGCTCAACTGCCAAAGGTGGTCCGAACATGTGGTGCTTTTACCATTTTGACTTGGAAGCGTGCTTCGCGCCACAATGGTGTGCACTTTTCAACATCTGAACCTCCAAAAGTGCCCTGAACCCGCGGTGTTTTTTAACATGTTCACTTCGACATGTGCTTCGCGCCACATCGGCCGGCACTTTTGGAGCATCTCAACTTCCAAAAGTGCTCCGAAGCTGAAGTGCTTTTAACATTTAGACTTGGAAATGTGCTTCGCGCCACAGTTGCGTGCACTTTTTCGACATCTCAATTTCTAAAAGTGCTCCGAGAATCAGGTGTTTTTAGCATTTTGACTTCCAAATCTGCTTCGCGCCACAGCGGCGGGCCATTTTTGATGTCACATCTGCCCAGGTGTCTCTTCTGACTCTTTCTCTTCTCTGACTGTTCCCACCTCTGCTGCTTCATCTGTCTATATTGTCGGAAGTTGGACTTCTAAACTTCCTTCGATAGCAAAGATCTGAATCAACACAATCACTCAGAATCCACAAGCCATAAGCAATGTAGGTCGCCGGACGGCACCGAGCGCCTGAAAGCAGGACTCAGCATCCTCGCCGAAGGTGCGCAGCATGACCAAAGCAAAGGGAAACACTGGGAGGAAATGAATTAGTCAATGGGAAGGATTATCCCATATATATATAATGTGTATATATAAATATATATATATATATTATGGAAAATAAAAAATGTTCCAAACCACCAAACAGACTCTTTGTATTTACTCAGTCTGGAGGCTGATGGCCAGGATGTTTAGCAACTGAAAGGCCCGCTTCCGGAGATTGCAGCCTCCACTAGATAATGTAACCTAATGACCTAATTTTCCTTCATAACTCACAAGTGTTACGGATTTAGAAACGGATACAAATGGATGTTCATCCTCAAATTTATGGGCTAATTGTACAAGCAACAAGACTAACCAACGAACCCGAATGCAATGACTTGGAAAGTCTAAGAACATCATCTCGGAGCAGCTGTCGTCACGCATTCTTTTTCTGCATCTGACTTCGCACAATCTGTGACGCGATTGCAAAGGGACCACGCCACTTCTGCAAGTCGTGAACTTGTTCAGCAGCAGCAGCAGGAGCAGCACACAAACATGGCCACGCTACTGATGGGGGTGTCTTAAAATGGTGGTACCCCAAGTGCTGGATGGTTTGTTTCATGGAAAATCCGTTTTTAAAATTAATGATTTGGTGGTACAGCTGTCTTCGGAAATCTCCATGTTACAAAGGAATACAAATGGATAGACATGAATGTTCATCCTCAATTTTATAGGCTACTTGTACAAACAAAATCGTCAGCTGTACCCAAAGGATGGCTGACTTGTCGTGAAACCCCCCCAACTTCGCCCGTTTCGCTCCTTGCCAGCGGGCGGACGTCCGCAGGACAAAGCTTCTGCAGGGCTGGAACCCTATCCCTGGAGCCGTGATAGGCAACTTCTGCACTCTTGGAGCCTGTTCCATAGGTGACCCACTTCCCCAATATCGTTCAAAGCTTCTTGGATTTTGTGGCTCAAAATTTTAGTTACAGCTACAACAAAAGTGGACTGTTTGGGTTTGGGAGGGTTCTAGCTTTGATTTTTGACCCATCTCCAAAGTCGCTCACCCACCCGTTTTGACTCGAATCATTGGCTCGGCACTCACCACGCGTTCCCGGTCTTCGGTCAACGTGCAGTTTGGCAGCTGCGGCCCTCCGGACTTGGCCCTTGGCCATCCAAAATGGCAAGCTACCCTTCGGTAATCAATGGCCGGCTAATAGTGGGAAATCCCTCAACCAAATGGAGCTTCCAATGGGAAAATTCATCGGCAGATTTGGCGGGGTCATGGGGGTTCCAATCATGGTATTGTCTGCTAGTTCATTGAATCATGTGGAAACCCATGATTATTGGCCCCATGCCCAATCTTTGATACAATTGTTTAACTAGTTAGTACATCAATTGTATTCATTTATATTCCATTTATTTGTAGCAAAAAATTAGTTGGCACAAAAGTAACCACTGAAAAAACATGTGTTACCCATTGCGTCCCCATGTTAGATGGTTAAATCCCCATGTTTGTTGGTTAAAACTTAAAGCACCATTTTTGATGCTTAGATGCAATTTGTTGATCGTTACATCCACAATTTTTTGTTGGTTCAAAATCCATGTGAATGTGTCTGAAAATGGAGTATGCCCGGTATGCCCCACAAATTGCCATTTCAAAGGTGGAGTTATGATAAAAGTACTGGATTTTGGCGGACCCTATTTTAGACAAACCCATGTTTGCTGGTTAAAACATGTTATAACACCCTTTTCCATGGTTTAATCCCAATGTTCGTTGGTTCTACCATTGTTATATCCCCATGTTGGTTACCCAACCAGTAACCGGTTTCAAAAAAACCATCCCCCCGGGTTCCCCGGGTTCCGGCACCTCAGATGAGCCAGCGCCTCTTCTGCTTGGACTTGCTGGCCGGCGGCTCTTCCAACCTTCGATCAGTGGGGCAAAGGTGCAGAACCAGCCCAAGATGTTGCAGAGCACAACCAAACAGGCTCATGGCCTTTGCATGCCTTTGCCTTGTTGATCAAGTTCCAAATGTCTAATGTTCTTCAAATCTGTCCAACTCTCAAGAACATGCACCATCATGCGAGTCACAATCCACAAACCAACAAAAAGGATCAAAGATCAAAAACGTACTTGGCAGAAATCAGCAACTTAGCACAAAAGTGCATGGTGCATCATGATGCCGCATCTGCGGAATCCTGCGGAATCTACATCCCTCCAAAAAGACCCAAAAACCTTGTGGTTATCATCTTGCTGTTGGCGTTGTGCAGTCACATGGCCACAACAAACTATAACAAGCTAAATATGTTTTTTTAGCGCAAAGAGGCAACAGGCAGACAATAGCCAACACTAGGCCGCAGCTGCCATAGTTCACAATGCAGGAGGGCGCGACTTTCACCGAGGGCACCAACCATGCCATCTGCAATCTTTGGCCTCCCCTCACAACATGCCAGCCAGGACTAGCCTGGAAGCCCCCAGCGAGCACCTTAGCGCATCGTCTCGCTGTCATACATCCTGGCATCAGGACGCGTTGGCCAGAAAGACTAGGTGCCACACCTGTCCCCAGCACAGCTGATGTTAGGACGGCACCCCAGCATGCGCCCCACACCCGGCCAACGGTGTGCGAAAAGATCAGCAACAGTGGCTGTCGCTAGCAGGCGAATTGCCACAAACTCTGGATCAGTTCATGGGTAGGGCAAAGGTGCAGAACCAGCCCAAGATGTTGCAGAGCACAACCAAACAGGCTCACGGTCTTTGTTTTGTTGATCAAGGTCCAAATGTCTAATGTTGCTCAAATCTGCCCAACTCTCAAGAACATGCACCATCATGCGAGTCACAATCCACAAACCAACAAAAAGGATCAAAGATCAAAAACGTACTTGGCAGAAATCAGCAACTTAGCACAAAAGTGCATGGTGCATCATGATGCCGCATCTGCGGAATCCTGCGGAATCTACATCCCTCCAAAAAGACCCAAAAACCTTGTGGTTATCATCTTGCTGTTGGCGTTGTGCAGTCACATGGCCACAACAAACTATAACAAGCTAAATATGTTTTTTTAGCGCAAAGAGGCAACAGGCAGACAATAGCCAACACTGGGCCGCAGCTGCCATAGTTCACAATGCAGGAGGGCGCGACTTTCACTGAGGGCACCAACCATGCCATCTGTAAACTTTGGCCTCCCCTCACAACATGCCGGCCAGGACTAGCCTGGAAGCCCCCAGCGAGCACCTTAGCGCATCGTCTCGCTGTCATACATCCTGACATCAGGACGCGTTGGCCAGCAAGACTAGGTGCCACACCTATCCCCAGCACAGCTGATGTTAGGACGGCACCCCAGCATGCGCCCCACACCCGGCCAACGGTGTGCGAAAAGATCAGCAACAGTGGCTGTCGCTAGCAGGCGAATTGCCACAAACTCTGGATCAGTTCGTGGGTAGGGCAAAGGTGCAGAACCAGCCCAAGATGTTGCAGAGCACAACCAAACAGGCTCACGGTCTTTGTCTTGTTGATCAAGGTCCAAATGTCTAATGTTCTCAAATCTGCCCAACTCTCAAGAACATGCACCATCATGCGAGTCACAATCCACAAACCAACAAAAAGGATCAAAGATCAAAAACGTACTTGGCAGAAATCAGCAAACTTAGCACAAAAGTGCATGGTGCATCATGATGCCGCATCTGCGGAATCCTGCGGAATCTACATCCCTCCAAAAAGACCCAAAAACCTTGTGGTTATCATCTTGCTGTTGGCGTTGTGCAGTCACATGGCCACAACAAACTATAACAAGCTAAATATGTTTTTTTAGCGCAAAGAGGCAACAGGCAGACAATAGCCAACACTGGGCCGCAGCTGCCATAGTTCACAATGCAGGAGGGCGCGACTTTCACCGAGGGCACCAACCATGCCATCTGTAAACTTTGGCCTCCCCTCACAACATGCCGGCCAGGACTAGCCTGGAAGCCCCCAGCGAGCACCTTAGCGCATCGTCTCGCTGTCATACATCCTGACATCAGGACGCGTTGGCCAGCAAGACTAGGTGCCACACCTGTCCCCAGCACAGCTGATGTTAGGACGGCACCCCAGCATGCGCCCCACACCCGGCCAACGGTGTGCGAAAAGATCAGCAACAGTGGCTGTCGCTAGCAGGCGAATTGCCACAAACTCTGGATCAGTTCGTGGGTAGGGCAAAGGTGCAGAACCAGCCCAAGATGTTGCAGAGCACAACCAAACAGGCTCACGGTCTTTGTCTTGTTGATCAAGGTCCAAATGTCTAATGTTCTTCAAATCTGCCCAACTCTCAAGAACATGCACCATCATGCGAGTCACAATCCACAAACCAACAAAAAGGATCAAAGATCAAAAACGTACTTGGCAGAAATCAGCAAACTTAGCACAAAAGTGCATGGTGCATCATGATGCCGCATCTGCGGAATCCTGCGGAATCTACATCCCTCCGAAAAGACCCAAAAACCTTGTGGTTATCATCTTGCTGTTGGCGTTGCTCAGACACATGGCAACAAACAAACGAAATATGTTTTTAGCGCAAAGCGGCAACAGGCAAACAATAGCCAACACTAGGCCGCAGCTGCCATAGAACACAATGCAGGATGGTGCGACTTTCACCGAGGGCACCAACCATGCCATCTGCAATCTTTGGCCTCCCCTCACAACATGCCGGCCAGGACTAGCCTGGAAGCCCCCAGCGAGCACCTTAGCGCATCGTCTCGCTGTCATACATCCTGACATCAGGACGCGTTGGCCAGAAAGACTAGGTGCCACACCTGTCCCCAGCACAGCTGATGTTAGGACGGCACCCCAGCATGCGCCCCACACCCGGCCAACGGTGTGCGAAAAGATCAGCAACAGTGGCTGTCGCTAGCAGGCGAATTGCCACAAACTCTGGATCAGTTCATGGGTAGGGCAAAGGTGCAGAACCAGCCCAAGATGTTGCAGAGCACAACCAAACAGGCTCACGGTCTTTGTTTTGTTGATCAAGGTCCAAATGTCTAATGTTGCTCAAATCTGCCCAACTCTCAAGAACATGCACCATCATGCGAGTCACAATCCACAAACCAACAAAAAGGATCAAAGATCAAAAACGTACTTGGCAGAAATCAGCAACTTAGCACAAAAGTGCATGGTGCATCATGATGCCGCATCTGCGGAATCCTGCGGAATCTACATCCCTCCAAAAAGACCCAAAAACCTTGTGGTTATCATCTTGCTGTTGGCGTTGTGCAGTCACATGGCCACAACAAACTATAACAAGCTAAATATGTTTTTTTAGCGCAAAGAGGCAACAGGCAGACAATAGCCAACACTAGGCCGCAGCTGCCATAGTTCACAATGCAGGAGGGCGCGACTTTCACCGAGGGCACCAACCATGCCATCTGCAATCTTTGGCCTCCCCTCACAACATGCCGGCCAGGACTAGCCTGGAAGCCCCCAGCGAGCACCTTAGCGCATCGTCTCGCTGTCATACATCCTGACATCAGGACGAGTTGGCCAGAAAGACTAGGTGCCACACCTGTCCCCAGCACAGCTGATGTTAGGACGGCACCCCAGCATGCGCCCCACACCCGGCCAACGGTGTGCGAAAAGATCAGCAACAGTGGCTGTCGCTAGCAGGCGAATTGCCACAAACTCTGGATCAGTGCATGGGTAGGGCAAAGGTGCAGAACCAGCCCAAGATGTTGCAGAGCACAACCAAACAGGCTCACGGTCTTTGTCTTGTTGATCAAGGTCCAAATGTCTAATGTTCTTCAAATCTGCCCAACTCTCAAGAACATGCACCATCATGCGAGTCACAATCCACAAACCAACAAAAAGGATCAAAGATCAAAAACGTACTTGGCAGAAATCAGCAAACTTAGCACAAAAGTGCATGGTGCATCATGATGCCGCATCTGCGGAATCCTGCGGAATCTACATCCCTCCGAAAAGACCCAAAAACCTTGTGGTTATCATCTTGCTGTTGGCGTTGCTCAGACACATGGCAACAAACAAACGAAATATGTTTTTAGCGCAAAGCGGCAACAGGCAAACAATAGCCAACACTAGGCCGCAGCTGCCATAGAACACAATGCAGGATGGTGCGACTTTCACCGAGGGCACCAACCATGCCATCTGCAATCTTTGGCCTCCCCTCACAACATGCCGGCCAGGACTAGCCTGGAAGCCCCCAGCGAGCACCTTAGCGCATCGTCTCGCTGTCATACATCCTGACATCAGGACGCGTTGGCCAGAAAGACTAGGTGCCACACCTGTCCCCAGCACAGCTGATGTTAGGACGGCACCCCAGCATGCGCCCCACACCCGGCCAACGGTGTGCGAAAAGATCAGCAACAGTGGCTGTCGCTAGCAGGCGAATTGCCACAAACTCTGGATCAGTTCATGGGTAGGGCAAAGGTGCAGAACCAGCCCAAGATGTTGCAGAGCACAACCAAACAGGCTCACGGTCTTTGTTTTGTTGATCAAGGTCCAAATGTCTAATGTTGCTCAAATCTGCCCAACTCTCAAGAACATGCACCATCATGCGAGTCACAATCCACAAACCAACAAAAAGGATCAAAGATCAAAAACGTACTTGGCAGAAATCAGCAAACTTAGCACAAAAGTGCATGGTGCATCATGATGCCGCATCTGCGGAATCCTGCGGAATCTACATCCCTCCAAAAAGACCCAAAAACCTTGTGGTTATCATCTTGCTGTTGGCGTTGTGCAGTCACATGGCCACAACAAACTATAACAAGCTAAATATGTTTTTTAGCGCAAAGAGGCACCAGGCAGACAATAGCCAACACTAGGCCGCAGCTGCCATAGTTCACAATGCAGGAGGGCGCGACTTTCACTGAGGGCACCAACCATGCCATCTGTAAACTTTGGCCTCCCCTCACAACATGCCAGCCAGGACTAGCCTGGTTGATCAAGGTCCAAATGTCTAATGTGGCTCAAATCTGCCCAACTCTCAAGAACATGCACCATCATGCGAGTCACAATCCACAAACCAACAAAAAGGATCAAAGATCAAAAACGTACTTGGCAGAAATCAGCAAACTTAGCACAAAAGTGCATGGTGCATCATGATGCCGCATCTGCGGAATCCTGCGGAATCTACATCCCTCCAAAAAGACCCAAAAACCTTGTGGTTATCATCTTGCTGTTGGCGTTGTGCAGTCACATGGCCACAACAAACTATAACAAGCTAAATATGTTTTTTTAGCGCAAAGAGGCAACAGGCAGACAATAGCCAACACTGGGCCGCAGCTGCCATAGTTCACAATGCAGGAGGGCGCGACTTTCACTGAGGGCACCAACCATGCCATCTGTAAACTTTGGCCTCCCCTCACAACATGCCGGCCAGGACTAGCCTGGAAGCCCCCAGCGAGCACCTTAGCGCATCGTCTCGCTGTCATACATCCTGACATCAGGACGCGTTGGCCAGCAAGACTAGGTGCCACACCTATCCCCAGCACAGCTGATGTTAGGACGGCACCCCAGCATGCGCCCCACACCCGGCCAACGGTGTGCGAAAAGATCAGCAACAGTGGCTGTCGCTAGCAGGCGAATTGCCACAAACTCTGGATCATTTCGTGGGTAGGGCAAAGGGGCAGACCCGCCCAAGAATGTTGCAGAGCCAACCAAACAGGCTCAACAACGGTCCCTTTGTCTTGTTGATCAAGGTCCAAATGTCTAATGTGGCTCAAATCTGCCCAACTCTCAAGAACATGCACCATCATGCGAGTCACAATCCACAAACCAACAAAAAGGATCAAAGATCAAAAACGTACTTGGCAGAAATCAGCAAACTTAGCACAAAAGTGCATGGTGCATCATGATGCCGCATCTGCGGAATCCTGCGGAATCTACATCCCTCCGAAAAGACCCAAAAACCTTGTGGTTATCATCTTGCTGTTGGCGTTGCTCAGACACATGGCAACAAACAAACGAAATATGTTTTTAGCGCAAAGCGGCAACAGGCAAACAATAGCCAACACTAGGCCGCAGCTGCCATAGAACACAATGCAGGATGGTGCGACTTTCACCGAGGGCACCAACCATGCCATCTGCAATCTTTGGCCTCCCCTCACAACATGCCGGCCAGGACTAGCCTGGAAGCCCCCAGCGAGCACCTTAGCGCATCGTCTCGCTGTCATACATCCTGACATCAGGACGCGTTGGCCAGCAAGACTAGGTGCCACACCTATCCCCAGCACAGCTGATGTTAGGACGGCACCCCAGCATGCGCCCCACACCCGGCCAACGGTGTGCGAAAAGATCAGCAACAGTGGCTGTCGCTAGCAGGCGAATTGCCACAAACTCTGGATCAGTTCGTGGGTAGGGCAAAGGTGCAGAACCAGCCCAAGATGTTGCAGAGCACAACCAAACAGGCTCACGGTCTTTGTCTTGTTGATCAAGGTCCAAATGTCTAATGTGGCTCAAATCTGTCCAACTCTCAAGAACATGCACCATCATGCGAGTCACAATCCACAAACCAACAAAAAGGATCAAAGATCAAAAACGTACTTGGCAGAAATCAGCAAACTTAGCACAAAAGTGCATGGTGCATCATGATGCCGCATCTGCGGAATCCTGCGGAATCTACATCCCTCCGAAAAGACCCAAAAACCTTGTGGTTATCATCTTGCTGTTGGCGTTGCTCAGACACATGGCAACAAACAAACGAAATATGTTTTTAGCGCAAAGCGGCAACAGGCAAACAATAGCCAACACTAGGCCGCAGCTGCCATAGAACACAATGCAGGATGGTGCGACTTTCACCGAGGGCACCAACCATGCCATCTGCAATCTTTGGCCTCCCCTCACAACATGCCGGCCAGGACTAGCCTGGAAGCCCCCAGCGAGCACCTTAGCGCATCGTCTCGCTGTCATACATCCTGACATCAGGACGCGTTGGCCAAAAGGCTAAATGTATTCCCCTACGCGCACACTCACGCCAGGGGATGGCACCCCAGCATGCGCCCCACACCCGGCCAACGGTGTGCGAAAAGACCAGCACGAGGGCCGCCGCGAGCAGGACAGCCCGGCTCGGATCAGTTCGTGGGTAGGGCAAGGGTACTTGGCGCAACCAGCCCAAGATGTTGCAAAGCACAACCAAACAGGTTCATGGTCTTTGCCTTTTTGACCAGGTTCCAAATTAAGACTATGTTCTTCAAATCTTTGCAACTCTCAAGAGCATGCGCCATCACAATCCACAAATGAACAAAAGGGTTCCTGGAAGACTCAGCACAAAATTGCATTATCATGGTGCATTATGATGCTGAAACAGCAGAATCTACATCCCTCCAAAGGCATTGTGGCTATAGCCTTGGTGTCAGCGCTGCTCAGACACATGGCAGCACAAACACCTTTGTAGCACAATGAGGCAACAGGCAGAAAACAGCCAACACTAGGCCGCAGCTGCCACAGTTCAAGATGCAGGAGGGCGCGCCACTTTCATTGAGGAAGGGAACCAGCAACGCCATCTGCAAACTTTGGCCTCCCCTCACAACATGCCGGCCAGGACTAGCCTGGAAGCCCCCAGCGAGCACCTTAGCGCATCGTCTCGCTGTCATACATCCTGACATCAGGACGCGTTGGCCAAAAGGCTAAATGTATTCCCCTACGCGCACACTCATCCGCAGATGCAGCCCTGGCGGGGATGGCACCCCAGCATGCGCCCCACCCCCGGCCAACGGTGTGCGAAAAGACCAGCACGAGGGCCGCCGCGAGCAGGACAGCCCGGCTCGGATCAGTTCGTGGGTAGGGCAAGGGTACTTGGCGCAACCAGCCCAAGATGTTGCAAAGCACAACCAAACAGGTTCATGGTCTTTGCCTTTTTGACCAGGTTCCAAATTAAGACTATGTTCTTCAAATCTTTGCAACTCTCAAGAGCATGCGCCATCACAATCCACAAATGAACAAAAGGGTTCTTGGAAGACTCAGCACAAAATTGCATTATCATGGTGCATTGTGATGCTGAAACAGCAGAATCTACATCCCTCCAAAGGCATTGTGGCTATAGCCTTGGTGTCAGCGCTGCTCAGACACATGGCAACACAAACACCCCCTTGTAGCACAATGAGGCAATAGGCAAACAACAGCCAACAGTAGGCCGCAGCTGCCACAGTTCAAGATGCAGGAGGGCGCGCCACTTTCATTGAGGAAGGGAACCAGCAACGCCATCTGCAAACTTTGGCCTCCCCTCACAACATGCCGGCCAGGACTAGCCTGGAAGCCCCCAGCGAGCACCTTAGCGCATCGTCTCGCTGTCATACATCCTGACATCAGGACGCGTTGGCCAAAAGGCTAAATGTATTCCCCTGTGCGCACACTCATCCGCAGATGCAGCGCTGGCGGGGATGGCACCCCAGCATGCGCCCCACACCCGGCCAACGGTGTGCGAAAAGACCAGCACGAGGGCCGCCGCGAGCAGGACAGCCCGGCTCGGATCAGTTCGTGGGTAGGGCAAGGGTACTTGGCGCGACCAGCCCAAGATGTTGCAAAGCACAACCAAACAGGTTCATGGTCTTTGCCTTTTTGACCAGGTTCCAAATTAAGACTATGTTCTTCAAATCTTTGCAACTCTCAAGAGCATGCGCCATCACAATCCACGAATGAACAAAAGGGTTCTTGGAAGACTCAGCACAAAATTGCATTATCATGGTGCATTATGATGCTGAAACAGCAGAATCTACATCCCTCCAAAGGCATTGTGGCTATAGCCTTGGTGTCAGCGCTGCTCAGACACATGGCAGCACAAACACCTTTGTAGCACAATGAGGCAACAGGCAGAAAACAGCCAACACTAGGCCGCAGCTGCCACAGTTCAAGATGCAGGAGGGCGCGCCACAACATCATCTGAATCTGCAAACTTTGGCCTTCCCTCACGATATGCCGACCCAAGTTGTGGCCATTTTGATTGGGCAAAAAACTCCCATAATCTTCGATCACCTGTCGGCTCTGCCGGACCATCTCGGGGTGATGTTGAATTTGCGTTAACGTCGGATATCCCTGATTATATTTCTTCCAATGGTACTCCATGTTAGTTCAGAACATCTACCTACCAGTGGTGATGGGATAAGGATGATGACTATAGATGATATGATACATCCCGATATCCCTATTTATATCACTACCCCAGCTATGAACTGGCAGATTGGACATCCAAGTATCCAAACTTGCGGCCTGAGGCCTTGACATAGTGAGGGTCGATCTGTACACACCCATGAGAAATGATCTATGACGAATTGGGGCCACACAAATATCATGTTATCATATTTTATCCATTTTGCTCGTAGATCGGAACATGATGATGCTGAGATGTTTTCACCCATCCCCAACTCTGAGATTTCAGTCATTTACCATCACCTGCCCCGAAGAAATGAACATCCACATTCCTCGCCCAAACTGGTTCCCCTCTGTGTCGCCACACATGGTGCGACCAAATGCACT